AGCCATGGACTATCTGACCTTATGTCGATTATGCTCCCTTACTCAGCGTTACTCATCGCTCAGTCAGCGTCCTCTGGACGTCACATGCCCTCTTCCTATACGCTTACTCATCGTCCTCCCCAGTAGTATATAAGGAGGACTCTGCAGGCCTCTGCTCTTCAGTCGTTCTCTCACAGACTGAAGAGTAAGTCCCATATTACCTATGCTTTCTTACATGTTTACTTACTAGTACTTGTAGCCTCTCTTTGTGCGGCTTACAGGTACAGTACTATGCAATCATAGTCGTTCTCTCACAGACTGAAGACCTCTCTTTGTGCGGCTTACAGCCTTCCAGGTTCAGAGTTCATCACATACTCCGTATATGGGCTGCCAAACACGTCGCCGATGGACATGTGGAGTACGGGGCGATCTATACTGATTACAAAGAGCTGCTGGAAACCATCGACAACATCGAGCTCGGTCCTGCAAAATGGCGTACATTTGCAGTACGATACGGTGGGCCTGTCGATGCAGATTCGCCCCCGTGGAAGCGTGAGGTCTTCCTTGTGCACGCACGCAACCCGCTACACGTGGCCGAGGCACTCGCAGCGAGCCCGGACTTCAAGGAGCGTTTTGATGTTGCACCTTTCGAGGAGTACACCGGCCCCGGCCGTCGTCGTGTCTCCAATCTGATGTCGGGTAGCTGGGCATACAAGCAAGCTGTACGTCCATCCTCAACGGGTTTCAGTCATATGACCCGAATACGCGACGAGACTAAGAACCTGCGTGATGATTTATAGGACAAGATTAGCGAGGACCCACAGACTCACGGGTCCATGCTCGCCCCGATAATTCTGGGCGCTGACAAGACGACCGTGTCGGTTGCGACCGGGAATCAAGAATTTCATCCCCTTTACATGTCGTTAGGGAATATCCATAACGACATGCGGCGTGCTCATCGAGAGAGCGTGGTTCCTATCGCGTTCTTGGCGATTCCTAAAGGTGCGTGCTGGCTCACTTCAAGTGCAATGTGGGTGCCGGTGCTGACATGCTGTCTCCTCGTCACGCAGCCGAACACGAGTGGGAGAAGGACGAGGAGTTCCGCGTTTTCAAGAAACAGCTATATCACGGCTCAATTGCGAAGATACTGGAGCCACTGAGGCCTGGCATGACGACGCCCCACGTCTTGAAATGTCCTGATGGACATTACCGCCGCACAATATTTGAGCTTGGCCCATTCATTGCCGACTATCCTGAGCAGGTATTTCTTTCAGGTGTCGTCTCTGGGTGGTGCCCACGGTGAGTGTAGCCCACATGTTATAGCCTCCGTGTGCTTATAAGCCTGAGTAGCTGCCATGCACTCCCGACCGCCGAATTCGTCGAAGGCGCCCCTCGTTTTCGAGAGCACGATGACGCCCTCGAAGATGCGTACGGTGCACACGATCTCTGGCACGTTTTTGGTATCAATAGTGAGGTCAAGGTGAGCCAGGTTTCGCTCATTGAAGCTGATTAGCATCTGATAGCACGCACTAGCCCTTCACTGCATTGTTCCCGCGCGCCGACATCCACGAGCTCTTAACGCCAGATCTTCTGCACCAGCTCATCAAGGGAACGTTCAAGGACCACATTGTTGCGTGGGTTGTCGACTACGTCAAGATGAATGCGAACAGCGAACGTGAGGCTGATCGAATACTTGATGATATTGATCACCGGTATGCCCATATGGACACGTGCCTCTTGTAGTTATTGTACTATGGCTGATGTCCACTTACATAGGCTCGCTGCGGTGCCCTCGTTTCCGGGTTTACGGCGGTTCCCGCAAGGTCGCAACTTTAAGCAATGGACCGGCAATGACTCGAAAGCTTTGATGAAGGTGCATTCTGACCCGCTCGTTTACATTGTATACCCGCACTGCTCATCCGTATCTGCTGCCCGCAGGTCTTTCTCCCGGCTATCGTCGGTTATGTGCCAGAGAAGATGGTCCAGTGCATTGCTGCACTCCTTGACTTTTGCTATCTGGCCCGGCGCTCCGCACATGATACGTTCTCACTCAGGGCGATGGATGAGCTCCTCGAGAAGTTCCACCAGCTCCGCACTGTTTTTGAGGAAGTCGGGATACGTCCGGATGGCTTCGCACTCCCCCGTCAGCACGCTCTGGTCCACTACGTCCGCAGTATCCAACTCTTCGGCTCTCCCAACGGTCTCTGTTCGTCCATCACCGAGTCCCGGCACATCTCTGCGGTCAAGAAGCCATGGCGGGACTCCAGCCGTAACAACCCGCTCGGCCAAATCATTCGCAAGAACACGCGCCTGAGTAAACTCGCCGCAGCGCGCGTCGAGTTTGGCCGCCGAAACATGTTCTACGGGGACGTGTTGACGCACGCGTACCTCACTGCCGGTCTCGACGCACCTGAAGACAAGGAGGACATTCAAGATGAGCGCTTCCGTGACCTCGCTGATGCGATCGCTAGCGATGACGCCCCGGCGGAGTCTCTGGTTACGTTGAGCGAACGCCCAGGTAGGTCATGAGTGCTTGTTTGTAATACACTTGTTAATACTCCTTTCTAGCATATGTAACCAAGATCAATGAACTTGCGGCCACTCTCGCACGTCCGCAGCTGCTCCAGCTCATTCGCCGCTTCCTATATCTGGTCCAATACCCCGATGCGGAGCCCGACAACGTCCTGGATGCCGACCTGGCCTGGTTCTGGGAATGCGAGAAGGCATCCGTCTACTACAGCGCCACTGCGGTCTTTTATGCTCCTAGCGAGCATGCAGGGCCTCATGGGATGCATCGGGAGCTGATCCGCTCTAATCCGTCTTGGTATGGAGCTGATCCGCGCTACGATACGGTCCTTGTATGCACAAACCAAGATGCAATCGGGATGGACGGCATGGTGGTCGCTCGTGTCCGCTCATTCTTCTCCTTTTCTTATGACGGTACATTGCACTCTTGCGCACTTGTAGAATGGTTTATTCTTGAGGATGACACTCCAGATGACGTGACAGGGATGTGGGTTGTTCGGCCAGAGATGGATCAACACGGTGAACATGTTACAGATGTAATTTCGGTGGGGTCAATTGTTCGTGCATGTCATCTTATCCCTGTATACGGTACCACTCGTGTCCCCGTTGGTTTCAGCTACACTGATACTCTTGACGCTTTCCGCAGATACTATGTCAACTGGTACGCTGATTACCATGCACACGAGACAATTACGTAGCACTACATTTACGGACATTTTACAGTCCATAATGCTATGGCCTAAGAACGGTCTGACTGTCTGAGACATACTGAAGCTGTCTGAGCTGTCTGATGATCTGACAGACTTTTCTCCAGACTCGTCAGACCTTCAGACTTACGCAAAAGTACTGATGTCCGAGGTCGTGTATCGGTGCATACGGCCGGTAGAAGTGAGCGGTTGCATAGGACTAGGATACGGCACCATCACCTAGGAGTCGCGATCGAGGAGAGCGACTAAGCTTCTGCTCTCTGGGCTATCGAGAAAGCGAGCATTGTCTATGATCAGGGTCAGCACGCGCTGCGAAAGGTAGAGGCTTACGCGAGGATACCCATACGCCTGCAAAAAAGATCTCTAAGGACATCGTTTCCGGATGCTCGACTTCGCGCTCGTATCGCTAGTCCGCCATCTCAAACGACTACTACCTGTACATAGAGAGATGAGCTCTTGATGGGAAAACAAGATACTCACTCTCACGCACGGACATGCGCGAAACGCGCGCGTTCTCCCGCACACGGGCTGTGTAGCATTGGCCTATCCACGACGTGCGAGGCGAGAGTGACTTTCGGGGAGCGGTCCGTAGCGCCAAGAACGTTGCGAACTTCCGGAGAGATGAAGGGAAAGTAAGCATTTGTTTGTTACTCAGGTATGCTCCCTTGAGGGATACACAGTAAAACGCTTGTGCGGTAACCTCTTTCTCGTGTCGAGAGATGTCTGCAGCGATGGGATAAAGAAAAAGAGAGATCGCATACGCCTGTGAAGCCCATGGAAAGAGCCATTGAGAACTATCTCTCGCATTGCGCCAGGGACGTTCGAGTGTCGCGAGCCACCACTGTCGCACCAGAGGGATCCGACGCGGCGACGAAGCCGGTAGTGAATATATACAAGTTCTGAGAGCAAGAGGATAGGTGTGCATCCGATACGACAGGGAGAGGGAGGCCTTTCTAAGCCGAGAACGAGGATCTAGCGTACTTACCCTTGTTCCAGTACGTCCTGGGCCTCAGGAGGATCTCACACCTTTGCCGCGTTGAGTCTTTGCAATGATCAGCAGAACCCCAAAACACAAGGAAGGCCCGCAGAAGTATAGCAGGAGACCGGTAGAGGAAAGTGCACATAAGCGGGGAATTCGTCGTTGCCAGATGGTCGTCGAAGAGAAAGAAGAAATTGTGCGAAGCGCACGGCGTTGTTGCCTCGATGACATAATTTTGGCGCCCAAGCATTTCGCTGGCTGTTCGAATCCTTCTTCCCTCATCCTCTCGTCTACATTGCCGAGGAGGCTCTCTATTCCGTTTCCCTTTCTCAGGTGCACCGTCTTTCCCAACGCTCAGTACCTTTCCGAAGTCGGGACACCCGATCAGCAACGACCTCTCAACTGTGCTACTTAGCGTCCTTCAAGCAAGCCTCTCCATGTACCGTACACCGGGCCTGTAGACCTTCGATCGCACCGGAGAAGATTCTGCGCGCACGGATCCCCTGTCGCCGTCACCTCCGCCTGGCGTTGACGGCCCCAGTGGCGTGCCCAAAGTTCTCAAATCGTCGCGCGATCTGAACCTGTTGCTCGCTGCAATCCCTGCCCCCGTATTCGGGAGAATGAGCCTGGACCTCGCGAGGTCGGCCGCCCAAAGCACCGATTTGGCGTAGTACCCATGGAGCCTGCTCATCAGGGAAAGAACTTCGACAACGCCGTTGCGCGTGAGGCGCTCACGCCTGCGGAGACCGAACGCATCTGGTTCCCTATCATGTACGTGGTCCTGGACGAGCGTGCTTGCGAGACGGGAATGCGGATATCGAGGAGCGTAAACTCCGTGTCCATGGTGCCGCCAGTGTTGGTAACGACGCGCTCAAGCTCTGCGGCAGAGATTGAGGGCGTTGGGATCCGGGCTGCGCAGACGCGGTGAGCGCGAAGGGGTGGACGGCCCCACTGTACAGGGCCGCCCTCAACGACGGCCGTACGAACGCGATATAACCTCCTCTCCCCATCTTTTCGTGTAGTGCACGCGGCGGTGTGAATGCGCCAAAGCCGTCATGCACCTGACGTCGACGCTTATCTCGCACACCTCTCACACGTTTGGACTTCGGTGATTTCACAGTCCTGCGGCCGCCTCGAGTCTGTCATGCGTTCTTCTGCTGCTTCAGTGACCTTTCCCCAATAACACATGTCGACAACACACAGCCTTCGTCAAGCCCAGCCGCTTCGGAGCGCCGTCCGCGCAAGCGTCGCCGAATGTCTGAACACCACGGTGTGTGTTGTCGCCAAACCAGATATGGCATGTTCACTGCGGACTCGGTGTGGCTTGGGCCTCTTCACGTGTCGATGGAAGTTGGTGACGAACTGGCTACGTTGATACCTACTCAACAAGTTGTCATCGAATGATATATAATAGCCCTCGAACGGAGCGGGTGATTTGGGTACCACAAAGCCACTCATCCGCGGCGACTATCAAGCCTTCCGCTTCCTGTCTAGCACCGCATTCGCTAGGACGTCGTCCGCGACTGCACTGGTGACGGCGGATGCACAATCGCAGCTGTATTCCCGTCGTCGATTTTGCCCTCCGGGAGAGGGGATGATGCTTCGGGCTGCGACGCGACGTCGTCAATTTCGGAGCTCCTCGCAAAATTTACACGAGGGCGTGATGGGGGCGTATGCTGCTCTTCGACTGCTCACGCTTAAGCAACCGTTCAGAAGACAAGATACAGTTACACATACCCTATGAGTGGGGGAGAGCGTCGAGCCGCGCGAAGAGGGTGGACATCTTCAGAGTGACGTCTTGCATCTGCGACGACAGAACGCTGTTCTGAGCCGACAGGCGGGCGATTTGCGCTCGCAGCGCGTCGTTCTCATACCGAAATGCAGATATGTTGTAGTCGTGTGAATTTCGGGAGGTACCACTCAGGGAGAGGTTCGGAGCGGAAGGGAGAAAGCCTACGGCGGTCAGTGCCCGCTGCATCTCCGTGCCGCCGCCGCCGAATTTGTTCGGAGCATGCCCGTTGGGATACCCCTCAACATCATGGACGTTGTCACTGTAAAAGTGTCTCTCGATTCGGGATGAATGAGCGCGCTGCTGCTGTCGATTTTAAACGCAAGCCTGCAATGAGTACACCTACCGCGTACGGGTTGGCTCGATGGACTCACCGCTGCCGGTACATCATGCCTCCGTGTATCCTCCGCTGAGTCCAGCTCCATAGCCACTTCCGAGTCGGGAGCAGTACCGCAAGAAGCTGAGCTTCCGTACGCCCCCAGTTCCCAGGTGACGATGCCCGGATTGAACGGGGGTGCGTCGAAAGTCTGCTTTGCCTCGGTCCACGGCAGAGCGAGGGCGCCATGCGTGATGGCTCCGTCTCCTATGGGAACCACACAAACGCTCCCTGAAGGCGGCTGCATGTAGTCTGCCTCTGCGGGGAAGGCAGTCTCCAACAGCGCTGCTGGAGTGAAGGCATGGGCAGCGGCTGTTGACGGAGGCGTCGCGAAAACAGCTCGCTCTGAGGATATAGATGCCGTCTAGACAATTCCCGTGTAAGCGTATGATCAAACCCGCTACAGAAAATGCGGTCAAGGGCGGGTGCGCTCACAGAAAGCTCGGACTGCGAGAACGGAGCGGTGGCGGATGCCCTTGCCTCGGCGTGAGCTAGCGAGCAGCTATCGGACGCTGGTGTCGCCTCGTTGTCGATCACGTTGTGAGCTGACAAGACGTGATTGTGGGAGCTCTCATCGTTTGCCCAGGTGCGCCGGTGCGGCTCCGAGAGCTCAATGGAGAGCCACAGGTCCTTGTGGTGGCGGAGAACGTTGCCTTCAACCGGCAGCTCCAGGGCGACCCGCAGGAGCCGGGTTTCGCAGGAGGCGCTTTCCCAGCCAAGGCTCGAAGGGACCAAGAAGTCCGCACTAGCTATCGTATCGGTAGGGTTCCGGCTCGAGCTGACCTCCGAGGTACTGCTGTCCTCGCTGTGGAGTAGTAGTGAGGTGTTCTCGTCGATAGGGGTATACCTAGGCGAAGATGTGTGTCGAGAGATAGGAGGGGCCGGATCAGGGGACGGTGCGTGGACGTCGTTAGTAATCGTGAAGCGCGCCATGGTATCCTTCATCGTCCCGTTAATTCGTGTGAGGACCAGTTGTACTCGTATAGTCTGGACGACACCGCCTTCCTGACGCCTGTATTCTGCGTTGCTTGCGCATGCGACTTGAATGGTGGTCGTCAATATAACTTCATCCTCCACGCGTTGCATATGTAAGGGGGAGGGTGTGACGCCAAAGGTTGCCAGTACTTTGATGCTGCGAGGGGCAATGTGGAAGGACGCGAGCGCATCGTTGTCATACCACTCAGGCCAGAGACAGACTCCGAAGTGCGAAAACGTGCCCCTGGGTTTCGGGGGAAGTTTCGAGTCGTGGCGGAGGAGAAAGACTTCGATAGGCGCGGGAGAAACGAATTGCAGAGCTTCCGTTAACGCGTCTTGGGTGAGCACGACGGCGCGATATGGAAAGTGGAAACGCTTGCCGCAGCTAGCGACGTTGGTCGTGATAAACCGTCCACGACGTGCGTTTCCGGATTCCCGAGTACGACAGAGGGGCAGCGCAATGAGGCCCACGCGGTCGGCGCATTGGAGGATGGCAAGCGTGTCCGCCTGACCGAGCCGCTTGCACTCAGCGCACAGCGCTAGATGGAGTGGCTCCCACAACTGGACCGAAAGCTGCGGCATCTTCTTAAGATCTAGACATAGCAGCCGAACACGGACGCCTTGAGGGGTGAAGAGGCTGTGGATAGGCGGGACGTCCTTGGTCCCTTTGAGGCCTAGGCGTGATGCGAGGTCCGACGGTGAGAGCAACGTCAAGTTGTGGCTGCCGACGAAGGACTTTGGACTGCGTGCGAGGAGGCCTCTGTCCGAGTAGAAGCAATCATGCTGGTCACAGAAAAGGCTCTCCAGAGGTCGCAAGAGCCCATCCGGGCCGTATCCCCAGGCGAACATGCTGTGATCAGGAATCGTCCGAATGATCTCCTCCTGGAGACGCAGAAAGGCGTTGTCGCCTTCGCCGTAGATAGGAGACATGTGGACGCCAAATATACCCATCAGCGAGTACGCTTGGTCCTCGATACGTGATGTCTCCCGCTCCGCCGCCCATGACATCCTCCGCGCGACGTTCGCCGAGTCTACGGTCGCCCGCCCCGTGAGGATATCGAAGTCCACCCCGGTGATCTCCTCTAGAGTTGAGGCGAGCCCGATCTTCGTTCCCAGGAAGCGCCACGTACGTGTCAAGAACTCGATGCGCTCCGGCGCAATCAGCTCCTGCAACGTCCATCCGCGTTTGTGCCACTTGCTGTCCCGGAAACGGGAGGTGTGGTCGCTAGGGATATCGCCGTCGGGGACGTCCTCGAGGTAGACGTAACAAACGTGCGCCAGTCTATACCATTCGTACATCGAGTTGATCGCCTCGGAGAGTTCTGCGCTGCTCGACTTGTCGATGCAGCATGCATCGCTCCATACGAGCTTGAATCCGGCCTCGCGCGCGACCGTGCAGACCCCCTTGATCTTGTCGGAGAGCGCTGGGTGGGATAGAACGTTGTAAGAGGATGTACATCGGTTCCCCAGCAGAGCGAGGGGATTGGAGACACGTTGGATGAGTGAGGGTCGTAGGGAATCGAGGCCTGTCAACTCGCTCAGCACCGCGGTTTTCTGTCTTCGCAGGCTCTCGACCATCGCGTCTTGTAGCTGTAGAACGTCCTGGTACGACTGTTCGCCGCCACGTTCCGTATCTCGCCATACGTGGGATAGGATAGCGTAGATGACACTCTCAGGATGATTGTGCCATTCGAACTCGCCCGTCGAGGTGTTCAAGAAGCGCGGCATCCTACGGACGGCAATCGACACAATCGGTCAGTATATTCTCTGTACCTAAGCTAACAACAAGAAACTCACAGCGTCGAGCCTGAAGGGAATGCGGATGCTCTAAGACAGGCGGTGGAGATGGGGAAAGTTGTGAAAATGAGAACCACATTACCGCGTTACTACATATGTTATGCCACTGATCGCAGTCCGACATCTAGATCGACATGTAGAGCTGCGAACATTGACAGAGAAGATCAGCTCTCGTTGATGTGCGCATCCGGCAATACCCATGGGTTGGTAGGTGAGAGACGCCTTCTTCATCCTCCTGCTTGCGTCGGGGTGATGTCATACCCAGCTGGCTACGTTGTTCTACCATTAACGTCTTACACAACAATACAAGAAAATGCCCGCGGGGTGCGGAGTGGTTCGGATACTTGCAAGCTACTCGTCTTCGTCTTCATCTGCGATGACCATACGAGCTTTCCGCTTCCCTTTCATCATCGCGGCCGTCGGGAGGTCGTCGTCTGATTGCACCGGAGAAGGCGTCCGCGCACTCTCGGCCGCATCCATATCATCGGCCTTGCTCGCAGGAAGAGGCGATGCTGCTGAAGGCTGCACCTCCGTGGCGTCCACCACGGAGCTCTTCGCGGCTTTCGCTCGGGCGCGTGGCCGGGGACGCGGTTTGCTCTTCGGCTGCTCCTCACCGTCTCCCATCGGTGGCGAAGTGTCCGGCGAAGATTCCGACCGCGCCCGCTTGGGGCTCCCGAATACGTCGACTTCGCTCTCGTCGGACGACGCGCTGCTCTCCCGCGCCTTCTCCGCCTCGTCCGCGTCGCCCGCCACACCTTCCTGCCCCGCGCGCTTGCGCCGCTTCTTCCCCGCGCGGTCCTTGCCCTTTCTCCGCCGCTTGCGCATGCCGTGCGCGCGCATCGTGCCGGACTGGCCTGTCGCCGCCGCGAGCTGCGCGGTCTTCTCGCGCAGCGCCTTCTCGCGCTCGAGGAACGCGTCCATATCCCCGTACTCGGCGTCGCTGTCCTCGATGAACTGCGCGGACTTATACTGCTGCGCCTCTTTCTTCTTCCGCTCCTTCTTCTTGCGCCGCGGCGCGTCCGAGTCGTCCGGGTCGGGGGTGGGCGTGCGTTTCCGACGCGTGCGGCGCCGGCGTTTGCGGGCGAGGAGCTCTGCAGGTGACTTGCCCTGCAAGTCGAGGGGCGTTTCCAGGAATTGGGTGATCACGTTCACAGTGCGCTGCATGTCTGTGGGGAGCACGACGGAGGGGATATACCATTCCAGTTCGTCCGCATCTGTAACACGTGTATATTAGAACGTGAATGGTGTCGAATGAGTGCTAAAATGACACACCTTCGTCCATGATCTTGAAACTGCAAAGCCGGAAGAGTAACTTAAGTTGCGGGTTCTTGTTCGCAGCTTCTGCCTCCTCGTCGCTGACATAGGGTATCACTGCAGTACGCCGTGAAAAGCAGGTCAAGAAGATAGAGAGCAGAGAACTCACGATAGTCGTTGATCTTGGCCAGCGCCTCCGCAGACGGCGGTCGACGTCCAAGCAAAGCGTCGGGGTTCAGGTCATCTTCACTGTCCGAAGCGGCAGTCAAGTCAATCGCCTGCGACGGTGCGCCGTCCACATCGTCGATGATCCTCCTCCGGTGCGCAATCGCCAGCGACAAGATCTGCAACAACCGCCCACGTCAGCCATAGTCACACAACGGACATCTCGACAGCCTACCTGCTTTGTCCACTCGACGAGATTCCGCTGATCCTTCTCGACGAGCGCGGCTATGGTGATGCCGATCTGGTCGCTGAGCGAGTAGCCCTTCTTCACCGTGACATCCACCGGGAAGCGGTCGTCGAACCGCGGGCCCTCTGGTCGCGGGCCAACTTGGTCGAGCTCGATGCTCGAGAACTGCTTCCAGTGGCCGCGGTTCTTCGGGAAGAACGCCTGTAACATCAGAGCGGTCAGACGTGCGCCACGGAGATCGGGGTAGTAAGAGACTGACTTCGACGATCACAAATGAGTCTTCCGCGATGGCCTTGAAGAACTTGCGCAGGATGAAGGTGATGAGCGCGACGAGGTCCTTGTACGGCTGGTCCTTCGGGAGCGACTTCTCGTCGGCCATGATCTGCTTGAATAGGTGCATCGTGGATACCTGTGGTTTATTACTCAGCACGCTTTCACTTCCAGTGAGATAGAGCGAAGTATACCATGAAGTACAAGCCCTCCGCTTTGTGCCGTACGGCTTGTCGGTGCATGAGGCTCACGATGCGCTTCATCTGCTCCGGCCCGCTGAACTCCTTGTACCGCGCGAGATAGACGAGCAACGTGCGTGTCACATCCGTATGCACGAATCGCTACATCAACATTGAAGATGAGTGCACCCATCTAACACCGCGCATGAAGAATTCACGCACCTGCTCGAACTGATCGAAGGTGAACATCGTCTCGTTCACGACTTCCTCCTCTTCCTGGTGCTGCGGCTCCTCCTCGACATCAGGCACACCCTCGCCTTCTTCCGTCGACTTCGCTACAGATACGGCCGTCGCATCAGCTCTCCCAGCAGAACATTCATCGAGCACGTACCTCCACGCTTCTTCTTCGGCTTCGCCTTTTTCCGCACGTACATCTCGCCCTTCCCCTGGCGCTTGCCCCAGCGCTCGAGCATGCGCAACAACGCGTACGCGAGGTGCACGCTCGCATCGAGGTACGCGAGGCTCTGCGTGCCCTCCTTGTACGTGCGCACGCTCTCGAACGCGATGTCGAGCACTTCGCCATTGTACACGATCTGCTGCTGCAGCGTGCGCGCCGCGTCTGCGACATCCTCCTCCGCGCTCGTCTCTGCAGACGCGAATGGATCTGGGCCGACTGAGCCGTCGGCAGTTGGTTGCGTGGACGGTGCGGACGCCATGATATCCAGAACGAGCACGAATTGCGTGAGGCACTCGATTCCCGCCTGAAGCTCCGTCCAGAGTTTCGGCTGTTGGTGACATGTGGGTCAGCTGGTATCGGGGTGCGGAATGCATGCGCGCGCACCTTCTCTTCCTGCGCCTCGCGCATCCGGCGGAGAACCCATACAATCCAGCCCCGATCGATGACGGTGGCCACCAGTCCGAATTTCCATCGTGTCTCCTCTGACTGCCGTGAGCGCTCGCACAGGAAATATTCCATGAACCACTTCGCGACGAAGAGCAGCCGCATATGGTCCTTCTCTGTGATTTTCGGCCGCTCCGATTTGATATCTTTCAGTAGAGACGCAAGCAACGCTGTATGCATACACATCTTGAGCTCACGAGTATGTATAGCGTCACGAGAAAAACGTACGATTGAAGCAGCTCTCAATAAACGCACGCGCGAGGTCCTGCAAGACGACCCGCGCGTTGAGCGAGAGGTTGTCGTCCCGACCCAGCTCGTCGACTTTCTTGCCGCGGGCCGCGCGATGCTTCTTCGCCGCGATCATGTCGAGCGCGCTCCCGGAATCCTTGTTCAGCGCTTGCTGCTTATGGAACACGTACGCGCGCGATGGGCCCGCGACCGGGGCAGGCTCCGCGTCCTCCTGCGCCGCCTTCGCCTTCTTGGGATTCAGCGTGACGGAGATCGTCGTTCCGAAGCGCGAGTGTCGCGAGGTCGCTTTCCGCAGGAGCTCTCGCTTCCGCTGCTCTTCTACGGCGAGGAGGCTTTGCAAGGCTTTGGTGGATTGCTAGAAGCGGATATGAAGGCACATCCTCTTCGCATGCAGGAGAGTACTTACCTTGGTCTGGTCGCTTGCTACAGAAGAGGGTTTGACCCCGCGGAAGAGGAGATAGAATATCTCAAGGATCACGGTATTCCACTGGTTGAACATCGCCTCTCCGGCGTTGGAGGCAATCGTGAGCAGGAGGTCGATAAAGTGCGACTCAGACAGGCACTTGACGAGCTTGCTTTGCAAAGTAGAAAACTCGGCCTGGTCCGCGCTGCCATACATGTTCGGGGGTGGGTCTTTGATGAATGCGAGGTTGCGGATGAGGTGCAATACGACGTTAACGACTTGCACGTCGCGCTCCGTCCGCTCCTTCATGTCTCGCGCGAGACAGGGCAAGGTGATCGCAAGGAGGGCTTGGAGAACACCCGGTCGGAGCAGCGCCGCCTTGTAATTTAGATGAGCGAGCATGAGCTGGGTGTAGTCCGTACCGCGGTCGTTCACGTCGTCCAGCTCCTTCAGCTCCTCCGCAAGGTCGATCGGCCAGGTCATGGCGGTCATTAGATCCGCACATGCGACCGCGCGTTTATCCTCGACCAAACCTTTGCCGGCGGTCTCGAGCAGTATCGGAATGAGGTCATTCGAGAGCAGACCGGTCGACCAGAAGATGCGGGCTACGGTGCGGTCGTCGTCGGTGTCGTCCTTGCGCCAGTATTTCTTGAGGTCTTTCAGACAGCCATAGCACTCATCTCCGAGACGATATACGCCGCCCTCTATGCCGCCGACGGCCTCGACCACGCTGCGGATGGGGGGCTCGAGGATGGCGCGGCGATCAACGTACGGCTCGTCGCCAGACTCTCCTTCTGATAGGGATATAGCCTCATCGTCGGACATCTTGGGGGTGTACGCAGAAAGGAATAGTAATCAGGGATAGTGTCAAGAGCACGAGACAGAACTACTCGAGAGGAAAATGAGGACGACGGCGGAAGCGGTGTAAACGGCCGGCACTGCAAGGTCTTCTCTCAAAGGACTTGTTGACGGGCGTAGAGGAGGGATTGAGTCCAGAGGTAGCGAAGAGAGAGCAAAAGACGGCGAGGAGCGCGTGAAAGGCGACGAGGAGAGCGTGAAGGGTAGCGAGGAGAAAGTCAAGGGCAGCGAGGGCGAACCTGATCGCAAGTCGCGTCAAGCGTGACAGTGTCAGTGACAGGGTGTAATGAGCGCGTTACGTAACGCGTGTGTGATGGTAGGCGCTTGAACTTGGCGCTTCGAAGTTCGCAGCTCAAAGTGTGCTCAGATCCTCCTCTACTTTCTGCTTCTCCCATAACCACGACATCGTCTCCGGTGAGTCCTGTTTATTTTGTACTCACAGTGAAGTCATAAGGTAGCAGCTGTACTTACGCATGGCTGCTAGTACTTGATGAAGAAAACTCACCAGCTTACGACTAAGTACTAAAGAGTACTTATCCAGGGCCGAGACCGCAGGACTTGTGCTTATGAACCAGGATACCGCCATACAGCGGACATCGACCTTGTTTCTCCAACGACATTGTACACAAAAAACCCACATAAGTGCTACGGAAACTCTTCAAGCATGCCACGCGCGGCAAGGTCGACGTTGACCGACCATCGATTTCCAGCCTTCTATGCGTGCTATCTTCTCAAGAGTGTGCGAACTCCCAAGGCAACTGCGTATGTATATTTTCTGCTGATTTGAGCTCTCAAAATAATCACGTTATCATAGCACCTACATAGGCAGCACACCGAGTCCTCCTCGTCGCATTCGGTGTGTTGCGTTTTACTATCAACCGAGCAAGAAGTCCAAATTGATCTCGTCTACAGACAGCATAATGGCGAGATCTCTCAAGGCGCATGGAAGACCAAGAACAGTCGGCCGTGGGTCATGCAGATGATCGTCCATGGCTTCCCTTCCAAGCTCGCTGCCCTACAGTTCGAATGGGCATGGCAACATCCTTACATATCACGTCACCTGCGTGATAATGGCGGGAAAGCCATGTTCAACAGCAGCGGACGATTCAAGTACCTCAACACCAACGTGAAGTCAGCCTTTGTCTGCATTCATTACACTGAGTGCTCGTACTCACGAAGAGGCAGGGTCGCACGCAGCATGGTCTCGTCTCATCCGTACAATACATGGCCGCTGAGCGTGAAAATCTTCACCGAGGAGGCGGCGAAAGTTTGGAGTACATCCGCGAAGGATGCTTCGATACCCCCGCTACCTGAAGGCCTGACGGTTTCTCTGGAGTATGAAGGGGTCGACGGAAAATCAGGAAAACCTGGCGCCGGCCGTACCGGTCCTATCGACGTCGTGGACAGTGCGTGCTTCTGCCTTATACTCACCTAAGTTTCTGACACAACGATGTTACACAGCTACTTTTACGACGGAACACCTGCAGAAAGGCGCCTCAATATTCGCCCCCCGCTCCCGCCTGCAGTGTTCCATCTGCCACGAGGAGATCCAGCAGGATGCTGTAGGTGTACTCCTCGGGTCAGCATCACGTCTCTGGACTCACGCTCCGGATATCTAGGATCCGCTGGATACCGCGCTATGTCCAACCGGCGGCTGTAAATCTGTGGCACATCTCGCCTGCCTCTCACGCGATTTTCTGACTAGCGCACCATCCACATCCTCGGACATAATTCCTCGCGGAGGCACATGCAAATCGTGCCACTCGTACGTCCTATGGGGCGATGTGATTCGCGGCTGCTATCGACGGCATCAAGGCGGCGCAACACCAGAGAACGAGCCAGAAGAGCCAGACGATCAGGAAGACGGCCTCGCGCAGCTGCTCGGCGAAGCAGCGGAGGAGCTAGAGGGGCCATCCCAGCCCAAGCCACGGAAGCCCGCTGCACTGCCCTCACGCTCGCCGACGAAACGGGGAAGAGGACGTCCTCCGAAACCCAAGCCCGCCTCGTTTTCGACCGTGGCATCGAGCGACGGCGAGCGGGAGCACTTCGATCTGAACGCGATCAGCAGCTGCAGCGAAGAGGACTCCGACGACGGCCTTCCCTGGACACGCAGACGTCCACATCCACACTCGAAGCCGCCCTCGCGCCCTACCGCGTCCGGGTCCCACCTGCCTGCAGAGCCTCCGCGGGGCACCCAAGCGATAGCCGGGTCGACGCCATCCACCTCACGCGGGACCGGGACTCTCGGCGGTGGCCAAGGCCGCGGCGCACGCCAGATCTCCCACAGCGAGGGTTCCCGTGCGACGGGCGCGGCTGCCATCGAAGATCGCGGAGCGCGTTCGATCACGGCGCCTCGAAGCGCGGGCACGGGGCGTACAGACTCAAGGTTCGTTCTCATGTCAGCGCTGTGCTTCTGTTCTGCCATCTCAGGGATTTGCTCGCGATGACAGGGACAGCCACGGCGCGTTCGAGGTGGTGCCAAGGGGATCGGGCCCCGTCGACACACGAGCTGTGACTGCTCTTTCCCCCAGGCATGAGCGCGATGCCGTGGGAGATGCGTCGCTGCAAGATCTCGCACCCACCGGGAATCGCTTTCTTGAGCCGAGGACGTTGAGGTCGTTTCCCGACCTGCCACCGCTTTCACAGCCACCATCGCCGGCGGCTCGAACGCGACACACACTTCCTCACGATAATGAAATCGTCGAAATATCTGATTCTGACTGATGGAGGAAGAGTCACCTGCTGCGTAAGCCTAACGCTGCTCACGCATTCTCGGAAAACTCACGTCAGATATCTTCCAGGTCGCGATCTGCGAGCCGTCTTTAGCTGCGCACCCTACACGTTCCTGAGCTTGTACATATCCACAATCAGGATCTCTCTACGTGAGTTCCGCCCCATGCCCTGCGTGCTTCGATGAACAGCCCCTGCTGGGTTCCTCAGCTCTGAGAGGAAGGCACATTGCCCGCAGCCCAACCCCGCCCACTTCCTGCGTGATGAAATCGCACACCCTGACTACAGTCGCGTCTTCTGACGGACGCCCAAGCAGCGTGCATCTGCAGGTGCTTGATTCAGCCGCCTCGCGGCGACGCTCGAGCACAAAAGTGGGCGCGCCCTGATGGTGGAACTGTGGACGCATCACCCTATCTCCGGCGGACGTGTTCTCCAAGTCCGCACCGTGATGGACGCCGCGTCCGCCCTGCCTGGGAGCCAATGTCCGCTCGCGCCGCCGGCATTTTGAAGGGTGGCCCAGCCGGCTCGCGTCGCGTGAGGGGCCTGTCCCATGTTATTTTGTCCGCGCCGGAGGCTAACCGAGGGGACCCTGCACAGCCTGCAGTGTTCGTGGTGGCCGTGCGCGAAGCCAGGAAGACTCGGGGTTGGGATGTTGGAAGTGTTCCGACATGGACATCAGCACGGGCACGATCGTCAATTCACAGCTGCCCATCTCACAGGGCCTCGTAAGGCAGACGCCACGCCGTCTGAAGCCCTATAAACCCTGGTCGCAGAGGCAGGAGCTTGTGTTGCGAAACAATCTTTTTAGGTCGTAACCTCTTCCAAACCTGCAGACCGGGCTGCTCACCCTGCGCACTGCGGTACGCGTTCCCTTCCTAACCGCCCTCGCCCAGAACCCCTCTGAATGGTGCCGGCATGCTGCAGGTCTCACCGGCGTCCTGCATCGCTAACGCGCCGTAGTCGATGGCATCGTCGCACATGCCCCTCTCGAGCATCCCGCCATGCAGCAATCACGGCGATTCAGCACCTCGAGCGCAGCGACGGCGAGTTCGTACCCATATCGGCAATCGTTCGTGGAAGTCCGCAATGGCCAGGGATACGTGTCCGTGCTGCCGGTGAGACACCTTGTTGCGATGTGTGGTTTGGGCGCGAGCTGATCGCTATCTGTGCAGCCCATGACGACAGAAGAAGATTTGCTGCAGGAGGGATTGCTAGACGACTCGGAAGCGTACGATCGCGGTCGGAGTCCCCCACAAAAACGGCGCGGCAATGTCTTTCGCGCGATAGTCGTGAGTTCGCGAGACCGCTTTCATGCTCTAGATATCTTTAAGCGAGTGGTAGCTCACTTGAATGGTACCTCTAGGCCCTCGTGCAGCAACTGCGCCAACGACTGAAACGCGGCCACCGGAGGAGCTGACAGAGTCCTGCCGCCTTCCCAGCGCCGCGGGATCATTCCAAAGACTGTGCCGGCGGCGCACAATCGGAGGCGCAGTCGCAGTCAGCGTTGACGTCCCAGGCTTCAACACTTCTATCACTCCCATGATCCACCCCGGACAATCTGTTACTCGCTGTATGACACCCCGGACTCCACGAGACGCAGCGCCAGTGTTTCCAAAATCGAAATCGTCGCTTTGCGATTGGCACAGATGTGAGTATGTAGTACAGAAATGAGTAGTACAGAAAGGTACGAACAGACGCTCTTCGACTGCATCGTCGGGATCCCGGGCCTGCAGCTGCGGAACGTTTGGACCGCGTCTGCCCCTGGAGCGCCATCCCAGTGGTCTGCACTAGCCTGTAGAGACCATGTTGAGATGTACCTCGACGGTTGCCGCGCAGAAGCAGAAGATTCGTACGAAACCCGGGACTCTAACTCCGATCAGAACACTGACGATTGGGGCATGTCTGCTCCGCCATAATCCCTGGTGGGTGAGTGAGCAAGTCGTCGGCGGCGTGCCGTGTATACAGCATGACTGCAACAGCGGTATCTGCCTCTCGTGTTTCATCCGGCGGTACGAACAGACTTTGGCGATTCGAACTCTTCCCGACGGTTGGCTCTTTCAGACAACGAGAGGTACTCTCGAAGACCAAACACTACCTAGTTCCAATTCCTTCCGATCGAAGGATCGTATCGGTACGTTGTATATCCCCTCTGCAGTAGTACGGTGCTCCTCTGATTTACCTCGAAGCTTTGTCGCAGAGGACGGGCATTTTTTGTCTGCATGCGAACATGATGCAGGCCAGCGCATGTATATGACGCTTAGGATGAACCGCCGGTGCCAGGGCGTCGATTCTCGGCTGCACTTTAGTGTACAGAAGCACTGAATGAGAACAGCGCCTTTCGGAAGGGGAGCGCTCGCTTCTGACGAGCGGTGTGCTATCACTGCTATGGACCTGAATCGTGCTGTCTCAGATCTGACAAGTACGTAGAGAGGTTTTCGCCGCCCACTGTATCTCACCGCATTTCCCAACAGCGGCGTAGGTCGACCTGAGGTTGATATCGAAATTCCGGCTTCAGTGACTACAAAGGGATGAGGGCGGGGAAACGATGGTTCTCTCAACCCGCGTCCGATTCCTGCATTCGTAGGATCTCGCACCATCGGACATGCATCTACCTGAAGTGACGCCTTCGTCAAAGATGTCCACAGCACTTGCCAGTGAGCTCTCTCGAATCACTGACTATTCGACTCCAACGGCTCACCAATTTTCGTATAATTGATAGATCCCCTTCTGGAGCTGATCTCGCGGACGCGCATTCTGCCGGAGCAACGTAACGTCGACAATGTCCACACAATCCCGCTCTCCATTCTCGATGCTACGGTCATACGTTTTGCAATGACCAACGCCGCATGGTACTATGACAAGCCATCGGAAAACGCGAAGGCGTCCGACGCACTCTCCATACCCGCCCTCACAAGGTCCCTGCGGACAACCCTCAACGCTTACCCTCAGTGGGTCGGTCAGCTCCAGTGGATAGCGCACGACTCGAGTAACGGGAAACCCGACCGCCGTGGTCGCGCGTCTGTAACCTACGGGTCTGTCAACGACCCGGGAATCGAGCTCATCGTCGCGCATTGCTCCGCAACTCTTGCCTCCCTCGTCCCGGAGAGCAAGACTCGTCTCGAAAGTGGCGCCTGGTGCGCAGACCAGTTCCCATCCACCCAGCTACTCTACCCCACCGAACTCGCCCTGTACAACCCCGCGGACTACACCGGAAAGCCATCCGTCTGTGTCCAACTCACCACATTCGCATGCGGCGGGATGGGAGTCGCTCTCCGGATCGCTCATGCACTGGCCGACGCGACTACACTGATCCAGTTTGCGAAGAACTGGGCCTCCGTACATCGTTCCCTGATCAACAACCAACTGCCACCTGCACTACCAGTCGTTTTCGAACCGCGTCTAGTTGACCGAGCGGCCTCCGGAGACATCGACGGCGTCGCTCCCAACCCTGATATCATCCGTATATCGCGTTCGCTCCCCATCATCAAACACGACTGGAGCTCCCTCGCCCCGGCACAATCGCTGGCCGCAGACGATGCCGAACGTGATGCACCTGTGGCCCATTTTCTTGTGTACCTTCATCCCGTTGAGGTGCAGCGAATCTGGGAGGACGCATCCGCCAACATACCCGCGGGGTTCCGAATCAGTCGCTTCGACGCCCTGCTCGCCTTCATCTGGAGGCTCATTATCCGTGCACGCAGCATGAAGGACGACTCGAGCCCCGTGCATATGATCGTCACCGTGGGTGTCCGGACCCGCCTCTCCCCACCTCTACCCAATGGGTTTGCCGGCTCTCCCATCGTCCTCGCTCGTGTCTCCCTCCCTGCAGACGAGATTTCCACCTCCACATCCCCCGGCGCACTCGCGATCCGTTCCACCGTCTCCAAGTTCACCCCAGAGACCCTCGGAGCGTTCATGCACGATCTCGCGCACCAGGTGGACCCGCAGCGCTACTGGCACGCCTTCCTCCGCCGACGCAACGCCGCCTACACCTGCTGGCGAAGTCTCGACGTCTACGCGCTCGACTTCGGGACGGGCGCGCGTCCGCCCTACATCGATGCCGTCATGCCTAGCATGGACGGGCGGCAGCACTCCGTCGTCACGTCGTGGCAGGACCTCGACGTATACGGGGTCGACTTCGGCGTGGGCGCGCCTCCGCGCTACGTGGACGCGTTCATCCCCAACATGGACGGGTGCATTCACATCATGGAGGCCGGCCCCTTGGTAGGGAAGGCGAATGGCGGAGGAGCCGGACGCTGGTACGACGAGACCGTGTGTTTGTCGCTGCACCTCGCCCGGGACGTGATGCAGAAGTTGTTGCAGGACCCAGAGTTACGGAAGTATAGATCACTACACGATGAGGACTAGAGCGACCAGTCGCGCACCTCATAAACGAGTCATGGACACGTCCCCGCAACCAGTGCGGACATAGTATTCTTCGCAGAAATAGAGTACAAGATCAAACGAAAGAGTTAGGAGAAATAGTACAGTCTCGAGTCTCGAATGTCCGATGCGCACTGGACAGAAGATGCTACAATATCGTGATAAAGACCGAGCAGGCAACGTCAACGCAGAACCACACCTCACAGAAGCAACGCACGACATCTCCTCACGCTCAAGCGTTACCGTCCGCCGCACCCCGACTCTTCCGCCTCATATATTCACTCTGTCGCGCGCGCTTCTTCGCCGCCCCACGCATGCCCTCCGCGCCCGCGCTCGCGCGCCCCGACTTGACGCCCCCAAACGACTTGCGCGCGCCGAAGCTCGAGCGCGTGCGCCCCGTCGGCGACGACGCGGAGCCCTGCGCGGCAGCGGCCCGCTGCGCGCCGACCTTCGCGATGACGCGCGAGCGCGAGATGCGCGGCTTGCGCGCGACGAGCGCCTTCGGCTTCGGGGGGAGCACGGCGGGGCGCGGGATCTTGGATGGGGAGCTGTCCTCGATGTTTGAGAAGAGCGTGGAGGCGGCTGCGCCGAGGGACGGGTGGTATGCTGGGGACGACGGTGCGCCTGGGCTGCCAAAGCCATCCAAGGGTTGGCTGAATATACTCTTGCTTGGCGGGGATATTGGAGACATTCGCCTGCCTGCGATGGGGGATTTAGAGGCCCTGGGAATCGAAGACTGCTTCTCTGAGACGGATGGGAGACCGGAGGTGCGTCCAGACACGGAGGGCCTCATCGCTGCGTTCACTTTGGCCAGAGAACTTGCGGTCGGGGCTAGGAGCGACGAGGTCCTCTTGCGCATGCTCGGTTGATCCTTCGCTTCCTTGTCCGTCTTCGAGCTTGTGGAAGCGAGCGTACTGGTGCTGGCAACGCTCCGATGCGTTCCGATGGATGATACAGCGGTGGAGCCGCCAGACACAAGACTAGACCGAGTGCCCATCGACGACACAGTGCACGTCCGCGACGCCTGGCGAGAAGTAGACGTAGCGGTACCCGCCGTGCTGCTCGTGCGCGACCTCGCGGTCCCTGCGATGCTGCTGGGCCGCGACGCAGCAGGAGGGGCCTGCGCAAAGGACGGGATCGGCGACCGAGCGCGCGAGGTACTCGACCGCGCCGAGTTGACCGTTCCAATCGTCTTTGCATCCGCTGCGCTGGAAGGGTGTAGCATCTTGCTCGTCGTAGACGAAACCGAAGGGATGCGCGAGTGCGTGCCAGAGGGTTTCCGCCCGCTCTGTGCGGGGACCGCGTTGACCGGTGCGGGCACTGCACCCTTCCCCAGGTTCTGTACATCCGACTTCTTGGGTTGGTTGGTTGGGACCACGGGGGCTGCTGCTTTCGGCACAGGGATGCTCGAGGGAGGCGCCTTCTCGTTCGCGGCGGTCTTCGTCTTCCCGCCAAAGCCCCACACATTCTTCACGATCGACTTCGCAGACGACAGGAACCCGAATCTGGATGCCTTGCCCTTGGCTGCAACACAACCCCACATCAGTCCCCGCCCACGGGAATGCATAACACGAAAACAACTTACCAGGCGGGGCGGCGTTCCCACCCATACTAACGCGTCCACGGCTGCTCCGACGACGCGCCTTCGCAGCATCGAGCTCACGCTTCACCGCGTCCCGCTCCCGCGCCTTCTTCTCTTCCGCCGCAGGCGGCAGCGGCGGCGCGAGCGACACGCGCTGCCCACGATGGACGTCCCAGCCCTCCGCGATGCGCATCCGCTTGCTCGACCGCCGCGCGCCCATGTCGTCCTCATCGCGCTCGCTCGCCTTCTCTCCGCCTGCCTCTCCCTCCTCCTCGACGTCGCTCTCCTCGTCCTCCTCGTCGGCGCCGAAGCCCCCGGGCACGCCGCGCTTGCGCGCCCCGTTGCTGATGACGCGCGTCCCCGCAGCGCTGCTGCGCCTCTTCTGGCCTGCGCGCGCCCCAGCGCCCAGCGCCTCCGACTTGCGCTTGCGCGTGTTGCCAGCGGGCCGCCGCGCCGCGTAGTGGTTCGCAATCGAATCCATCTTCGCGAATTGCGCCTCGTGCGCCTTCGCATAGCGGTCCGCCGCGCTCTCTTCGCCGCCACCGCCTGCCGCCGAGGCCCCAGCACCAAACAGCAGCCCGCCGAAGATGCTGGCGCCCGCGGTCTGTGTTGGGGGTGCGGGCCGCGCCTCGCCGTTCTTCTCCTTCTCCTTCTGCGCCTCCGCGAGCCGCCGGTGCATCTCCTCGAGCACGGACTTCGCGGCGCCCTCGAACGCGACGTTGGACACGCCCGCGTCTGACTCGGCGCTGAGCGCAGTCTTCGGGGTGTCTCGCCGCGGAAGCGGAGAGCCGAAGAGGAAGGGGGCGCTGCGCGGGATGGACGGGCGCTCGACGCCGACGTGTGGCACGGCGGCGGCGACGACGGGGGCGGTGGGCTTGGAAGGGGAGAACATATCTGGCTCGTCGACCGGGCGAGGCGTACTCGTCGTGCGAGGAGTACCAGCGGTGATCGTGGCGTCGGTGGTCGTCCTGGTGCGGGCGGGAGTCCTCGCGGGGGTGGAGGCTGACGCGAACATGCCACCCGGCATCGGCGCGTCCTCATCATCATCCCCACCGTCGCGTGCGGCCTGGAGGTCCGCAAGCGGGAGCCGAGGATACAGCCGCTCCGCGCCGCCGTCGCCAACGTCCGCACCGGCCGTACGCGGAGACGCCGGCCACACACTCAGGATGCGTCCCGCGCTCGGTGTACCCATCTTGATGTCGAAGTCGGGCTGGATGGCGGCGAGGCGGGGAGGGCTCATCAGGTAGGGATCCTCGAAGCGCGGAGCGGAGGGCACGGTTACGAGGCGGATGGTGCTCTGGCCGACGCCCATGCTGAGGCGGGCCCCCAGTGGGGCGGGCCTGCCGGCGCGATTAGAGGTGCCCGGTACCGGGGCGTTCTCACCATCCTCATCGTCTTCGAGTCCAAGCATGCTTGCATCGGGAGTAGAGAACTTGAAGTGGTCCGTCTCTGGGAGTGAGTCGGAGGGCGGGATATGGGAGTATGGGGTGGCATGGTCCGCAAGAGAGTCGCGGGCACGCGTGGAGAAGAGCTTGCCGGGAGAAAAGGACACAGGATTCCTCTCCTTGCTGTTGACGGACCCATCATCGTTATCTTGGTTGCACGCGGACTTGCTCACTGCGCGTTTGATCCCGAGGGAGGTTGCGAAAGCTTTCAGCGATGAAGTAACAGAACCTGGTGATTTCGGGGAGGTGCGAGGCATGGTGAGTACATCAGTGGTTCATGGTACGACCACGGGGAAAACACGCGAAGAGCGCGAGGCAAGATAAAATATAGAGCCTCGACCGTGGAGTGGGCGTCGATCATAAACAATCAAGACAGAACGGCCATGAATAACGGATGTTTGGCGGCGCAGGTACTGTCTCGGAAGGTAAAGAATAGAGTGGAGTACGATGAGCTCCGCAGGATCTCACAGCACTCCAGTTCAAAAGGGAATAAAGACGTGCCAGAAAAGTATCAGTGATACATTGACACTAATTTCCGCTGCCTAAGTCATTGTTTCCCTTTGTACCTTAATGCACCTAACGAGCTAAGCTGTTGCAACATATGGTCCTATGCGTTAACCTGCCATCCTGCGGCTGACACTCAACCTCCAGCGCGATCTGGAGGCTGGCTACGAAGGTCATGATCTGAGGTCAGCCTCCCATGCTGACCCCCAGGACAGAAGGTAACGTTCCGCTGTCAGCCACAAAACCTCTATGTGTGTGTCCGCTTGTGCGACGCTCAAGACCATCACATTGAGTTTTCTGCACAGTACTAGCCCGCTCTATCAAGACCGGGGGGCGTCGAAAGGAAACAACTCCGGCGCAGTTCGATGCATTGCATATCAAAGGCAAACAGAACGCGACTCACCCTTGGATGTATGTGTGCCAAACTCGCCATTCGAAACGGTGCGTAGGCTGCCCTTGGAGGACATCGTGCCCATTCCGCTCTCGTCCACCTCCGCGATGTCGTCCATCACGACCTCCCACTGCTCGCTCGGGCGCGGGATCCCGAAGCGCGAGTTCATGATCACGTCTTGCATCGCGTAGTCTTCGTCCTGTTCTTCCTCTCCTCCCTGTGCCGCGGAGTCACCGGGGAATCCCCCAGGGAGGTCTTCCTCCACGTCCATCTCATCGTCGAAGGACGGCGCGGAGAGCGCGTCGGGCGGGAGGGCTTGCGCGTGTTGCTTGAGGCGCTCGATAAGTTCGACGTTCTTGCCGTTCGCCTTGAGAGAGTGGGTCTTGCATAGCTTCACGAGCTGGTCCCGCTTAAGCGAGTGCAGCGCGGGCGAGTTGAATAGAATTTGCGTGGTGGTTGCCATCAGGAGTGTGTCCGCATCTAAGCCAATGGAGATCTGTATCGAGAGCTCTCTGTGTAGGTCTAGCAGCGAAGAGTAGGCCCAGGAGTGTCGGGCGAGTAGTCGGGGCGGCTGGCGGGGGCGGGCTGCGGCGGAGGGCGGGAGATGGTTGGAGTTGAACGAGAGCAACCGCCTGCATTCCAACTCTACCGCGCTCACGTGACCCCATACACAGACGCGTCGCGCTGTTTGCGCGTGCTTGTCCTGGCGCTGCGTCATTGTGGCTGGCCAATTGCAAGCGTAGCTGCGCTACCTAATTTTCGTCTCCTTCTCGCCTCAGATCTAATTACATGTCGATGGACGAAGATGGATACACACATGTCGTACGCGCCATGCAACACGGGTAATCCGGAGGGGCGGAAGGGGATATGACGATGGCAAAGGAAAGCATGCGATGATATTCGAGGTACCAACTCCTCGATCCTAGCTATCCCAGTCCAAGCACCTTCCCACGATCCTCCACATCTAGCCCGTCCACTCGTCAACGCATGTCCACGTACCTCGAAAGGCGACCAGTCCAGTAGAAACATCCTGTTGAAGGTCTCGACAACGCGATACCGGACGACGCTTAGCCCCATCCCAGCCGACCTACCCAACTCGGAAGGACCTCCCGATTCAACATAACCAAGCACTGCGCATTTCGCACCCCGACGACCGCCCCGCACGCGTTCCATTGTTGCACAGGGGTATAAGAACAAGGCGTCGATCGCGGTGGCTGGCCATCCCCCCCATTCTCTGCTCTTACCTCCACTCCGGCCCAGCCACCGCCCCTCCCGGACCCCATCTCTCCATCCTCTCCATCTCGCTTTGCATGCCTCCCGGCGCCGACGTCTCCTGTCGCGAGGCATGTCCATCTTCGGGACATATCGGCTCACACCGCGCACCGCGTCCAGCCCGCGACGACGAGCGGAGGCCCAACTTAGCCACCAGTCTCTAGCCTCCGGGCTCACCGCACCAGACCCCAATAAGAGTCCGGCGCAGTCGACAACCCTTCGACGTCTCCCTCCAAGCATCATTGACGTCCAAACACCGCGATCGGCCACCCCGGACGACGACCGACGGGAGACGACCGCAGCGACGCGGGGGCATAGGACATCCGGCTGATTCACCATGTACGACAAGGTAGGTTATCCTGGGGAAAAGGTGCGTACTCCCGGTATCGAACATGCGCACATTTCACCATTTCTCCCGATATCGTACGTTCGATCGAGGACATCGTCTCCGAGGTGTGGCTAAACTTGACACGCAAAGGAGACGATCCTCGATCGTAAAAGAAGCTTAAACGACCTCGCAGCTATGGACCATAGTCTGCACAGAGGTAAGGGGAGACGTAGACATCGTTTGCTTGCGTGCGACGGTACGATGGACCAATCGCTGTGGGCGTTAGCCATGTCCCGTCTCAAGCGCCCGCCCGCCGCCGGTTGTCGATCGCAGAGTGCTCTCCGCTATTTGGGAGCATATCGAAGGTCGTCCAGCTAGTGTACGACTGTCTGTCGTCGGCGGAGACCCGAATGGAGAACGGCCTGTCATACAAGCAAAGCCCATACCAGCAACGGGATCGTATCGTACTTCCTAACGGCTGACCGGGCGCGTTGCCCTGTCAGCCGTTGGAAGATATGTATGTGCGCTGTGTTCGCTAGAGGAAAGTATGCCCCGAATAACCAAAGAGCATTGCAACATCGGCCTCCCGAGGATGACATGTCCAGAGGAGACTGGGAGCACGCAACTTTACATCGCATGGGACAATGGGCGAAGACACGATCCGGTACTAGGACAAGCCGATTGATCATGGCTTCACCAACAACAGGAGACAATGGCTTCATGGCGACGCATATATGGAGTGGCGCCGGCCGCCACGGACGAAAGAAAACATACGGGACGTACCAAATGGAGTCGGCCGCTCAAGATGACACCCAGAATGGACTTTGACAATGCGGATGTCGCCCGATAGGAGATTTGGAGGATACAGTGGTGGATGCGGGATCCTGTGCCACGGCGAAGGAGAAAATATGTTGCGATGGAGCCGGCAGCAGGTCTTCGAGGACGAGCAAGAGGAATTTAACGACGAAGGCGGGGAAGTAGGAAATTGCATCTGGAAATGTCTTGAAGAACAAGGATGAAGAGAACGGACAGTTATCTGGCTCCAGAGACTCCCCAGGAAGCGGAGTGCCAGTATTGGTGATAATATTCCTCTGCGGAGAGTCCCACATTCCTGGAGCTTTCACAACAATGCCAGGAGGACATGTGGGGAGCATATGGGTCAAAGATTTTGCAAGATTTTGGAGACCCAGGCTAGTGTAAGCCCTTGTTGGCTTGAAGGATGGACGCGGATCGCAGTACCAAATGGTGACATACCGGCGTGCCGCAGTGCCCCAACGCGATATCCATGCGATCTCCAGGCCTCCGTATTGTCTCACAATCCCACCTCTCCGCCCAAGCACGTCGAGCCCAGGAAAGCAGCCACCGTATCCGGACCCAGCAAGACAGTTCAGATGCACCATTATTGTCGCCTCCGTTGAGCCGCTGCGTTGCCATTGTCAGCGACAAGGTCAGGCGGTGATACAAGCCCATGCGATGCAGGGCCGTTGTCATCATCCGAGGACGCTGAGGAGCGATTGCGGGATCCAGAGCCGAAGACAAAAGCCAGGTATAGCGGATTGCAGTTGGATTGCGAGGAGCAAGCGAGAGAGCCGCCGGGAGAGGGAACTGTGGCATAAAGAGTTGCCTGAAACGGCAAATTTGTACAAAGCACCAACAACGCCAGCAAATATGCGACGCGGCAGAAAGAAGGCAATTGCAGGCAATCGTTACGTAAAGGCAACTGAACATGGCTGCTACATATACTCTCCCCCTCCATCCCCTCTAGCCCAACGTCCATCTCTTAACCACCTCTGCCTCCCCTCAGCTAGCCCTCCTCCCTCGCCGCTATGTCCGCCCTCGTTCACCCCGCCGGCAAACGCTTCCTCATGCGCAAGTCCTCAAATGCTGAGAACATGCCTCCCACGCTGGGCTCCGGTCACACGAAGAAGGCCGAAGCGCTTGTTTCGGCCCGCGAGGCCTCGCGCAGACGGCGCGCCCGCGTTGTCAGCGGCTCCCTTGCCCTGCGCAAGTCTCTGCAGAACGCGCAACGGCGCGCGAGCAAAACCCAGTTCTGCCCCGCCCCTCTCAAGCTCGAGCCTGTCGTGGAGGCGCTTCCCCCTGTCATGGAGCCCCAGCAAAAACCCGCTGAGGCGACTCAACCCGCAGCGGCGCCTCAGCCTCCTGTCGGTTCCTTCTTGGAGTTCCCGCGATGGCTTGCGCGCCCTCCATACTTCCCTCAGCCCTTCAACCGCACGAACATCGACTCGTGCGGGGAGGGCGTCGTGGGTGTTCCCCACAAGTACATTCTGCGCGGACTGGACGTAACAGGTCACAAGTGCGTATTCATTCTTTGTGCTTCCGCGCGCTGCCTCCTGACAATGTTTTCAGCATGTGGCAACTCGTCCAAGGCGCCACCTTCGACACCGCGCCCCTAGGGAACACCCTCCCCACCGAGCTCAAGGTCGTCATCGCCGACCACACTATGATGGCTGCCGCATCCCGACTCCCAAGCTCCTTCCCCACCCACGCCCTCGCGGTGTGGGACGCGCCCAACCCCACCGCAGGCCCGCTCCACGGTATCGACCCCGCGACGGGCCGGCGCAAGGTGCGCCTGGTGCCCGTGCACAACCTCGTGCTCGCCGCGCACTGCGCGAACTGGTTCCCCATGCCCTCGAACCCCGCGGCCGAGCGCAAGCGCGTCGTCGTGAACAGCGGCGGCGCCGAGGGCACGGAGCTCACCCTCCCCGTCATCCCGCTCCCGGTCGCGCACGTCGACTCGTTCCACCAGCTCATCTACGGCATGTACACGCACAAGGTCTCGCGGCTGCTCGATGAGCTCGTGCCCGTGCAGAAGCCCGCGTACACGCTGCCGACCGCGGCGAACCCGCACCCGAAGAACCCGCACTACATCATCGAGACGGGCAAGCGGCTCGCCGCGCGCTACCAGCCCTGGGCGATCGTGAGGATGCTCAAGCACGTTATCGGGCTCTGGCAGAATGCGTGCCAGCTCGGCGTTAGCGACAAGCGCATCTGGCTTGCCATCGACTGGAGCTGGGACATGCTCCTCACCGGCCTCGCGCACGCGACGGGCCAGCCGAACGCAGTCCCGCGCCCGCAACCGCGCAAGTTCCGGCGCCCCGTCGCGGCGTCGATGGTCCAGCAGCAGCAGGCTCAGCCCGTCGACGCGAAGATCGAGAAGGTCCACCTCGAGCACGTCCTGCCGCAGTATAGCTCCCACGCACCCGCGCAATAAGTCACGACCGACCCCCTCACCCTGGATACCAGCATACCCGACTCTTGTTTCTTCGTTCTCTTTTGGTGCGGGATCGCGGCGCCCTCAAACCATCATCATCTACACCATCGCCATTGTCCTATATGCCCCTCTCGTCATCGCGCGCACCGCGCGCCCATATGCCCTACCCGCCACACTTGCATCTATGATTGTTCCATATGCCCTATGCCCCTGCCTTCGCACATATCATCATCTCGCGCCGCACCCGTCCCCCGCACCGTATCCTTATACTTTTGTCACTTTTCTTCGTTTTGTCTCTTCGTCACCCCCACCTTTTGTTTGGCCGCAGTCGCTGCGCGCCGCCCTATAGATTCTACGCAGCTGAACGTGAAGCAGTGTAACGCCTACGATAGTGTACCAGTATTCAATGAATTGTCTATCGCGCTTCCCACATCTGTGGTGTGCTTTGTTTGAACGGGTTCCTGGATGATGAAGCCAGGACGAGGGCGCTTTCGCCATGTGCGCCCAATATTGTCGTCACCGCCGGCGTCGTTCGAATGGCTTAGTAGGCCGGCGCAGGATGAAAACAATAAAAATAAGACATCGACGTCGACGTCGACCTCAAGCTTATTCGCACTTGCTTGCGCGCCACTGGTCAGTGCACATGTCGCGTCATCGCAGACGGTTCGCCACATTTCCTCGGGCGCTAAAGCCTCTCTGCTGTTTCTTCTCTCCACTCATGTCCGGGTCGAAACACGATTTCCAGCCTCGGTGGATTCTCTCTTGCTGGCTATGCCTGTAGCTTTGATGAAACCTGCGCCCATGAATCTTCGTCTTGGTGTTTCGATCTCGTCGACAAAGCTTCGCAGTCGTACTCGCCAGCGTCCTATAGCTACTGCCGGTAACTTCCGAAAACGCATGCAAACCAGATCGATACGTTGCTTGCGCAACGCTGGTATGTTTTCTTTCACCTTTGTCAATTTGTTCAGATTCCTGATACCAGCATCGACGTTATGATAGAGTTATTGAGTTATGTCCAGTTTGGTATGGCAGAAGGCGTCTCTCACGCACCCATGGGTATTGCCGGGTGCGCACAGCGACGAGAGCTGATCTTCTCTGTCAATGGCTCTACATGTCGATCTAGATATCGGACTACGGTCAGAGGCATAACGTATGTTGAACCTGGCAGTGATAAGGGCTATAAACGGGGGGCGCGCTGTTGAGAATTCTCGCAGGCGCAGACTTTTCCCCAGCTTTCCACGTCTTCACTCCCTACTTGAGAGCACGCGCATCCTTCTCCATTCCGTGAGCCTCTCCTGCTATTAAGACGCAGAGGGCATACTGATCGACTGTGGCGATTGCCTTCAGTAGGATGCCGCGTTTCTTGAACACCTCGACGGGCGAGTTCGAATGGCACAATCACCCGGAAAGAGTCATCTACGCTATACTATCCCACGTATGGCGGGATACAGAGCTTGGCGGAGAGCAGTCGTATCAGGACGTTCTACAGCTACAAGACGCGATGGTCGAGAGCCTGCGAAGACAGAAAACCGCGGTGCTGAGCGAGTTGACAGGCCTCGATTCCCTACGACCCTCACTCATCCAACGTGTCTCCAATCCCCTCGCTCTGCTGGGGAACCGATGTACGTCCTCTTACAACGTTCTATCCCACCCAGCTCTCTCCGACAAGATCAAGGGGGTCTGCACGGTCGCGCGCGAGGCCGGATTCAAGCTCGTATGGAGCGATGCATGCTGCATCGACAAGTCGAGCAGCGCAGAACTCTCCGAGGCGATCAACTCGATGTACGAGTGGTACAGACTGGCGCACGTCTGCTACGTCCACCTCGAGGACGTCCCCGACGGCGATGTTCCCAGCGATCACGCCTCCCGCTTCCGGGACAGCAAATGGCACAAACGCGGGTGGACGCTGCAGGAGCTGATTGCGCCGGAGCGCATCGAGTTCTTGACACGTACGTGGCGCTTCCTGGGAACGAAGATCGGGCTTGCCTCAACTCTGGAGGAGATCACCGGGGTGGACTTCGATATCCTCACGGGACGGGCGACCGTAGACTCAGCGAATGTCGCGCGGAGGATGTCGTGGGCAGCGGAGCGCGAGACATCGCGCATCGAGGACCAGGCATACTCGCTGATGGGTATATTTGGCGTCCACATGTCTCCTATCTACGGCGAAGGCGACAACGCCTTTCTGCGTCTCCAGGAGGAGATCATTCGGACGATTACTGATCACAGCATCTTTGCCTGGGGATACGGCCCGGATGGACTCCTGCGGCCTCTGAACAGTGCTTTCTGCGACGAGCATGATTGCTTCTACTCGGCCGGAGGCCTACTCGCACGCAGTCCGAAGTCCTTCGTTGGCAGCCACAACCTGACGTTGCTCTCACCCTCGGATCTCGCATCACGCTTGGGCCTCGAAGGGACCAAGGACGTCCCGCCTATCCACAGCCTTTTTACCCCCCAGGGCGTCCGTATTCGGCTTCTATGTCTGGAGTATACCAAGATGCCGCAGCTCCCGGCTCAGCTGTGGGAGCCAGCCCATCTAGCCCTATGCGCTGAGTGCAAGCGGCTCGGTCAGGCGGACACGCTCGCCATCCTACAGTGCGCCGACCGCGTTGGCCTCATCGCGCTGCCCCTCTGTCGGACTCTCGAATCCGGAAAGGCACGCCGTGGACGTTTCATCACGACAAACGTCGCTAGCTGCGGAAAACGGTTCCATTGTCCGTATCGCGCCGTCGTACTCACCCAGGACGCGTTAGCGGAGGCTCTGCAAGTCGGCTCTCCCACTCCTATCGAGGTCTTCCTCCTCCGCCACGACTCAAAACTTCCTCCGAGACCTAGGGGCACGTTCTCGCACTTCGGGGTTTGTCTCTGGCCTGAATGGTACAGCAACGATGCGCTCGCCTCCTTCCACATCGCCCCTCGCAGTATCAAAGTACTGGCTACCCTTGGCGTAACCCTATCGCCCTTACACATCCAACGCGCGGAGGAAGAGATTACATTGACGACCACTATTCAAGTCGCCTGCGCTAGTAATGCCGAATACAGGCGTCAGGAAGGCGGTGTCGTCCAAACTATACGAGTACAGCTTGTCCTCACACGACTTAACGGGACGATGAAGGATACCATGGCACGCTTTACGATCACGAACACCGACCATGCACCGTCCCGCGATTCGACCTCTGCCAGCTCTCAGCATACGTCTTCGCCCGGGCATAACCCCGCGGACAAGAATACCTCGCTACTGTTCCATAGCGAAGAAAGTAGTACCTCTGAAGTATACTCGAGCGGGAACTCGACCGACACGATCGCCAGTGCGGACTTTCTAGTCCCCTCGAGCCTTGGCTGGGAGGGCGCTTCCTGCGAGACCCGACTCCTGCGGGTCGCTCTAGAGCTCCCGGTGGAAGGCAACATGCTTCGCCACCACAAAGACTTATGGCTCTCCGTCGAGGTCTCGGAACCGCATCGACTCTCCCGGAACCGCAATGGGAGCCCCTGCAGTCGCACGCTGCTTACCAACGACATGAGCGACGACGAGGCGTCTCTAGCTTCCGATGACGCTACCCCGTTGTTGCAGTCCGAGCTTTCCGTGAGTGTATCCTTATCAATCGCATTCTATATATTCTAATTGATCATGCGCTGACGCGGGAATCGTGTAGATAGCTTCCAAACCCTCGGAACGATCTGTCCTCGCGACACCTCCGCCAACGGCCGCTACATACGCCCCCATTCAAGCAGTACCATCGGAGACTGTCTTCCCCTCAGAGGCCGATCGTATGCAGCCGCCGGTAGGGTGCGCGTGTGCGGTTCCCCTAGGATACGGAAACACTACACATGATGTCCTTGCTCGGCCGGGCCCTGGGGCAAGCATGTCATTCGAGGTGCCTCCGTTCAATCCGGGTATCGTCACCTGGGAGTTGGAGGCGTACGGAAGCTCTGCTTTCTGCGGTGCTGCTCCGGAGATGCCTATGGAGCTGGACTCGGCGGAGGATACGTGGAGGCACGATGTGCAGGCAGCGGTGAGTCCATTGAGTCATCCCGGAACGCGTCAGATGTGCTCATCGAAGATTTTCGTTTGAAATCAACGGCAGCAGTGCGCTCATGCCTCCCAAACCAAGAGACGTTTTGACAAGGACAACATCTATCATGACGATGGTTATCCCATTGCCCACGTTCCAAGCCGCGCCGCAGGCCTGCTCCCTTCCGTTCCGGACCTCTCCCTGAGTAATACCTCCCAGAATTCGCACGAGGACAACATAGCCGCGTTGCGGTACGAGAACGACGCGCTGCGAGCGCAGATCGCCCGCCTGTCGTCGCAGATGCAGGATGTCGTTTTGAACATGTCCGCGGTCTCCGCGCGCCTCGACGCTCTGCCCAGCTCACAAGGTATGTACAATTATGCTCCGGCTTCCGAACGATTGCTTCAATCAGCATTAACAGTCGATGAGCCGCACACGCCTCCCGCCACTCCCTCGTGCCAATGCCGCGAAGAGCACCGTGGTCGGAGATGTCGTGTTCCAGCCCAAGGCTCCATCGCCTCTCCCGGAGGGCAAGATCGATGACGAGAATACAGCGGAGAGCGCGTGCTCACCGTCCCCGGTGAACTCGGATGCTGATCTCCTGGCAGCCGCGATGCTGAAAGGGAAGCGGAAGGCATCCATCCCAGTCCTCGTAGACGAGGATGAGGTCGAGTAGGTTTGTGCTACCCGAACTGCCCCGCACTACTCCATGCTGTTTCGTATGATTCGGAGAGAACCTGTTGAGTACATATCGTATCCCGTATGGTGCCAGCGTCGTTCGCGCGGACCAGGTTCTAACAACATAGGCCGTCATGACGTCTCAAAGGTGTTCGCGCAAGTGCAGGAACCTTTGTGGAGACGCACGTACGGGACCATCACTCCACGGAGCATCAGCCGGGCCACCAAAGGGAGCTATACTTGCCTCAAATACTGTCTGGGAAGATGTCCATCCCTTCCTGGCGCGTCTCACCATACAACGAGTAGCGCTAAGTAAGAAAAGGTACGCCGGCATTATCCATGGAAACCGGGTCATTCTCATCCCATATCTCGCGCAGCGCTATTCCATGGTTCGTCATTCTGTGGCCTACGCGTATTCAGATGAGTACAGCTGGCAAGAGCTCGCCGAGGTCAATGCGATGGCGTATGTGGTCCCTTTCACTGGCGAGGGAGTTCAGTAGCGCAACGTCGACCAGCTGGTCACCGATGACCACGGGTGAAAATCACGCAGCCCAGATCAAAGAGGAAACACCATCGCCTGCTATGAGACGCCTATACATGTTCCAAAATAGGATGAACATCTGTCAAAGTTGAGTTTGGGGCGGGAATGTTGACTCCCGGAAAACCTCGGACGCGTTCAGGAGCGCTATCGACCTCTCTCTACTCCCACCACTGCCCTGTACCCTCCAGGAGCTGCTGTACGTGCCCCAGTCCTGAGCAATAGCGTAAGGTTTGGCTTCCGGCATGGAGGATATGTTACTCACGTGGCGCGATGATTCATCGTAGAATGCCGCGGTTCTTGAACACCTGGACAGGCGAGTTCGAGTGGCACCCCAATCCCAGAGAGGTCACCTACGCCATTCTATCCCACGTTTGGCGCGATAGCAAACATGGCGGAGAGCAGTCGTACGGCGACGTCTGCAAGATTCAAGATACTGTGAGGGCTGGCGGACCAGTTGCCACGGACACGTCACCGACCAAGTATCAAGAAGAGATGACCATCTTTTCTCACCCGGCGCTCTCGGACAAGATCAAGAGCTTCTGCGAAGTCGCGCGCAAGGCGGGTTTCCGGCTCGTATGGAGCGATGCATGCTGCATCGACAAGACGAGCAGTACAGAACTCTCCGAGGCGATCAACTCGATGTACGAGTGGTACAGACTCTCGGATATGTGTTACGTCTACCTTGCGGACGTCCCGGATGGAGATCGGCCTTTGGATCGCTTCTCCAAGTTCCAGGAGAGCAGGTGGCACGAGCGCGGCTGGACGCTGCAGGAGCTCATCGCTCCCGAGCGTGTCGTGTTCCTGACGCAGACCTGGCACTTTCTTGGCACGAAGATGGGGCTCGCTCGGAGTCTACAGCGACGAACCGGAGTCGACTTCGATATCCTCGTTGGCCGGACCGCCCTGGAGGCGGTCAGCGTTGCACGTAGGATGTCATGGGCTGCTACGCGACAAACGACGCGCCTCGAGGATCAGGCGTACTCTCTGATGGGTATCTTTGGCGTCCATATGCCGCCAATCTACGGCGAGGGCGAGAACGCAATCCGCCGTCTCCAGGAGGAAATTATCAGGACTATCCCCGATCCAAGCATCTTCGCATGGGGGACAAGTTGTCCCTTGCGGACTCTGGGTGACTGCGATCCGGATGGGTCTAGCCAGCATAGCTGTGGGCTACTCGCGCGCTCATCGAGTGACTTCCGGCTGTCTGGCGGCATCATTCCTGCCTCACGCCTCCATTTCTCCAGAACCCTAGGCCTCCAAGGGAGCGAAGAGTTCCCGCCAATGCATTGCATCTTCACTCCGCAAGGTGTTCATATGCGTCTTCTTTGCTTCCCACTTACCGGAATGGTGTCGCACGCTTTGGAGACTCTACGGACAGGGTCGAGTGAGGATACAGGCGCACAGTGCGGACGCCTACCAGTTGAGGTGGACATGCTTGCTCTCCTTCGATGTGAGGATGAGAACGGTCGACTTCTCGCCCTCCCCCTGCGGCACTCTCAAGAATGTGGAAAACTCTTCGGCGCTACTATCGGGACTCACTTTGGCTGCACCGACAACTTGCCAAATCATGGTCCCTACCGCCTTGTCAGTTTAGCGACGGAGGAGTTGGAGATACTCCTGGAATACGTCCGGCCTACGGTTTCTGAAGTGTCACTCTTCCACCACGCCGCCCCACGGCCCTCAATCCCCAAGTCGCTCCAATTGGAGCACTTTACTCTCTTTCTCGCGCTTCCCGCCTGGCCTCTGTCTGGCACCGATCTGGTCGTCTTCGACATCGCTCCCCACAGCATCGATGCGCTCGGTGTGCTCGGCTTTGTCAGTTCCCCTTTACAAGTCGTACGCTCCGAACTAGAGATCGTTCTAGAGACGACCCTTTCGTTCAGCGATGGGGGCAGCTTGCGAACCCCATACACCGTCGAGATAACCTTCACCCTCACAGAGCTGGAGAGCTTGGATACAAAGGCGTGCTGCTCGGTCAAGTGCCAGGGTGCGAAGGTCATCGAGTCGCGCACTTTTGATTCCTCGTCCGACACCATCACCCCCACTCCATACGAGTTCCGCGTCGTCACTCCTCAAATTCTGGAGCCCACTTCGAAGCTCAACGATCATATCGACAGCAGTACGTCCGTTATCGGAGTCTATTCGGGCGTCAGGCGTACGCTCGTCCTCACCGAGTACACACTCCAATCCGACGGCGACCTGGAGGATGATACTCGGACTTGTATGGTTCGACTCTTGCGTGTTGCGCTAGAATTCCCCTTCGCAAGTCACCAAGTACCATACGATTGTCCTGACGGCACGAAGTTCTGGCTCACCCTTGACCTATCGGACGAGTACGAATCTACGTGGCCCACGGAGAGCGATTTGGATTCGTCAGAACGGCCTGATCGGGTCAGCGAAGAGAGTCCTTCCAGCAGTCCAGTGACCGAATACGACGGCCTTTCCTCACCCGCAACCAGGATCCTCGACCCCGTCATGGACCCACCATTGGAGACTGCAGCTGCGGTGAGTATATTTTAGACCCACCCCTTAGATCCTCTTTTGCACCATCATGTCCGGTGAGCTGACGGTCACGGGTCGTGTATAGATGCCCTTGGTAGACTCGGACAACCCTACTTCCACGTCAGCCGTTGATATATCGGATGCTACTCAGGCGGAGACCTCCGAAGAGGATTCCGTTCAGCCACAGAAGCCATTCGAAGCGAACGCCCGCCCCGTACGGTTCCAAACAGACAGCCCCACCGGCATCTTGGCGGAGTCCCCGCTCTCCCCGTGGCTGTCGAACTCGAACCTCAGGAGCTCGGGGACGGCTCAACCTGATGTTATCGTCCCTCTTGAGACGTACACCGGCCCTCAGAGCGCGAACAGGAGTTGTAGCCGAAGCACGGAAGAAGTCGTGATCACGTCTCAAAAAGTGGTGCGCCCGTTCTTTCGTTATTATTCGTCATGTACCAAGAGAGCTAACGTTTAAATATACAGCCACATCCGCCCTCGTTTCAGGAGATTGCACAGAACATAGTCGAATGCACGTCCACTGAACAGTCCCACTTATCGCAAGAGCTCGGGGGGAGTGACACACCTCAACACGCGGAGACACAGTGGTCGTCGTCCGAATATCCGGATCCCCCTTCGTCATCGACCACTCGCATCGAAGCCCACGACTATCCACAGCCCACTGCAGACGCGGACATACACTATGCCCTACAAGATAGCGTGAACGCGCTGCGGGTGCAAGTCTCCGCGATGAGCTCTCAGATCGCTGAACTCACATTGCAGAACGCCGGCGTAGCGTCGGAAAACGCCATTCTGTCCATGCAAGTTGCGTATATCTCGTCGCAGATGACGGATATGTTCGCCCGGTTCGACCTTCTCACCGGCGCTTTAGGTATGTAACCTCCCGCTGTAGTGGCCCCACTGCGCCTCTGATCGTCTATCACACAGGTCCCGGAAATGTCGCCGAGCCCACTAGCCAGGAATCATAGTCCTAGGAGACGAAACGTATCTACAGACAATGCCGTATATAGGCTAGGCCGCAGCAGTCGCGATGTACAGCCGCCCAACCCCATCGGGGAACGTCGGCTGCGCGTACTGCCACAACGGGGTGGATGCACCGGTTTTGGACGCATATGGACTGCCACAGCCAGTGAGCGCTGACGCGCTGACGTTCCAGTGATCATGCACTCCTTGCACATCTTGTACGCGTACCGGGCACGCTGTCAGCCCTTCCCCCCATCCCTCCGTCCCCAGTCTCTCCAGAATTCGGGTTGAAAGTTCCCTGCAAGTTCGCGCGACTTACTCACGTGAGTCTGAGACTCAGTTGGCTTGCCAATTCAATATATGGGTAATTTACCACTGAGGCCTGTTGCTCGCAGAATGCCACGCTTTTTGAATACTTGGACGGGCGAGTTCGAGGTGCATTCCGACCCCAAGAAGGTCACATATGCCATCCTATCCCACGTCTGGCGCAGTGCGGAGGACGGTGGCGAACAGACGTACGGCGACGTCCGGAAGATACAAGTCGCAGTGAAAAAAGGCCTATCACATATCTCCAGTTCCCCGCCTACCAAATATCGCGAAGAGGGCACCATTTTCGCGCACCCTAAGCTTTCGGACAAGATCAAGGGTTTCTGCCGAGTCGCACGGGAGGCCGGCTTTCTTCTCGTATGGAACGACGCTTGCTGCATCAACAAGACCGACAGCGTGGAGCTCTCCGAGGCGATCAACTCGATGTACGAGTGGTACCGCCTGTCGGACATGTGCTACGTCTACCTTGCGGACGTCCGGGATGGCGATAGGCCGCAGGCGGGCTCGTCTGCGTTCCCGAAAAGCAGATGGCATACGCGCGGCTGGACTCTGCAGGAGCTCATCGCTCCCGAGCGCCTCGTGTTTCTGACGGGAACCTGGCGCTTTCTTGGCACCAAGATGGGCCTCGCTAGGACTTTGCAAAAGGTCACTGGGATAGACTTCGAGATACTCACAGGACGGGCTACATTGGAGTCCGTCAGCGTCGCGCGAAGGCTGTCATGGGCCGCAAAGCGAGAGACCACGCGTGTCGAAGACCACGCGTACTCCTTGATGGGTATCTTCGGCGTCCATATGTCGCCTATCTACGGAGAGGGCGAAAACGCCTTCCTTCGTCTCCAAGAAGAAGTCATGAAAACCGTCCCCGATCAAAGCATTTTCTCCGGAGGCGGCAGTTGCACGATGCATTCCCTGACTAAACGAAGCAGCAGTCATGAGCAACTTGGCCCACACTATCCAGGACTCTTTGCGAGCTCTCCGCTCGCCTTCACGTCGGCTAGCAGCATCACCCCCGTTACACCCTCCCGTCTCGCAACGACCCTAGGGCTCCGAGGGAGCGAAGATGTCCCGCCAATGGATTACGTCTTCACGCCGGAGGGCGTTCGTATGCGCCTTCTATGTCTCCCTTTGTCTGGTTCACAACTCATTCTGGACACGTTTCGGGAGCTGAGGACCGGGGATGCATGCGTACGATGTAGGCGGCTGGGAGATCCGACCTGGATAGCTCTTCTACAGTGCGAAGACGAGTACGGCCACCCGATTGCGCTCCCCTTGTACCGCCCTCGAAACCAAGGCGGCAATGACCAGGGCCTTTCCGTCGGGACTCATTCTCCGTGCGCGGACGTCGCTGGTCAGGAACCGTATCGCACGGTCCATCTTTCCCAGGAGGCATTGTCGATTATCCTGAACCGCCTTCAGCCCAAGGTTGTGGAAGTACTGCTCCTTCGCCACTTCTCACGTCCCTCGATCCTGAAGTCGCTCCAACCAGACGATGACCTCCCGCGACTCGATCTCTGGCGGGCAGATCACTATCAACAAGTCGCGTTTGACATCGCTCCCCATAGCGTCGATGCCCTCCGCGCACAAGGATTTTCCCCTTCATCTCTACAAGTCACATACTCGAAGACGGAGATCACGCTGAGGACTACGCTCGAACATAGCAGTGGCCGGTACTCTTCTCGAGCCCCGAAAGCCGTCCAGGTGCAACTTTCCCTCACAGACATGTCGGACGACACCAAGTTTGAGATCAGATCGGCCAAATACACAGAGGCGCGCTTCTTCGTGAATGGTGCGGCTTTAATCGTGCTCCGAGTTTCAATTTACTGACTTCTACGCAGCTGAAAGCGAACAAGGAACCTGGAAGGTCTACATCAACGATGCCAATCGCCACGGCGGCCATGCCGCGTCTACTACTCGTACAGGACATTGCATGCTCGACATCTCTAGGCGCACCATCGCCCTCGCGGAGTACATCGTCCATTCTGACGGTGAATGGGGAGAGGATAGTCGACCACGCATCGCTCGGGACATAAGGGTTGCGCTAGAGTTTCCCTTCGCGAAGCCCGCCGACGGACGGACCTCAAATCTCTGGCTGTCTATCAACATATCGGAGTACCACCTTGAATACATACCCCTGATCGAAACCGCTCCTACCCAGGGTTCCTCATCGGAACAGACTGGGAATGTCTCCGCCTTCGCCTCTGCTGCCTCCTCCCCCTCTTCCTCCTCTACCGTCACCCCTACCACTCCGACACGCCAGCTTCCGCCACTGACCCTGCCCGAACACGACCAGTCACACATGTCCCCCAAAGACGCAGATGTCCATCCCGCGACTAAGCACGACTTCAATATCCTCCAACGCGAGAACGCCACCCTCCGCGCGCAACTCGCACTTCTGACGACGAAGAATACGAATCTAGCGTCGCAGGTGGCAGCTCTCTCGTCGCAAAATTCAGTTCTCGTATCGCAGATGGCGACCGTGTTCGCCCGACTCGACGCGCTCAACGCGTCCCCAGGTGCGTACCTTCTCCATTGTTATAGCGCGAGGTCACCGTTCGCTGACGTACTCGATGGCGAAGCTACAAACATAATCGAAAGGGAGGCTCGCGATCCTGTGTAAACTGATGATCGCGCCGTGCTGGGCATGCATCCCGGCTTATAGAGACACCATCTGCATCGTGTCCTGGTTATGAGCAGCGTATATTATGTATTCGAGGTGATCGTGCGATATACACTATCCTTTGGGAGTCGCAGACATGTTCACACAAGGCATGTAGGAAGACGTAAAGCACCGTGGATCCTGGAACGGCACACTCTCCGAAATGACTAGAGGAGCTCAAGCTCCCGAACAAGCCTCCATGCAAGGACCACCTCAGGGTTCTTCGAGAGCCGGGCGATGATAAAGGAGCATCATCCCGAGAGACAAATACGGATCCTTAAGTCGCACACACACTCGCATGCCGCGGCGGGTAACCTTACCAGAGGATGGGAAATTCGTTCCTACGCATACGTGTGCAAGGCGTTCCCGAAAGACAGCCGTTATCATCCAGTTCCAGGTCGTTATGCTGCAAAGACAAAAGCGGCGCAGCACGGTAGTTGAGTCCGAGTATACGGGGAGTGCACTATGCACTGGAGTTTGTCTAGCAGGCCTTTTTTGTATCTGCACGCTAAGCACATACGGAGTCGTGGTCGTGACTAGTGTCGGACACCAGGAGAGTGCTCACGCCAAAGAGCAGTCATATGCATGACGTCATCGATACTGAGGAGTGATACCGCCGGGCGCTTCGCCCTGCCCTTATGCTTGTCTTTCACCATCACTTGCGCGCGCTGGTCCTCGCTGTTCTGGTTCTTGGCGGTACTACAGAAACTTTATTAAGCTCTTCTGGCGTTCAGGTCTACTCGCTGCATGCTATTGGCTTTGGATACTCCTCATCTTCGTTCTCCCCGTGCCGTTCCTCTTCCCGCATGCGAATGTTCAAGAGTTGTGTGGCGACAACGGGCAGACGTCAAGTTTTTCGCATATCTGACATTAGGCTCAGGCGTTGGTTCTCGTTCCAGTAAGCATTATACAGTCCTCATCCTTCACGTTCAGCCCGCGATTCGTTGGTTTGGTCTGTATCTGCTCTTCCGCTGCCTATGCAGTCGTACCGCTGCGCTCCATGGTGATGTGGGTCAGTCTCATGTGCTCGTGATACCTCTGGCAGCTTCTGGGGTTCATAAGTACTGCTGTCACTAAGGATCATGGTAAAATGTCCTCATATTTGAACGCCCTCCGACTATTGCATACGCTGACGCACACAACGAAGCGCTCACCGTGTACACACGCCTGTCCTCGTGAGGTCGCTCTGTCCTCCACAGCCCAGTTGAGGAAACACGGGCATCATTTTCGCTCAGTTCAGGCACTACGAAGGACAACAGTGCGGATCGACTCCCTGAGCAGCGATACGAGCGGTGATCTCATCCTCCAAGAACTCGAGCTCACGATCGCGGTCTGCACTTCTCGACGGCGCGCTCAGCTTGGTTATCGCCGTCTGCGACATACTCTCGCCCAGCATCATGACGCAGACCTACGCAGGCCTCACGACAGTTCGGCGCAAGATTCATCTCGTACTCTGCGGCGGACCTTCATGCCGTCGAAGCGCACCGCGGAGTCTAAGCAAGTCGTCCTCTACAGTGTCTGCGGTGTGCGCTCTGAGCACTCACTACCCGTATCATCTCTTTCCGTCGCACGGACCTGAATGCGAGAGTACATGCACGGCTTGTGCGCATACAGAGCTCACAGTTTCGGCGAAATAGTACCCCTCCCCGAGCACCCTTCACCACACTCAAGCTTTCCCCCGCGGACTCGTGCCACCAGAACTCGTGTTGCATGATCGAGGGCGGTGAGTTGCGCGCCCAGACGTGGGATACTGTGCGGAGACCGACAACTTGCTGTCTTGGCTGGCAGTCGACTCGGCAGGCTGAGATGTATTCCTCAGGATCTGCCCACCATGCTTCGGAATGTCTAGCTGCGGGCCGAAGCAAACTGCGCCACCCATCTGCCACCACGCCTGCTGCCACCGAGTGCCGCACACTTTCTGTCACAAGGGGGTCATGCGAATGTCATCCGCGGCCTTTCGCATACCGCATGCGTCCGACTGGCTCTATATTCCGCAGTACCGCTTCCCTACATTCTGGGCGACTGGCAGGATTACTCCGAACTGTTCCTAATGCGATGCTGTCGCGGTTGTGCGATGGCGTCATGTCAAAGGCACGTTCAGGTGTCTTTCGTCTTTCCCTCCCCAACTTACGCGGCGTATACTGGCGCACACAGGTCTAGGGGAATGGTATCTAGGATGAATGCCAGTCGGTATGTACGTTCATGAATGAGACGCCTACACCTGTAGTCCCACGACGCCTGACGTTCGACAGATCCCATAGATAAGAAGGCGTTCCGCATCAATCGGAAAGCTTTATCGTTTTCCCCGGTGAATTGTATCAGCGGGGGCTGTATAAAGACCCAAGCTTTCTATCTGTCATACGCGTACTGGGAACGCCGTCAGCAACACCTCCCCCCTCCCTCCCGACTCGCCAAAAGCAGTACCGTGCTGGTCTGGATCAGAGGGAACTACGTAAGCATAAAACTCGCGTTGCATTTGCATACAAATTCACTTCTGATGATAGCATGCCGCGCTTCTTGAACACTTGGACGGGCGAATTTGAGTGGCACCCCGATCCGAGCACGGTCACATATGCCATCCTATCCCACGTGTGGCGCGATCCGACGGACGGCGGCGAACAGTCATACGACGATGTACGAAGGATCCAAGCGGTTGTGAAGAAAGGCTGGCAAGAACCTCCACCAAGCGCCTCCGACACGTCCGCGTCTACGGAGAGTCACGAAAGGAGTACCATCTTCGCCCACCCAGCGCTTTCAGACAAGGTTAAGGGATTCTGCAAGGTCGCGCGCGACGCCGGTTACCGGCTTGCCTGGAACGACGCGTGTTGCATCGACAAGACGAGCAGCGCGGAGCTCTCCGAAGCAATCAACTCCATGTTCGAGTGGTACAGACTCTCCGATATGTGCTACGTCTACCTCGCGGACGTCTCCCATGGCGACAGGCCCCAGGATCGCAGGTCTGAGTTCAGGCGGAGCAGGTGGCACAAGCGCGGGTGGACGTTACAGGAGCTCATCGCGCCAGAGCGCGTGGAGTTTTTGACGCGGGACTGGCGCTTCCTGGGGACGAAGACAGGTCTCGCTCCGACTCTGGAGAGGATCACCGGAGTAGACGTCAGCATCCTCACAGGCCGGGCCGCCCTGGACTCGGTTGGCGTAGCGCGGAGGATCTCATGGGCTCACCAGCGGGAGACGACGCGCGTCGAGGACCGCGCGTACTCGCTCATGGGACTGTTCGGCGTTCACATGTCTGCCACCTATGGCGAGGGCCACAACGCGTTCATCCGTCTCCAGGAGGAGATCATCCGGACCATTCCTGATCAGAGCCTCTTCGCGTGGGGCAGTGCTACCATCCCCAACTCTCTGATAACCACCCGACCTTTCTTTTTGCGGAGTTCAAGCGAATACGAACCATATCTGCTGGCGGATTCTCCGCACAATTTCTCTCCACGCGATATCGTTCATCCGATCTCCTCAGAAAGCTTCGCCTCGCGCCTGCACATTGATATAAGTGATCTCCCGTCTCTGCACTGTCTGTTCACTCCGCAGGGTGTTCGCGTAGTGCTGCTATGTCTTGATCTTGCGCACCTACCACAGGCACCCGACTTCGCGCCAAATTGGACTGGACGTATCCGAGGACCCCTCTTCGAGCCCTGCGCCCAGTGTGGTCACTGGCCCATCACGGACAGACTCGCCCTGTTGCGGTGCGAGGACTCGGAGGGAAACCTCGCCGCGCTACCTCTGTGCGAGCCAAGGCCACCAGGCAACGATCGTGGACTCTCTATCACAACATACATTTCGTGCGGTGCGTGTCCCGCGCTGCGCCACCGCATTGTGCTCCTGAAGCCGACGGTGTTGGAGGAAGTACTAGAACACGTCCGGCCGGTCCCTATCGAACTTCATCTCCTCCACCGCAACTCGTCTCCACTGATTCCCAAATCATGCGTCGGATTGCGCCTCGAAGTTCCCGCGGGAGCTCTGGTTCCGCGGACTCGGGCTGCCTTGCTGGCTGACGATGGCCACGCCGCCGTTGGTATCTCACCTCGCAGCGTCAAAGCCTTGGCTGCCATCGGATGCTATCACTCCCCTCTAGATGTCACGTACTCGGAAACGTCCCGGGATATCTCTCTAGCGACCACTCTAACTCTGACCGTGGGTGACGCCGGCGACAGCTTTGAAGACGACCCGGAAGACGATTTCGACTCGGAAACGGAGTTCAGCCAGGAAGAAGTGTCCTCAGCGTTTCAGCAGGCTATTCAGCTGTCTATTTCCCTCAGCTCGTACACACCGTCTACGCGCAAACGGCCTCCGAGCTTGACTGTCAAGAAGCAACCCCCAGAAGACGATACAAAGGCTCGCTTCTCCGTCATCAACTTCATCCACATCCACGATGATCAGCCGCCGTCCTCGAACCTCTACGATTCTGAATCTACAAATCTGAAAGATATCGCTAGCATGCCGAGATTCGAAGCCCCATGCGTCGATGGTAGCGATGGTACTCGCACTTACACGTTCAACACCGGGGGTACCCTCCAGCGAATTGTCGCACAAGCCGACTTTATAGTCCCAGCGAGCCTCGACCGGGAACACGATCACTTCAAAGTTCGGCTTCTGCGCTTAGCGTTGGAGCTACCCCATCCCGGTGCTCGCAGCGACAACGACGTCTGGCTGTCCATCGATCTCTCGGATATATTTGAGAGAGAGACCGATAACGCCGGCCCATCCTCTGCGATACTTCCTGCCGACGGTTCATCGCGACCATCAGGTGCTACAGTAAGCCCATTCCACTTCGATTTCTACGCTCCTGGCTTTCCCACATTTTCAATGTACTGACGAGTTCGCTATGTAGGATCCGGTACTATGTACATCTCCGGAACCTCTCGAGACATCCGAGTCTATCATTATACCCGGCTTCGAGCCTGCGAGGTCCTCTGAACTCCCCGCCCCGCCACAGCCCAGTCAAAAGCGGCCACGCCAAGCTAGCTCGCGTCGGGCGTCGCTGGGGAGCGAATATGCGAAGAGGATTTGCCTGTCTGGGCCCCAAACGGACGACTTCGCAACAGATAGCTCTTCAGCGGGTGGCTGCTCGACGGAGAGCTTCTCGGAGGTACCTCCGCTCACTCATTCGCAAGGGCTCTCGAATTCGAACCTCACTGGAACGGCTAGCTTCGAGAGCGCCGTTAGTCATGGGATGTACGGCCACGGACGGTTTGCCACCACGGACAGGACTTGGAGCGAATACAACGGAGAAGGAGTTGAGATTATCTCCTCGGACGTTGTAAGCCTGTCTCCTCGTCGTCATCTGCTGTGCTGACATATGTACCCACAACAGCCCACATCTGTTGCCGTGCGAGATGGAGACGGTGCTATTGACAGCCGTATGATTCCTGAGGTGCCGGGCTTCGCATGGGAGCTCCCGCAATGGCTTTACAGCATCTCCGAGCGGAGTGACACACACGAACGTGCTGAGAGCGTGTGGCCGCCGCCTGGATACCCTCCCTTACCGCCGCTAGGATACACGCCATCTGAGTCGACAACGGACCTCCAGAGCGATCGCTTTCCCGAGTCGATTGCAGACACTGGGGCGTCGTACGCGAGGCGCGAGAGCGTTGATGCGCTGCGACATGAGAACAACGCTCTGCGGACGCAGATCGCAGTTCTGTCTTCCCAGAACACCACCCTGTCGACGCAAATGCAAGACATGGCGTTGAAGATGTCCACAGTGCTCGCGCGGCTTGACACTATCACAGACCCTGCAGGCGCGTGCAATTTCTTCACTGCCTCTCCCGTTCATCTCATTGATCTCCTTCACAGGGCTCAAAATTCCACCAGCGCCGCTCGCTGGGAAGTAAGGTAGGGGATATAACGTGCGTTTCAGTGTCCTAGACAGTGCTATGTATATGACATCACGTAAAAGGTCCATAGTCGCCCTCGCACATAGCAGACGCCAAGAATTCGGATGCGTCCATGCGTCAGGAGAAGGGGGGAGTGAAAGTGTAGTGCTCAGCGCTCAAAGTCCGCGTACGTTTGCGAGGAGAGCGACGACGAATATGGGGCAAAGAGATAGCACTGCGTGAGACGATGCGGCGGCACAATTTGCGGAAGCGGCCGGGTATGGGTAAGGATGGCGTAGGATAGACTATAAAGGAGAGCGGGGCCAGACGGGGCGGAGGGAAGCCTGCGCGGCGACCGTGCGTCTATGAACACCTCCAACAACGCGAGCGAGCTATATATCCGAGTCTCTGACACCCCGGAGCAGAGACAAGAAGTCGACGCAGGATGCGGCGTCGCCAATATTTGAGGGATGCTGATGGATGGCGGAAGATTGGACCACGACCCCAGCCGGGTCCTCGTTTGAGAGCCGCGAAGAGCTCCGTGGAAGACGCGTATTTCGACTAGCAGCCTTAGATACGGTGTTCGCTTCTTGCGAGCGGGTCGGCGGAAAGAACGCAGCGGATAGTGCGTGATCACCTTCCCCGGCGTAGTCGAAGGACGAGCTCTGATGGGTGGGAGGCATATGACTCACGCAGTCATCCCAAACGACGACCAAGCCGACGAGTAGGGCTGCTCTGAGGGTTTGGTGTGTGAAGACGACGATTGACAATGACAGTTTGCTAAACATCGATGAGCGAAAGGAGATCTACGCAGCACAACACAGGATAGGGAGCATACCGTGTTTAGTGAGATAGTCGTGATATGCCATTGGGGCAATGCTAGGCTAATCGACGACGCTTGCGTGGGCGACGTTCTGAGTATGAGGAGTATGATTGTTAATTGAGGACTCGTTGTTCAGGTGTTCGCGCGCATACCTGAAGTTGTCGTGATGGCTCGTAATTCCGAAGACATCGCAGCCATCTCCGCGCGGGTGTCGTTGACTTCGCGTTGCAGTTCCTCGACGCGCTGCATCAGCCGGGCTACTAAGTCGACCTGGCCATACGTGGAGCTGCTGCGAGACGGCGCGGACACGGCACTGAAGAGGGAAGGTGATCGCGCGGCCACTGAGTGTGCGTCTGATGCATCCATTTCCGCGTTTTGTAGCCCGGGCTCGTGCGCGTGGTCTTGGGCCAGCGTGTCCTCTGCAAAGACATGAGGCAGATATGCGATATCTTCTAGGTCGACGGCTGGAGGCTATGGGACGTCTCAGACTGGGCGTCCAGGATGCGTGAAATGGCAGCAAATTGTGTCGTACCGGTATGCATGTCATCACAGGTATGACTGATGGCCGATTGTATGGCGGCGGGTATAGTGGAACACCCCCACCTTGGAGGGACGTCGCGGACGAGTTTCCGGCGCTACATTGCCCCATCGGAGATGTGATATGTATCGGGGGTCCGACCCAACGTCGGCGAGCTGCTGGTTCGACATCGGTTCGGACAGTCTAACCGAGAGCCATAGAGTATCGACACTAGTGTGCGGCCAGGATACGTCAGACCTTGGTATCGACTGAGCTTGAAGCGACAGCTGCAAAATCCTGAATGATTCCTTCCTGCAGTCGGCATCTGAGCGGAGGACGTAGGTGGCTTGTGTCCGAGCTTGAGTGGAAGGTAGATATGTGCTGTCTTCGCTATGCTGTACCTCCCAGAGCAAAGAGCGGAATTCGTGGTGGGTGCCGACGCCGGGTTCCTTCGGAGGGGATTGGCGAGAAGACGGGTGTGCTTGGAGTACCTCTACGGCAGCTGGGCCTACCGGATCGAGAGCTGCGAGCGTTGGGCCAGAGCTGGTGACTGGGGGCAAGGGATAGTAGTGGTTGACAGAGAAGTGGACTCTGGACGAGCCGACGAGGGCTTGGGAGTACCACTGGTGGGAAAGCTCGAGCTGAATTTGGACATATTGCTCCCAATCGTTACGATCGCCAGCGGATAGGATATGACGCTCGCGTGGGCGTGTGAGGGTGAGAGAGAAATGTAGGAGTCCTTCGCCCGTTGCTAGCCGTTCGAGGCGACAGTCCACAGGAGACATACCGAAACCAAGGGCTCGAAGATCATCTCTACACCACGGAGCGATGCGAATGGCAGAAGGCCTCCCGCAGCGGTCCCAAGATGCCATAGGAGACCACACATGCGAGGTATGAGCTGGGGGCGTGGTCCTGCAGATGAACACCTCCACCGGAAGCAGCGGAAACGCGCCCTTCATGAGAGTCCTCGCCAGCCGTACGGAGTGGTAGGGGTCGTGATTCAGGGCTCCGCAGGTGATGTGAGTCGTGACGACTAGAGAGCCATGCTCTCGGGGGCCAGGCCGCGGGCGACATAGGGGAAGCGCGACAAGTGACCCGGCGCTGTCCACGCACTGCAGGATCCCTAGATAGTGCGCAAATCCTCGGCCTCTGCACTCATCACAAGGCCTGGTCTCCCTCGTTCCGGCCCCCGTTTGCATGACGGCGGGAATGACCTGGTCCAACAATGCGAGGTCGACGCAAAGAAGTCGTACGCGGACGCCCTGGGGAGTGAAGACGCAGTGTAACGGGGGGATGATGTCTTGTGCTCGTCCGAGATGTTGCGCAAACTCCGAGATCGAGAGGGGGGTGATATTGTTCGCGCATACGAAGTCGCGGGGAGAAGTAGCGAGGAGACCTTCTTCGCAAGGATGCCAGATGTTGGGCGGAAGCGTGCGAGCGGTGTCCAAAGTCAATAGATCGACGTGACGGGGTCCCCAAGCGAAGATGCTCTGGTCCGGGATCGTGCGGATGATCTCCTCCTGGAGTCGGAGGAATGCATGGCGTCCCTCGCCGTAGATGGGAGACATGCGAACCCCGAAGATTCCCAACAGGCAGTACGCCTCGTCCTCGATACGTGTGGTTTCCCTATCGGCCGCCCATGACATGCGTCGGGAGACACTGATCGACTCCAAGCTCACCACACCTGTCAATACGGTGATGTCGATACCCGTGGCCTTCGAGAGCGTCGAGGCTAGCTGCAGCTTCGTACCGAGGAAACTCCATCTGCTGGTCAAGAAGACGACGTGTTTCGGCGCGATAAGTTCCTGCAGTGTCCATCCTCGTCGATGCCACCTGCTTCGCAAGAACGCCGACGCCTCGGCCGCCGGATCTTCGCCATCGGGGACGTCGGTGAGGTAGACGTAGCATATGTCGGCACGGCTATACCATTCGTACATTGAGTTGATGGCCTCGGAGAGCTCCGCGCTGCTAGCAGTGTCTATGCAGCAAGAGTCGATCCAGATGAGCTCGTATCCCGCGTCGCGCGCGACTTTACAGATGCCGCTGATCTTGCTGGACAGCTCGGGGTGGGAGAAAAAGGAGTTGCGCTCGATATTGCTAGACGTACCCTCCGGGCTGTTCCGCAGATCCTCCAAGGCAGCGGCCGCCTAGAGCTTCCGGACGTCCGCATACGACTGCTCTTCCCCGTGTCCCGAGGATCTCCAAGTGTGAGAGAGGATTGCGTAGCGGGCGGTGCGAGGGTCGCCCATCCAAACGAACTGGCCTGTCTGAGTGTTCAAAAAGCGGGGCATACTGAGCGACGACACTGGTCAGTCTGTGAACACGCGGTATGGGTGAGTCTTCACTCACATACACTTTGAACACCAAACGTATACCGTAGGCGGAAGCTAGAGCACCAGTAAGGCGGTATCGGGCTAGGGGCCAAGATGATGGAGAGTGCAGAGCGGTAGTGCGGGGCATGGGAGGAAGGAAGGGCGATGAGCCCCACGATCCTCGAGCTTCTTGATGAAATCAAGGAAGCACGTCCAAGGCTGTGTACATCTGAATGAGGACAGCCCGTCCGCTCAAAGTCAGGAAGGCTATGCGATGACCAAATAATGCGTAGCTAGCTTCTCCCCGAAAATCCCGGAAAGTACGCGCGCTCGGCATCGTCGGGCTGCCACAACGGCGCGCATGCACTCCAAGCATGTACGTCCGCGCAGCTCGAAGAGGTTGCATATCGCCCTCTCTTATACAGCGGTACTCACCTTTGTTCTGTGCTGACCGCCGGGAGAGCCTGAGCGCATGTCGGAATTACACATCGAGAGGAATATGGCATCGCACATTGCAAAACGCACTTTGATTGTACACACTTGACATTTGGTCCGATACAGACGGCCGTTCCACGCGCCACCAGGGGCCGTTTATGCGGGGATACCGCCGAACGTAGAGCGGCATGGTTTGAGAGCTTGATACCTCTGAGACTAAATCCAGCTTGTCAGTTCTCGCTACGCACGAAAGCTAAGGAGATCGGTTGAAACGTAATGCTCGGCGTATTGTCCCATGCCAGATCCCAAGACGACTACGCGTTGATATTGTTCATATGTCGACCCAGAGGTATCCCTAGGAGCCAGGATTATGATAGTACCGTATATTGCAAGAGACAGCTTCGCAGAATGCGAACTACAGTCACACAAGCGACGGAGGCGAGTCTGACGCTGAAGGCAGAACACTTGCGAGGCACCAAGACGTGTACGTGCACGCGTGCGACGGTAATGCACAGTGTAGAGAAGCGCCTCCTTATCTTGAATACCAGAATACCAGAGAGCGCTATATGCTTACCTGGTCTGAATATTCTGGGATGTCTATCAGGCGACCCTAGGACGCAGTGCTAGCAGTCCAGCTGTTGCAGGGCGATCCTGTACAATGTCGGTCAGATCCAGAAGTTCCAGCTTTGTACAGACCTAGATAGACATTTTTAACGTCGTTACAGAGACCAGACGACGACTAGAAAAACCCTCCGAGGCTTGTATGCGCGTAGAGGCCGCAGAGCGATAGACGACCGGCGACAGGAAGGAGAGAAGGAGCAATTTGGGGTAGAGCGCCCGTTGGAGACGCTCGGCTGATTACGGCATCTGACTTTTAACACTCCGGCGCTCCCCGACCGTCTCACTTCGTCCACGACCCCGACCTTCCTTGCCCGCGAGTTTCTCTGGCATGTACATTGTCTCTTTGCAGATAAAATACTAGCTCTGAAGCGACGAAATTTCACGAAGAGCCCAAACAAACAAACGCGCGCGTGCACGCTGTTCGCCGAGTCGCTGCCTCGTTGCCACTAAATTACTCGACCTTCCTCGACGCCTAGCATGGCGAACGGCCGTACTGGCTACGTATGAAGCCTTTCGGTATCGCAGTGGTAAGTCGTATCTTTAGAGCGGTAGACGAACGCTCTTCAGGGAACCCATGCTGGCAAATTCTTGTATGAACAAGCCAACGCCCGCGTCATCCAGCGGATACGTTGTTCGCGGTTTCAGAAGCATGTTTCAAGACCGGCGCGCTGCAGGAACATCCCTCGCAGCGTTTACGGACTAGCAGCTGCGAAATCAGATGGTCTGTCAATACGGCGCGTCCCCTACAGGTCTCGCTCGCGTCTCGTACTACCTCGCAGAAGCCCCCCGGCCCCGGAACGATCTGGGAGGTAGTTCCAACGCAAGCTGATGGAGACACTTGCACACATCAGGCCTTTTGACCCGCCCTTCTTTCGCATAACGGGTCGCGGTCTACGTGAAAGGGCTTTCCTCGCCTCGGGTCGCGAAGCTAGACAGGAAACATCAACGCCTCGTAGCAACCACTCGAACGATCCAGTGCGTCCTGGCGTTTTTATCTCTTTGAACTAGACATTAACAACAGCGACGCGAGCACAACGCGTCGCACAAAGCCTCACAGCCTGTAGGCGGCACCGTCAACCGTCCTTAGTGAGCCATTTGCACTTTGTCCGTGGGTGGCACGCTCAACCCGTATTTAAGTCCCCGTTCTGCCTTCATCGTCCCTCAGTCTCGTCTGGCTCAACTCCCTACACACTCACTATTCCAACCGAAATCGTGTCTGTCTTTTTTAATATCTATGAATGCCTCTACTTCAAACTCTGGTAACACTTCTGTTGTGCGCCGCGGTCCTCTTCAGACTGCTTTGGGAAGAACAATTGCGTCTCGCTCGTTTGCGGGGCGTTCCTCCCCGCGAGGATGGGCAAGGCGGCTGGTACGTAGTGATAGTGTAACCGCTGCGGCGCGACACTAACGTGTATGCATCACCCTACAGAGTCCCACGGTCATGTCTCTGCCTACCGTACGGTATGGCAGGGCCGCGGGGCGAATCCGGTCGGACTTGCCGGGCGAGGAGCCCGCGCGGTCCGTGCGCCGTGAAGCAGAGCGTGTGGGCATCGCCTACCCTACTCCAGCGGGGTTGACCGTGGCTCAGTTTGAGCTGTTACTGAGCCCATTCCGGGCGCCCGAGTACGTCTTCTCCGATCTCGTCCCGCTCTTGATTTACTCATCGCCTTGTAGGGCAGCTGCTACGTTGATGGCGTCACTCTCGACCAACGCAACTATATCCTTACTGAGAGCTGCTCACGAGCTCGGGCGCGGTGCGGTCGTGCATGTGGCGAAAGCTCGTTTATGCTCCCTGTGGGACGACCGCCGCCTTCCTATGGCCGAATCATACCAGACCGCCAACCTCGGAGGCATCGGGCGCCACACACCCTCCCCTGATGACGGTCCGCGTCCGTACACTGAAGCTCTCGCAGCGCTGCGTGCAGCCGAAGAGTTCGGCCTCCAGAGCGTCGCGAAGCGTGCTGCATACGAGTTGACGTGCAGCGAGGACTTCTGGACCGCTCTCGTAACCGACCGCGCGAGTGTCGACATCAGCCAGGACGTGCTGGTCGGCGTGTACAACATGCGCACGATGCTTAAAGCGCTCTGGGCCGATGCGCTTCGTTCTCCGCCGCGCATGCCGGGATTGTACCAGTACGCGCACACAAGCTGTCACCCTTTGCTCCGACAGACACTCGGGCAGGGGTGTGCGCGTCGGGAGGGCGCGAAGCGCATGGAAGCGTGGAGGGCGATGCTGGAGGATACTCGGCAACGCGCAGAGGGTGCATGGGACCCCTTGCGCTACAACATCTTCGCGCGCATGGACGAGCTGCACCTGAAGCAATGGTGTAGCTGCTGCATTAGGGAGTGGGAGACCGACTTGAAGCGGCGGAGGGAAGAGTGGTGGACCCGTTGGATGGGCCAGGTCTTCGTGTGATACCATCCCGCGACGGTACACGCGCACCTGGCTGGGCAATGGAATCACGGACTCACGATGCGTCGCAGCGCCCTGAGAGGGCGAATTCACGACTTGTACGATATTGCACGATGTAGCATACACGACATGTGCCTCTACGTTAACGACGTTATAATGACATTATTAACGACCTAAATTTCCCTGGTGTACTCGACCAGAAGTCGTACGCGATATATAGTCAGGAGCTACTTAACGAGGAGGCACTCTAGCTAACTGGACTCTCTTGATCGCGGTGGAAGGCGGCGCGCGTGCTGTGGTGGGGCCAGTTGGATGTGTGGCTGGGGCTGGGGCCGCTGGGGGAGGAGGCGGGGTCGTAGAGGTGAGGTGCGGCACTTTGGTACTTTTTACAGATCTTGTTACGCCGTTCTTGGATTGTATATGGGTTTTACAGATGCGATATTGTTGCGGCCACCCGTTCTCGACTGTTCATGCACGGTACGGACTTGGGGGAGAATGGCGACGCTTCGCACGACATGCCCGATTCTACCCTTTTTGAGGTAGACGATGTGCGATTTTATTGGTGCAGCGGTTGCGAGTCCCGAAGAACTAAACAAGGCAGCTTTACTTCGTACAATTCGTGCAGTATCCAGTGAGCTCAGGTGTGTCCTGCTGCGTAATTGGAGTGAATTAGCGAGCTTCTCCGTTCGTGCAGCGCAGGAGTTGATATATCAGCACTGTTCCACCATGACAGTACTTAGCTGCACCGACATGCACGCATCGTCCCCCGAACGTATACGCGAGCCGTGAAGGCGAATGCGGGTAGTCCGACAATCTGGACAGTGAACAACGCGACGGCGAGCAAGTTTTGCCTTTATGCGTGAACTCGTGCAACATCTACACGAGGCGAGACGTGCGATGCTCGAAGTGTTCAAACGAGGGCGGGGGGGCTCACACGGCGGAATGAGGCGAGGGCGTGGCGCGCGGCGATGTGCGATGCTGTGCTTGTGGACTGGACCCGCTGTTGTATGCGGCGCAGCTGAGGAGCGAGTTCGTGCCGCCTGGGGGGGATTGGTGCGATAAGGGGTTGAAGAGGGTCAGTAAGCGGTGGAAGGCTGCGCGGGTAAAATGTTATATCGGGAAAACCGTATAAACGAAGGACGCACGCAGAGGTTGTTTTGGGATGTCTGTGCACGATACGGAAGAAGTAGGACGCTCGGAGCTCTACAATAGCCAGAGACCCCCCCGTCACTTGTTGCACCCCTGTAACTCCTGGTAGCAAAAGGTCAATATTTAGGGAACCCTGACATTGACAACGACGGGCGAATGCCGAGCGGTACACTCACCGTCGTCGGCTGGTTGCTCTCGAGCAGGTCCGTTCGAGGTACAGCGGTGTTGGCTCTCTTCGCGCGGCCGTCTTGAAGCGCGTCCTCGTCAACGCCCACTTGTCGTGGCCGCTTGGTACTGATTATCGACTCGACGAGCGTCTCAGTGGGGGAGCTATCGGTGGACGAACTCCCAGCGAGCGAGCTCCCGGTGGGTGAAATCCGGGCGCACGCATGGGTACCGTCGGATGGCGCCGAACGCGAGTAGGCGTGATGTTCTGACGAGCGCACGGAAGATATCTAGGCGAGAACCCCTACATTAGCTCCTTTATTCGATGAAAAGGGCGGCGCGAGCACTGAATAAGTACCCACAGGCGACTTTGCTTGCATCAGTGGATGCACGGTAGCAGGCCCGGGCGCGGAAGCGATCAGCACGGGGAGTCCGGTGTTGTCAGCAGGTGGTTCCATCGGGGAGCGGTTTGACGCTCTCAGCGCCATCTGACGCGTACTTCGGTACTTCTCCGAGAGCTCGATGGACAGCCAGACGTTCTTGGTGTCGTTGATCGCGAAGCTCTCCCTCGGGCGCTCCATGACCACTCGCAAGAGTCGAACCATGCCGGGGCCGCTCTGGGGCCTAGAGACGAAAGCGTCGGAAGGGATGATGAATTCGGAATGGGAGAGAAGGCGTCTCCAAGCCCACTGTGAGTCGAACTCGGTGTAGGTAGATGCTGTAGCAGTTGGGGCAGGGAGCACTTCGTCGCCTGCGTAAGAAGAAAGAGAAGAAATGAGAGAGGGACGACATGCGGGGTGCGGAGGGTAGTACTCACGAGACTGCACTTGGCTCACGTTCACTGGCGTTACGGAGACGCGGATCTCTGTGTCCCAGAGAGTCAGGAACCAGAGATGTTCGGACTTCGGCTGCGTGAGCGCGATACACAGCCGTATAGTCTCCTGGTGTTCTCCATCCCGAAGAGCATCGTCCGCGCCGCCGTACGCGAGGGTAGTCGCGAGGGTGATCTCCCGCTCCGACCGTGTCACCTCCAAGGCCGAGGGCACAAAACCGAGTGTAGCCAGAGAGGCTACGCTACGGGGCGTGATCTGAAAGACCGCTCCGCAAGGGTCGTCCCCGGGCCACAGATCGATGTTACCCATCCTGTCCCGGCTGGCACTGTTATGGAGTCGCGACTTCGGGATTGGGGGTGCTGTGTGGTGGTGCAGAAGGGAGACCTCGGTGGATACAGGCCCGACGTGGGCGAGGGCTTCCGTTAACGCGTCCTTGGTCAAGCGCACGGTGTGGAATGGCTGATGACTCCGTTTACTGCACTGAACGTGGGTTCCAACGAACAGACCATATTGGTGTCCGTTTCGCACTGCCCGCGGCCAGCAGAGAGGGAGTGCGATGAGCGAGTCGTCTGCGTCCTTGCATTGTAGGAATGCGAGTACGTCCGCCTGTCCGCGTCCGGCGCAGTCGGCGCATGGACGCTGGTTGTTGGCCGCCCAAAATGCTTTCGATACTTGGGGGATCGTCGCAAGATTGACGCACAGAAGCTGTACGCGGATTCCCTGCGGCGTGATGATGCAGTGCAGCGGCGGGACATCCTCGCGCCCTTTGAAATGCAAGCGTGATGCGATATCGGAGGGACGGACTGCAGTGATATTGCGGCAATGCTCGAATTCCGCTGGAGAACTGGCGAGAAGGCAAGGGTTGTCCAGGCAGTAGTCCCTAGGATCTTGACAGCTATTGAGAGATCGCAAGACGCAGCTGCGCCCCCAGGCAAATATGGTCTGATCGGGGATAGTCCGGATTATCTCCTCCTGGAGACGCAGGAAGGCGTTGTTGCCCTCGCCGTATATAGGCGGCATGTGGACGCCGAAAATACCCATGAGCGAGTACGCCTGGTCCTCGATGCGCGTCGTCTCTCGCTTCGCCGCCCATGACATCCTCCGCGCAACGCTAGCAGAGTTCAAGGTGGCTCGGCCTGTGAGAATATTGACGTCGACTCCGGTTATCTCCTCCAAAGTCGAGGCAAGCCCCAGCTTCGTGCCCAGAAATTGCCAAGTCTGCGTTAGAAACTCGACGCACTCGGGCGCGATGAGCTCCTGCAGCGTCCAACCGCGGGTGTGCCATCGGCTCTTCCGGAAATCGGACTGGGCTTCCTGGGGTCTATCGCCGTCCGCAACATCTTGGAGGTAGACGTAGCACATGTCCGAGAGTCGGAACCAGTCGTACATCGAGTTGATCGCCTCAGAGAGTTCGGCACTGCTCGACTTGTCGATGCAGCATGCGTCGTTCCAGACGAGGCGGAAGCCGGCCTTACGCGCGACCTTGCAGATGCCCTTGACTTTGTGTGACAGCTTCGGATGGGAAAGAATGGAGGACCGCGTGGAACATCTGTCGAGGGAGTGCGAGACGCGAGTTGAGACGACCGCTGAAGGCTGCAAAGTTGTGAGAGTCTGCAGCTCGTTCATCACGGTAACCTGCGCCTTCCGGACTTCTTCGGCTACTGCGACTTGGAGGGCTCGAACCTCGTCGTAGGACTGCTCGCCGCCATCCTCAGGAGACCTCCAGGTGTGTGAGAGAATGGCGTAGGCAACATGTCGAGGATCATTATGCCACTCGAACTCGCCCGTCGAAGTATCCAGAAAGCGCGGCATTCCGTGGATCTCCTAGAAACCGGTAAGAAACATCCCCGCGAGTCAGCGTCATACGCGGTTGCTCAAAAGCATGCTCACCTTTGACTCGAGAGGTGTGTGTAGTCAAAGGCGGTCGGTTGCGTAGGGATGGTGGAGGAGAGCCTGAGACCGACGGTATGCCCGATACATATATGAAACGTACATGTCAAACTCGTCAGTCCGGCCTTTATGGTTTCAGCTTACTTTGGAGTGAGCGTCAAGGCCGTAACCAACTCCCGATATGTCCTCTTCGAAATCCGCCATATCGCCATTTCTGACTGACCGCTGTTCATCTGATATCAACGCGAAAGATGTTTCATGTGAACAGGTATCTGTTTGTTGACTATCATCGGCGAAATGAAATCAGCGAGACGGCTTCGTAGTCCGAAATAGACGGATATTCGGGATGGAGACGTAGCGTACGTCGAGACATATTCGTGCTAGTCCCTAGTCCACAATATTCCTGGCTTCTGCAATATGAATCTTCGTGTGCGCGAAACCCCGTACGCCGGATATTCGTTATCTGTTCCGCGGCGCACCGTGCGGGTTTTCTGTAAAAATTTAGAAAAGTGTGCACTGCATAGGAGATGTGCACTTACTGCTGCAACGTCTAAAGTACTGAAGATGAGACGACTTCTCGACGTAGCGATAGTTGCAACTCACGTCTCCTTCGCCCTGGCGAGATATCGTGGTCCGGAAAGCTTGACGAGCAGCTTCTGAGCAAGTTCTGCTGCGACGAGATCTGGAGGATCCAGAGCAGAAGGCGCATCCATCATGGTTGAAGATAGGGTTACGGCGCCGTGGAGCGGGACTCTGAACAATATTGATAGCCTCCACTACTGCCAGTGCCTCAATGTCTCCGTCCGGTAATTTCCCAGCACGAGGATAGGTAGACAGGCACATGGCAGCCGTTGCCTAGATCGACGTCGGTGTTCACCGATGCTGCAAAGGTCGATGCACATGGAAACCACTTAGCAAGAGAAAGGAGTCTTACGGTCTCAGCGCTGAGAAGACACGGCGGAACATGCACGATAGGGCAGTAGTTATGCACAGAAAGACGCGCAGGAACAAAGGGGGAGGACGCAGAGTTAAAAACAGCAGTGTCCTAAGTCCAGAAGCCCTGCGAGGCGGTAAAAGATGAGCATTCCGTCAAGCGTGAACACGACGTTGTGAGCGAAGGCGTACCTGCTACCATGAGCGACTAAGCCCGAGTACAACGGTGCAGGTGCTCATTGTCATGTTTGCGGAACGTTCGGGAGACTCGTCCAACGCAGCGGTAGGCTAACCAGCCAGCAGATATAAAGCGCAGGTAGGCATACACGACGCGCGGCCACCCTTGGACGCAACACTGAATCATAGGATAGCTATCTGCGAGACCATGGGACGGTACGCATTCATGCCCAGTGAGAATCGACAAGTGCCCAGGCCTGCCGTATCGTGCCAGACAGTGGACAGCCTCATGTATCGTGCCCTTTCCTGTAAATAGGCGCCTGTCCGACCGTTCAACCAAACATCATGTCATCGAACACCCGTCTGCACCGAATATTGAGTGGCAAATAGGACGACCACGGGCCCGCCGCTTGTCTCATCGCCGGCTTGTCGTCTCTGCCCGCGGCGCTGTTTGCTATGCGACCACCTTCGGCGCCTCACGCGCTCCGACCACTTGTTTGGGCGCTTTTCTTGGTCCCACTTGTTACTCTCGTCAAGGCTTCCACAGCGTCGTGCAAAGCGATTTCACTTCGGAATATGATACTATGACATACATAGATAAACTCCGAATAGATTTTGGAGCTTAGTAAATTATGCCTGCAAAGTTATGGAGGCTTCAGGAAGGCTCGTGCGTTCGGGCGCCAATATGGTAAACAAGCGCCGGGAGTGCAGCCCGCGTGCAGGTGCTTTGCCCTTCGCTCTCCTGCCTCTGTTTCTCATCCTACCTTTGGCTTCTCTATCTTGTTCTCTCAGATCGAAGGCACACAATGCCCCCGGCTCGCACAGACAAGCCCACCAAACGCGGTGCACCCGGGACTGGAGCTAAGAAGCTCTGCTCATGCACGGCCCACTGCGGCGGCGGCAAGATGATACCGCGATCAACTTGGTACACTCATGCCAAGTTCCGCGCGAAGACCGTCCTCCTGACGGTTGCAGAAGCTTTTGGATACACTGGCGCGCCCAAAGCAGGATCTCAAGTAGCTTCTGGGTCCGCGGTTCTGGCATCTGCCACTGGGGCTGGGCTCGCTTGCGGTTCTGGCTCAGGCTCTGGTTCGGGCTCGCGTTCCTCTAGCGAGTCAAGGACACATGCGGCAGAGGTCGATGCACTGCGTGGAGGGAGGGATAACGATGGAATTGCGGGCCAGGAGATACCAGATGGGCAGCACGCCATGGTACGTCCGTTTACACACAGCCTGCCGGCACGCGCACTCATTCTTCTGTTTCATCCCCAGGAGATAGATCAGAGGGTTGACAATGGTCGCTCCCCAGAGCCTGACCCCGGTAGTGATGTACCCACTGGCAATGCACAACCTCTTATCCCCAACAATCCGTGTCCCCTGCGTCGCTTCCGCGTTACGGTTGAAGAAGTGGTGGATGAGGATGAGGATGAGGGCGGTGAGGACGACGACGCCCCAGACCCTGGCAGCGACTTTGACCGTGAGCAAAATGAACAGGCTCCTCGTGAACCGTCTGCATCACCCGAGCCCGAGCTGCCCGAACATGAGGTCCCCTTGGGCACACCAGAACCGGAACCCGTCATCGACAATCCCATCAAGCCTGTGCTGAAGGATCTCCAGCTGAACATGGAGTTCATTGAGCTCCTGAAGACCGCCAGCCTGGCAGACAGCGGCCTCGATCCTGATGTCCTCCACCGTATCCTGAACCCGCCTCAGTACCCTCTCGAGATTGACGATCCTGATGTCCTGTACTCCATCGATCTCTTCTTTGCTACACTCAACGCGTCTGAAGAGACCTACGAGGATGCACGACAGGCGTATATTCGCCGCCACCCTCACGACAAGGACAAGATTCTCTCGTATCACAATGTCCGCAAGAAAATCGAGGAGCTAAGCGGTGTCGTCCCGCACATTGAACATCAATGTATCAGATCGTGTATGGCATACACCGGACCTCTGAAGCTGCTGAAGGAGTGTCCGCATTGCAAGACCCCACGGTACAAGCCCTCGACGAGCGGCAAGGAGGTCCCACGCCAAGAGTTCTTCACTATACTTCTCGGTTTCCAGCTGAATGCTCTGCGGCGATCCAAGGAAGGGGCTACCGCTTCTCGCTATCTCTGGGAGGCTACAAAGCGCACTTTGGCCGAGCTAGGCATCTCAGACGGCGTGATCCAAGTCTTCGAGGATCTGTGCCATTCAGAGGAGTACCTTGAGGCTGTCGACGACAAACGCATCGGGCCTCATGACTCCGTCCTCCAGCTCTCTATCGACGGCGCCCAGCTTTATGAGAAGAAGCAGTCTGACTGCTGGATCTATATCTGGGTGCTCTACACGCTGGACCCGAAGACACGCTACAAGAAGGCCCATATACTACCAGGAGGTATCATCCGCGGTCCTGAGAAACCGAAGAATCTCGAGTCCTTTCTATTCCCTGGGTTATACCACCTCTCTGCGCTGATGAACGACGGTCTGCCCTTCTGGGATGCTGTAGACAACAAGGTCTATGTCGACCACCCGTTCTTGGCCTGGGTCACCGCCGACGGTCCAGCAATGGCCCAAATGAACGGCCTTGTCGGCCACCACGGAGCTCGTGCTTGCCGCCTATGGTGTCCCATGCCCGGGAGACGGAAGGAAGGTTGTCCCCACTACTATCCAGTGCTCCTGAAGCCCAACGCATACACGGTCGACGGCTGCGACCACGCCGACATACCAAGCCATGCCCTGCCACGTCCCGACATCGAAGAATATCAGGATGCGCTTCGGAAGGTGTGCGAATCCCGTACAAACGCCGAGTACGAGCGAAATCGCAAGAAGTATGGCATAGTCAAGCCGTCGCTTTTCAGTGGCCTCCCACGCATCTTTGCTCTGCCGCACTGCTTTCCTCTGGACATCATGCATCTCGGGGCTCTGAACATACCTGATCTATATCTCAGTCTGTGGCGTGGTACTATGGATGGGAACCCTGACGACAAGAAGACTTGGGACTTTGCTATCTTTGCTGGGAAAACTGAGGGCGCCGATCGCTGGAAATTCCATGGCGAAGAGGTTGTGCTCTCTAACCCCTTCCTTCCTGGCTCATTCGATCGCCCTCCTCGGAACATTGCTGAGAAGATTAGCAGTGGCTACAAGGCCTGGGAGTTCCTCACCTACTTCTATAACCTCAGTCCTGCATATCTCCGACACGTCTTGCCCCGGAAGTACTGGCTTCAGCACTGCAAAAGTGTCTCTGGGTTCCTACTTGTCCACGGCTGGTCTGTGCGTGCGGAGGACATCCAGCAGGCCCATGTACTCCTCAATGAGGCGGCGATTGAGTTCGAGGAAATCTACTGTCAGCGCCAGGCGGACCGGCTCCACTTTGTTCGCCCTTGCCTGCACACCTCGGGGCATGCCGCAGAGGAGATCCCGCGCACTGGTCCTCTCTCTACCAACTCACAGTGGGTCATCGAGCGCGCAATTGGCGACTTCGGCGGTGAGATACGCCAACATTCCAATCCCTACGCCAATCTCTCACAACGTGCCGTCATCCGCTCACAAATCAATGCGCTCCGAGCCATGCTACCAAATGTGTTCAAGTCGGACCTTGGCACTGCGCACAACAAGCTCCCGCGAGGCTCTATCAACCTGGGCGATGGCTATGCACTCCTGCGTGCTCGTGCGCGTACCGCCTACCATGTTCCTCCGGCTGAGGCCGAAGCCTTCACATCATTCCTGACCAAGGAGGGCGTGCTGGGCGTGGGCGAAACCTTTACTGACAAGGTACGCAAGTGGGCGCGCGTCCGTCTTCCGAACACGCAGATTGCACGGTCTGCCTGGAAGGAGACCCTCAAGCCCCTGAACAAGCTGCGCATGTCGCGCAATGTGAAGGTATGGTGGACCGTAACCATATACCTCAGCAGTACTAATATTGCATATCAGTTCTGCGATGGACAGGTCCCCTCGATTGGCGAAGTGCAATACTTCTGCCAGATCGACGTTGGCGAGGATACCCGCACGGTTGCACTCGTGTCTGTTTGGGGCTCTCCGGATGCAGCACTCTTGCAGGACTCCTACGGCGCTGTATACATGTCGAAGTACCGAGGAGACGCGGCTCTGCGAGTCATCGACGTGACTGCAATCACCTCGGTGGTCGCCATGGTGCCCGATGTGCATCGCCCTCGGACGGATGCAACACCACAGCTGATCTTGGATGACGCCTACTTCCTGGCAGAACGGGTGGGGCTGGATGTGATGAGATTGGGGCGAGACACTCTCGAAGTGATAACTGAAGAGTAACACATGTATAGGATCACCGGAACAGACTACAGTAATTCACGTCAATGAGCTAGCTGCTAGTACGAGCGACGGCGTTTGCTGGGGGACTCTGTCAAACCAGGCTCGGTGTTCGTCGCTGCAGTGGGTGTGTTAGGCAAGGCAGGGTTGGGATGTGTAGGAGCAGAGGCAGACAGACGAGTTCCCAGCGTGTCCAACAGGGAGCTAGCAGGGGAGGTACCGAGTGTCGCAACGAGACGGTCGGTCATTCCCGTTGTGATGATTCCCAGAAGGTCGCCTAACGTCAGATCTAGCAGAGGAATGTCGGAATGAGGTGCTAGGGGAGGAACAAGCGCAGGAGTGATTGAGCGGGAATAGTTGAGCGGGCCATCACAGAACAGCGTGTGAACCTGTGCTTGTGGTATGCCGTCCGAAGGCGGACAGTAGGGCTCGGGCGTCGGCGAGTGGACTTTAGGTGGGGCAGGGGAAGATGCAGGTTCAGGTGAGGATGATGGTGCCGCTGCACCAGAAGGTTGCTCGAATGGAGCCGGGCAGGGCACAGACATCTTGTCATCGACGGCACGATCGACGGTGGGTGGAGGAGGGATGATGGCAATTACTTCGTCAAAGGCGGCTTGCAGCTGCGAACGGATCTTGTCAAAGTCGGTGTTTTGATCATCGTAGCGATCCATGCTGCTCCCGATGCCCCAGGCGACCCGTGCCGCGAGCTTTGATAGCTCGAGTGATTTGACCACAAGGAGCGCACAGATCATGTTGTCCTCAGTTCGCTCGTCCTCGCGCAGGGGCACAAGCTCGCTCGCATAGCGCATGATGTCCACGCCCCTCTCCTCGTGAAACCTAGCTATGTTAAAATATGAGCGAGAAGACGCATATAGTGCACATACCGTGCTATATCTTGCGAATAAGCGAGACACGCTGCCTGCAGCTCTGCACTGGACATGTCCGACGGGTTTGTGTTTTCTTCCGCAGTAACATCCTCCATTTTGTGTTCTGAGGCCGGTTGGCGTGTATCCATGGGTGAGTAAGATACAGATGATGGTGCAGAATATAGTCAGAGCAAAGCGCGAGCACCAAGGGTGGAAGATTCTGCAGGTGGCGCCCGCGCCGAATTGGTAAGCGCCCGTTGCTGGTTTGGCGCGAGGTTGGAATTGTGTTCCGTGTCGCTCATACACCGACCACCACCACCAACATACCCCTGCATACCATACATACCCAATATCTTCTAAAACCGTCTCTAATCTACTTCCTGTCATGAGCATTCCAACATTTGACCCGTCGTTTACTGTAGATAATTCCCATTTCCCTCCATTTGCCCCCATTCCGCGATCGCCCATCTCTGATGAACACGACTTTCTCTCTAATTTGAACCTCTCCAGCATCCAAACTCCACGACACCGCCTAGCATCTGGGGCATCGCTGAGCAGCGCCTTCGACAGTGGCGAGGAGGATATTGATGTGTTATCAAGGGGTTGCACTCCTGGCTTACTGGTCAGTACACGTCATTTGGCTTCTGTGGGAGTTGCACTCGTATTTACTCCCTGTCAGAAGTCTGCACTCGGCACTCCTTACAACACATCAAGCATGTCCACACGGCCTCCATCCCGCATAGGCAGAGATAGCGAGAATTTTGCCACACCACGCACGCCCGCGCTCATGCAAGCTACGAACCTAGACCGGTATTCCAAGAATAATGCAAGTTGTCTGTCCACTCCTGTGCATATGAGCTAACTCGATGATATAGGATATGACTCAGGCAACCCCGATAATAATACAGCAACTTCAAAATGCCAGCGCCGAGACCCTCCTTCGCCTCAAAAATTCCGCATATGTCAGCCTGCACGAGCAGCATCAGGCCGTCCGACAGCACTGTGAAAACCTCAAGGAGCGGCTACGTCAAGAACACATGAAGGCCTTGCTCTGGGAGAAGGAATCGGAGTGCCGACGAGAGGAGTGCGAGCACCTACGGTGTGTGCAGTCCATGCTTGGTTCACTCCAGGATGCTAACACTGTCCACGCCCTAGTCAGCAGAATGTAGCCTGCCTCAGCATGCTCAGCGTCTTACGCGAGCCCACCCGTGCAAGTGCGTCTATCTCAGCCACACCGACTTCCGCGGTGCCGTCAACCGTAGTCGCCGCTGGACCGTTTGAGGTTCCTCCCGAGCGCGCTTCTGGGATCCGGTTTTGGGAGAAGGACGACTGGACGTATTCAGTGCAGCAGAACAAGGTCACTCAGCGGGAGACCAACAAGGTATGGACCTACCTCGAAAACGACTACGGAGACACCATCGCGGCGTCGCGTTTCAATGCCATGAAGAAGCATCAGTACGCCGTGTTCCATCAGCTCAACGCGGATGAGATGACACCATCGAAGTGGGGTTCAGCCTGTGAGAAGGCGAAGATGTATCACCGCATAGCTATGTGCAAAGGCTTCCCCGAGCTCGCGCAAGGGAGTGCTTTCTGGAAGGTTCACCAGCTTGCGACGGAGTACTACTCTAACTTCGCGTCACAGTACGTCGAGCACTCCGGGGATGAGACTGCTACGTCTGGCACCAAACGTCAACACCAGGGCGGTCTCTCGTCTACCTCATCAAAACGGGTCAAGCACACGACAACGGCAACACTTGCGGATGCTCCATTCACGTTTGAAACAACTGATCCGGCGACCACCACTGTCAGTGCGGCCACCACTGTCAGTGCGGCCATCGACAACGCGGCCCTGTCTCCGCCTGTGCCAGCTACACCGTCTCCTGCCGGCATCTCCAGTCTGGGCAATGCGCCGTCTGTGACTACACCTGGCACGTCGTCTCATGACGACTACGACATGGCTACTGGTACAACTGCTTTACTTCGGGACTCTGTACATGCACTGGCCCCATCTAGCGCTATCGGTACTACGCTCAGTTCAAGCACACCCTTTAACCGCCCTCCATCGCCGGACCAGTGCCCCAACAACTCACGTGTGTCTGCAACCCCTGGCGACAAGATACCCAGCCTGGAGCCGGGGCCTGCCTCCAATACGTCTTCAGATCTGCAGACCAGGATCGCTGCGTCTGCTGATACAGCGGCGACCATCTCTGGCGACATGCCCGCACCGACCGCTGCATCTGCTGAAACTACGGCAGCGAGTGCACCCGTGCCGGCCATATCCGGCAACACGCCCGCGCTGCACCCTGGCACTAAGGTATGCGTAGAGTCCACATTCTGTTTTGCAAAACTGTCGGGCTATTAGCCCACCTGAGTTTTGCAAAACATTGGAGTAGCACTGTCTGCCTGCTCACATGCAAACACAACCAAAAATGTATTAAACGTACATCGAATGCTCGGTAATGTATCTAGAAAAGGTTACAACGCTGGCTGGCCCGCCCGCCAAATAGTATATTTGAGCAGGAAAAGAAAATACTGAGCCGGGATTGAACCTCTATGCGCACCTGATACCAATGAACATGCGCAGCAACTTCAGCCACTACACCATATCAGACATACAATGCAACATGTGTACACCAATAACTCCCCACTGGGTATGCCCCTCAAAGTTCTAAGTTCGCAACCGCCCACTCAAGCAGGCGCCTGAGTTCATACTAATAGGCCTCCTGCCTTGCCTTTCGCACATGGTATCCTGCAATTTAGGTATTCAAAATGGCTTTGGGATCAATCCTATATAGCTTCCGGTAGCATTCTAGAGCCTAGGAAAGCAAAGTTACAGTATTGTGCACGAGTAGAAGGGAGTGGGAGCGCGCTATATATTGTTTACACTTGGGGCTGTTCTAATGTTCCTATGGTGTAGCGGTATTCATGGCAGAGACAGTGGTGTACGAACATTCAATATTCAGGTTCGAATCTCTTTCACGCCACTTTGTCTCATGCCTTGAATTTTGCTCCCTTTTGACGCGTTCAGACGGGCGCTTATAGCACAGCCACATTGATAACCCAGTGTTTTGCAAACCGCCCTTGGGCTATTACCCCGCGCGTTTTGCAAAACAAAATGTAGACGGCTCGGTATGCCACCAGTGTTTGTGCTGCGCTCTATCACTTATGGTTCTTGTGGTATACAGCGCGTCAATATCCTGTGAGTTCACTTGTGCACACATACATTCGGAAGCTGACACTATTGCCCAGAGCGCAGGTGAAGATACGCCCTCCTTCTACGGTGGATGTGAACGCCGACGCTGTGCCGCGCACCGCCAAGCCAGTCACCTCGAAGGCAGCCGCGGGCTCGAAGGCGGACACTACTCCGAAGGCAGGCGTAACGGCAACTATTGCAAAGGCCAGCCAGAAGAAACCGGCGCGCACTGTCAAGACTCTACAGGCGCATCCGACAAGCGTAACACTGAGGTAAGCATGCCAGTTGCTGTCTACATGCTGCATCCACTGATACATCGTGCCTGGGGCCTATGCAGGAACCTCTGCCTGATCGATTTCCTCAAGGAAAATCCAAGCGCATCCAAGGACGAGTTCGATACCCATCTATCCGGTCTAGACGGTGCCGCTCGAAAGGTATGCATTCCATATTCACAGCGCCCATGCCTCATAGCGCTTACCGAGAACTCCTTAGCTTCTAGAAGACCGCAGCAAGCAAGCCACCAAGGCACGCAGACTGTCCAGCCGAGCGGGCATGGGTGGCGACGACGACGAGTAGTGGATGGATTGAGGTGGGGTAGGAGGATCTGGGGCAAGGACACGAGTGCGAGGGAGCCGGATGGCGAGCGGTGGGCGGGATGCGGCACGATTCATTCGTGTCGTGTCCGGTAACAGCCTGCCCGACGGCAGGATGGTGTTCGCGGGGTTGGCGACGATGGACCACGATACCGCACGATACCGCAGCATTGTACAGTATCAATAGCATTTATGAGTCTCACTGGCTACACGACTGGACAGGATGACATCTCAGATCGTCCAACTCACCCGCCCCAAGCCTGCCCGGTCGCGCGACCTGTCAATCCAAATCCGGCACGATTTCACACGACTGGAAACGACCTGGCAGGCCTGGGCACTTGTCGATTCTCACTGGGATTCATGTCTGAACATTCACGCTCACTCGAACATTGGTGTTTTCAGCTTTTTGGTATGCGCAGTAGGAGCGGACATGGATAATACAACGCAATGTGGAGGGCGGTAGTCGCGTGCGAAATGCTATGCAGTACGGATGACACCAAAGCGAGAGGTAGAGACGAGACGGGAGCGGCCAGAGCACGCTTAGTCGAACAGCCCGAAGCCCTGCGACGACGGTCTATATGAGCGACCTGCAAACTGGAAAGTGGAAGGGAACGCACCATGTCATCGTCGGACTCCTCCTTCTCCTCCTCCTTCTTCTCCTCCTTGGGCGCCTCAGCCTCAGCAGCAGCACCACCCGCGGCGGGCGCAGCCGCCGTTGCGGGGCCGGCACCACCAGCACCGACGTTCGAGAGCAGGTCCTTGACGTTCTTGCCCTCGAGCGCCTTCGCGAGGAGAGATGCCCAGATGGGCTCGACTTCGATGTTCGCCGCGTTGGTCAGCGCGGTGATTTTGTCGGCCTGAAAGACGCAGAGTCAGACGCGATTGCACTCCGAGGACGGGCGCGAAAGGACTCACGGTGATTTCAATGCCATCGTCGGCAAGGATGAGCGCGGCGTAGGTCGCGGCGAGTTCTACGGAGGCCTGTTGGAGCAGAGAAGGTGGGTCAGCGCGAAGTGCTCGCTAGGCCCGCACAGGTACATCCGGACGGCATGACTCCAATCCAGCATCCTCCTGAGTCCAATGCGCCGCCAAAACACCTGGGACAGCAAGGATGCGCCGTTCGAGTGCGATACTGACCATTTCGACGGTTTGAAGATGCCGGAGTGGATGGTCTTGAGGCGAAGCGAGAGGGGGAGTTTGCTGGACGGCGATGGACAAGCTTTTCGCTGTGGATGGCGGGACCGGAGCCACGTGGCTCAAGCTACCGGATTTAGAAGTGTCGCTCGCGTGGGTAAATTAGACGCCCATTGAAGCCGAGCCCGAAAAATCGAGTCGTGAGCTGCCTCAAACCATATGCATCCTACGGTGTAGCATGTAGCTACATACTCTTTGGTATCACGAGATAAAGCGCATAACAGTATTGGACTGGCGAGTGTCTATCATATACCGGGAAAATAATTATAGGATGTGCGCAGTTCAAGACAAGTCAACCCAGCTGTCTAACAATGCCCACCAACTCGTCTGTGCCTCCAGCCACGCCGTCCTGCGCTCCTTCAAACACGTCTCACACCAGCCTTGCCCCGAAAAGTCCTTCTTGTTCACCAACACTCCCAGCCAACCGATGGGATCTTGTATCCCCGCCTCATAGTCCTTGCTCTCGATTATGTCCGCGCGCCAGATCGCCCTCCGCAGGTGCAGCTTCAAGAGCCGAGGGTTGCAGGTCCGGCTGCCCTGCACGCCCTGTGCCGGACACATCTCGCTCCCCGGGTACGGCCAGGTGAAGATCAGTGCAGACCACCGTTGCTGCAGTGCGTTCCGCGCGCTGAAGAGGGCGAAGAGTTCCGCGTCCGCGAGCCCGAGCCCGCGGCGGTTGTCCGCGACCGCCTTCCAGAACGCGGCGCTGCGAAGGAGCTCGTAGAAGGCGCGCTTGCGCAGCGTGGGCACGGCGCATTCGCGCGAGACCTTGAGGATCTTGAGCGCGTCGTTGAAGCGGCATTTCGAGGGCACCGATAGCGTTGGTTTCTCGTGCGGCCAAAGCTTGTGGAGCTGGTCGAGCGCGAGAGCGCACGCCGTCGAACAGTCCAGCAGACGTGAGACCCTGAGGAGGGAGATGGCCGTGCTCTGCTGGGGAAGTTTATTGGCGTACTTGCTGCGTAGTGCGTCAGTATGCACGCTTACAAACACGCCGATAGCAAGGCAGACTCACAACGGCGTTTCGAGAGCTTCGAGAAATGCGACAAAGTCGTCGCACTTGATCTCTTCTGGTAGCCGATAACATGGACAGCCCTCGTATTGCACGGGGTTTTCACAGTTCCCCGTGAACATGCCATCGAAGACGGTCGAGTACCGCGCGAGCCGTGCTTTGTACAGCTTGAAGACAGAGCCATCCACGACGAGCACGACGTTCCCGTCGGGGTACCAGAAGTCTGCGTGGATCTTCAACCCGTCGATGTCCAGGTGTACCACAGTGTCTTCGTTCTCCTCTTGCTTGGGTTTCTTTTGTGGGGTTATATCATCGAGCTGTGGCGAGCTCGGTTTCTGCGGCGTAAATGTGAGCTTGTGTGTAAAGCTAGGATGGCGGGAGCGGGCTCTAATCGTTAAACATGTGTACTGTAGCACACGGGTAGCGGTATTCCCGGGTAACACTCCGTCTCTGACTGCGACTAAATAGACGCAGAGCAAACATTTTCTCGAGGCCCCTATCGAGATGTAAGCCATACCGGGCACGCCTCCATATTGCCATTGAATGGTCAATTGTGTATATAGCGGATCCGCTGGAGAACCTGCGTTTTCCGGGTGTAAAACTCACCCTCTTTATACTAAGCGTCGTTCCCGTAGAATTGCCCGCGCTATCGGTACCTGACCGATACCGTGAGTTAAAGGACCATAGCGGCCGGTACGCCAGGAATAACGGACTCACCGCCTGAGGATCCACCCGCCTGCGCTGACGTCGACATTCTGGTAAGACTGTATTGAGCTCGCAAACCTACGACGTCGTCGATTACGATAGAGAAGCATGCATGGCGGAGCAGGAGGAATATTTGGGCCAGCGACTGTGGCGCGGGGAAACCCGAGTTTGGAGCGCGACTCGGTCAGACGCCTGACAATTCGCGTACGTGCACCGCAACGCATCGGTAACGCGCCGTACGCGCGCACCTAGTCTTTCTCTCTTCTCCGCTCCAGACGTCGATGTTGACCAGGACCAGTTGCCCTGTGCGACGACGTACTGATGTCTGTCATTGCTTCAAGCCAAGTCGAACCATTTGTCTAACATCGCCCACCAGCTCGTCCGAGCACCCATCCACGCCGTCCTGCGCTCCTGAAAACACATCTCGCACCAGCCCTGCCCAGTGAGTGTGTCGTGCTTGTTCATCATCACTCCCAGCCACCCGATAGGATCCCGCATTCCCGACTCGTAGTCCCCGCTTTGAATCACGTCCGAGCGCCAGAACGCCTTTCTCAGATGCGGCTTCTTGTACGGGGGATTGCACCTATTGCCCTCTGCGAACCGCATTGGACACCAGTCGCTCCCCCGGGAGGGCCGCTTGAAGATCAGCGTTGAACACTGTTGTTGTAACGCTTCCCGCGCGCCGAAAAGCGCGAACACGTCTGCGTCGGCGAGGCCGAGCGCGCGGCGGTCGTCCGCGACCGCCTTCCAGAACGCGGCGCTGCGGAGGAGCTCGTAGAACGCGCGCTTGCGCAGCGAGGGTACGGCGTAGTCGCGCGAGGCCTTCAGGACTACGAGGGCGTCGGAGTACTTACACTTTGAGGGAACTGCAAGCAGCGGCCTGTCGTCCGGCCAAAGTTTACGAAGCATGCTGAGGGCGAGGTCGCGTGCCATCGAGCAATCGAGCAGACGCGAGACCTTGAGAATGGAGACGGCCGCGTCCTGCTGGGGAAACACGTTCGTGTACTTGCTACCGAGCGCAAGATATGAGCATGCATTTGACGCTGAGGAAGCGATATAGACTTACAAAGGGGTCTCGAGGACTTCGAGGAACACGATAAAGTCGTTATATGCGATATCGGATAGTCGATAGCAAGGGGAATTTTCGTATTCTGCGACCTGTTTACCGTCTTCCTTGAACAGGACGTCGAGGACTGACGAGTAACGCGCGAGCCGCGCTTTGTACAGCTTGAAGGCAGAGCCTTCCACAAGAAGGATGACATTCCCGTCGGGGTACCACAGGTCGTCGTGGATCACCACGGGTATGTCATCAATATTCAGATGTGCCACGGTATCTTCGGTCTCTTCTTGCTTGACCTTCTTTACTTTCGTGGGTTCAGAGCTATCATCGACATGAGACACGCTCGCTTTCTATGTGATCTGCAGGTGAATGAGAGATTCTGAGACCAGTACAATCAAAGGGGAACCGAACGTTGAGGTTTAATATGTGAACATAAGTGTTCTCGTCCAGTCTCTTCAGATTGACCACGAAACGATAAGCAGTCGTTGTACAAGTAGAACTTACCCTTTTGTGGCGCGTAGTACTTTGCGCTGTCGGACTCGCATTCGCCGGTTGGTCATGGGTATCGTCGAGCTCCGATTCACTGCTGGCGGATTCATCGGAAGAGCTGTCGGATTGAGCTGACCCTGATGACATACCAGAAGATGTGTTCAGGAGCAAGTTAAGCTGTAGGGTCTCTGACAGAAAGCGAGTGCGCTGTAGAGACGACAAGAACGAGGATGGCGGAGCTGAACGTTGTTCAGCGGTGACACTGATCAGCACTGACCGTGCGCGGGAGGAGCTGCGGGAGGAGGTGACCGACGCGTGATGAATCGCGTACGCGCACCGTAACGCGTCGGTAACGCGCAATTCGCGGGCGCCTCCTCCCGCCTCCTCCCTCTTCTTCGCCCCCGCCGTCGACGTCGACCGCTCTGCTCTGCTCGACATACCGATGTCTGTCGAAGACCAGCATCTCTCTGATTCTGACTCTGACTCTGATAGCTTGCCTGACATTTCTCAGCTCATAGAAGAGCGCCTCACCCAGCCCAAGTCCTCCGTCAGTCGCCACTCCACTCCAGAAAGCGCAAAGGACGCAGACGACGACCCGATGGTAGAAGACGACCCGCGCGCCAACCTTCGAGAAGAGGTCAAAGACGAAGATGAGGACGAAGACCAGCTACCGGACACGCCAGCATCCAAGGCGAGTAACAAAGGCCCAATCGTGGTGTCCTCCAGCCCTCCGGCGGTCGCGAGTGGCTCCAAACGACATATGAAGGCGCCCCCGGCACCGACTCAAAACAGTCGTCTCAACTCGAAAACTGCGAGCTCCTCCAGACTCACCAGTGCAGCAGCAACACCCACACCAGCGAGGACGTCGCCTCCAAAAACCAGGCAGTCGGCGCGGTCGGCAACAAAGAAGCGGGCGCGCGAGTTTGAGGACAGCTCATCGGAGCTGCCGCGGGTGCCAGCTTCTCAACCGCTTCCCCAGTGAGTCAAAATTATGGATGTGTTCAAGCGACGCGCGGTTTTTTTGGGGGAGGACGAAACACGGGTGACCCGCGGGTGAGTATCCGTGCGTGACCCGCACCCTACCCGCGGGTTCGCGGGTAAGGGTATAAGTGAGAAGGAAAGAGTGACCTGCTGCGACCTGCAGAGTTCAAGCCCATACCCTCTGTTGAATAGCTTTTCAACAGGGTACAGTACATGGTGCATATAGTCGTGTATATTTACGTATACGTCTCCTAGCCCGCCCAAAACAAAATACGCACAACTGTACTCTGTATCGCTATACTGACATGACTTCATAGACCCACTAAACGCGCCCGTCGCGCGCAGCCACCCTCGGCTTCGCAGCCCGTCCCAGTCACACCGGCGTATAAGACACCGACCATTATAAAAACCGAGCCTTCCTCCACGGCGAACCCAAAAGGAAAGCAAAAGACTGTCGCGCGCAAGCGCAGCGAAAACTTCTGGCACCTTGACGGCTCTGTCGTCGTCCAGGTCCAGAATACCCTCTTTCGTCTGCATCGCTCTCGTCTTACGCAACAGTCGGAGTATTTTGCCGCGCTCCAAAACGGGGATGGGAGGTGCGTCTTCGTGATTATAGATGGTGGTGACACTGTACCGACGCGCGCGGTCTTCACAGTAGGGACAGTCCCGCTCTAGTTGATTGGGATCTTGTCGACAGCTGCCCCGTCTACATCGTCAAGGGCGTGAGCGTGCTCGATTTTGAGCGCCTTCTCACGGCGTTGGATGCGGGAATGTAAGTGCCTTTCGCACTTGCACCGTGATACACGCTCATGTTGGTATGAAGTGCGTATGCGATCAACCCACCGCCGTTCCGCGTACTCGCCTCGCTCATCCGCGCAGCGCACGCGCTGTCTTTTAAAACGATCCTAACATTTGCCACCCACCTCCTGCGCGAGATGTGGCCGAGCGACCTCGTGCGCATCCACGAGACGAACGACGCCGACCAGGCGCAGCGCGTCTCACAGGCGACGGAGACGGTCCTCCTCGCACAGCAGTGCGACCTGCCTGAGCTGCTCAAGGCCGCATACCACGAGCTCCTCCGCGCGCCCGACTTCGGACAAGACCTCGCTGTCTACGTACACGCCGAGTCCGCGAACGGCGCCGACACACGGCGCCTGGAGATGGAGTACGACGAAGACGAGGACAATGCACCACCCGCGCGACTCGCCGCCTCGGCGCTCCTGCGGCTCGTCGCGGCCAAGGAAGCGATGCAGAAGGAGTGGCTCGCGCACGCGCGCGCCCCGCCTCTCCCATCCGCGTTCCCGTGCCCGCTCGCGCAGCTCGCGGACGCGAACCACGACCCGCGCACGGCGGACGCGATGCGGAAGTGTGCGAGCGCGCGCACGGATGCGGAGCGCGGGTGGCTATCGCTGCTGCTGCAGACGGGGGTGTTCGAGGCGGGTCTTAGGGACGTGTTCGTCGGTCTGCAGCGGCTCGCGGATATGGACTGGAAGGAGATGGGGTATTGCATGGGGTGCGTGAGCGAGCGGCGGGACGCGTGGCTGGAGAAAAGGGAGAAACTGTGGAGGCGCCTCGATGTGCTGCTTGGGCTCAAAGGCGAGGATGCACGATGAGTGGATATGAAGGTTTGCGGTATGCGTACCGATGCTGTTTATATGTTCTATTATTCACTAATGTACTGTTACCTTCTCGTTTATCAGCCATATGGTGCTCCACTGCTCTCTATGGCTTCCGATGCACTTGAGGAGCTGGCAAACAGTCAATGCCATTTCTGCAATCATCCCCTGCCTACACGATGTGGACACGGTCGGACTTCGCGCTCTCGGATATGCACCCGGGCTGGTATATATCAAAGTTCAATGTCAATGCGATACCAGCTCTTCTTGTGCGACAAGCCTCTGCACTGTCGTGGCGCTGGCGAACATCCCGAGTGTGGACGTCGATCACAAGAGCACGAGCAGGTGTCCACGTGCACAAGTCCTCGTGCCAGGAGCCTTCGCCATGCGGAGAACTCGAGGCAGCGGGAAGCCATCGATCTGGCTGACTTCCATCCACCCCGGGAGTTCCACTCGACAGCATCGTCACCCCGCCCTCAAGTTCTTATGGATGCATCACCAGCCCAGCCTCAGGATGTTCGCGACGTCGCCGTCGCCGAGCTTGCTCAGAAGCTGCTTGCCCAGCTTTCCGGTCCGCAGGACGTGGAGGAACGGTACGCTGTGATCACCACGCAGATGTCGAGACGTTCACTGATTTCCCGCTCGTCTCCTCAGCACCTTGGACGTCGCAGCGGTCAGTACATCCCACTATTGACCATGCCGGTTCTTCAAACTCATCGTGAATGCCGTATGTCTTCTCAAGATCGTAGAAGATATTCCGATCGCTGTCCGCCGGCTCATCAATGCTACCCGCCCGGTCAATCAACTTCCTGCGGAAGTCCTGGGCCGCATATTCTCCCTTATTCCTATGCGCAGAAAATACCCGATCCTGAACACCTCGACCACGAATGTACAGGACGTCATAACCCTCTTACCGTTGCTTTCTGTCTGCAGCTGGTGGAGGGATGTCGCCCGGAGCGCGTCTTTCCTGTGGGATACAGTGATAGACCTACCTAATGTCCCGCTACGTCAAGACTACCTCTCTCTATGCCCCTCCAGACCGATCTACGTGGCTTCCAAAATCGAGTGGTCACTGGAATGGCTTCTTCGCCTACTCAGGGAGCAGGAAACTCGCGTCGAGGAGCTGTACGTCAAGCGCGAAGTGAACACAGACGAGCATGTACACGCCATCCTCCAGCTTTCTTTGCCCGCCCTGCAACGGTGCATAGTTGATGGGGATGGGGATAGAGATCTAGAGGCCTCAGCATCCCAAGCTGCGCTCCTTCCCAACAGCAAGGCCCTTCAAGCCCTGCGACTACGAGAGCTTCGCTTTATACGACCGACAACCTTTCCGGTACTCACGACCCTCCACTTGGAGAGAATTGAAGATATGCGTTTGCTCGACCTGCTCAGGTTCCTCGCTGGGACGCCCCTCCTGCAGGACCTACGGCTAACCAATGCAAGCCCGGAGACACGGGGGGCGACCGACCTCAACGGGTGGAGGCACGGCCGGGTGCAACTTCGGGACCTCCGGCGACTGGTTGTGGAAGACCATGATTACGACATGCTTGGAAGTGAGTGGCGGCATGTTCTCGTACGATACCAACGCGGGCTGCTATCAAACCTTTCTGTCTCTCTTGCCTGTGCGCATGCCGTCGGGGGTGTTGCGGGCTCCGGTCTCGCTGCTGACTTGCTTTCCAAACTTTGGCCCGTCGAAGGACTCGGACAACGTCCGACTCATGCTCGCATACTATTCCTATCGCCTTCTTCACGCCACCAGAGATTTGTTCTGCAATGCAGCGCTGATGATGGCCTCGACGCCTCGTTCGGTCTCGTCACTCCCAATGACACCGCCAACACCCCGCCAGGCGCCACGATCGCAGCACGCCTCGCTAAGGCGCTCTACGCCGGACCTGCGTTCAGGAACATCAAGAACCTACGGATCGGACAACACCTGGCGTGGCTATACCATGATATCGGTCGCATTCTCTGCGCCCTTCCTGCTGTTGAAGCTATCATGATCGACGGCTGCATGTTGCCTACCTCCTTCCACGCCTTGATCGAAGACCTCACCGTTTCCCCCAATGGGACTGTACAATTCGCCCCGTCGCTCTCCATCTTGGCACTCGATTTCGGCACTGTATTTCGGTTGAAACCGCCCTCCGAAGTCGAGCTAGGATCAGCCGGAGTCGGTGCGGTGTACGAGATGCAACGATCGCGTGCCGCGGCAGGACATCCCTTGAGACGCTTGATTCATTTTCCTGAACCTATAAGACGCGAGGCTCATGACCGGTTGGCTTTCGAATTCGACGCAAACGGAGTGCTCGTGCGCAAAGAGCCGTGGGCAGTGGTACTGCAAGAGCTGGACAAGACGTGGGCGAGGGACGGTTTCGGTCACGGCCGCCATCTGGCGTTGATCGAAAGGGACATCGGGTCGTACTGGCATGGAGACTGCAGTTTCGAATGAGCAACGCAGGTGGACGTAGTAAGTGCCTTTCCTACCTCTCTGGTGGCGAGATCGAACGCTCACGTCGTTGTGGCTCCATCAGAGCACTCCCTTTGATAAGGGACACTCGTGAACCCGTAGACGATAGGTGTGCCAAGTATTCTCCGCGTCTACATCTTCCGCATACTCATGATACGCCACTTTGGCTGGTTATTCGGGTCGATTAGACTATCTATCCAACTTTCCTTCGCAATATCTGCAGGGTGTCAATTCGTTTCTTACCTGCTTCTCAGGGCCATACACCATCCCGACGCCCCTTGTGATAGAGTCTGAATGAGTACCCCCAGCTGGGGCCGGAACGCGGGATCTTCTCGTCGAAATAGCCACCCTCGAAGCAGATTTACGTTACGGATAATCAAGGAGAGCGTTCTGGCCGGCGACATATATAGGAAGAGCTACGCGCACGTACAGCAACGTCCAGGTATCACTCGGGTATCACTGCATTCTGTAGCTCATGTCGGGCTGTGCTCCGACTTGTCCGTAGTCATCAGTATGTACTAGCGTGCTAGCGGAGATCAAACGGCGAAGATGCCGGACGGTGTGCAATCTGAACCTTTGAGATGACAAAGATACGACATGTCCAGGGCACTGGGCCCGAGCATACAACACTCGCCCACAGATGCATACCAATAGCGGTGCAGTGTTAGCTATAAAGGGGTTCTCCTCGCGGTGGTCTCAGCACGACTCCAGACTTCACTCTCCCGTAACCACTCCCCACCGAAGCACGATCGACTTACAAGATGGCCGGTCTACTCTTCGTACTATGTGAACCCGGCCCCGCCGTCTCCGAAGAGGAGCTCAACGATTGGCTGGACAACGAGCATATCCCCCTCCGCCTGCCCATCCCGGGCTTCCAGTCATGGTCCCGCTGGGCCGCCGCCGACGGCGCGAAGCCGACGTACGCCTCGTTCTACGACCTCTCGGACCCCAGCGTCCTCACAGAGCCGCCCTACACCGATCTCGCGACGACGCGCTCCGAGCGCGAGGCGTCCATTCTTTCGCGCTTCGCGCTCCTCGAGCGCCGCACGTACACGCTCCGCGAGCCCGTCTACCCGCCCGCCGCCGGCCCCGCGTACGATCCCACCAAGCCGGGGCCGTTCATCAGCGTGGTGGAGATCGCGGTGAAGCCGGAGGGGCAGGACGAGTTTGACCGCTGGTACGAGGAGGAGCACATCCCGATGATCGCAAAGGCGCCCGGGTGGCTGCGCAGCCGGCGGTTTGTGCTGGAGGACGCGGGTGCGGTGGGGCCGGAGGCGAAGGAGGGGCGGCCGCCGCGGAACTTGGCGGTGCACGAGTGGGAGAGCCCGGCGGCGTTCGAGAGCGCGGAGTTCAAGGCGGCTGTGTCGACGCCGTGGATGGCGAAGCTGAGGGAGACGGCGCTTGTGGAGGCGCGGAGGAGGGTCTTCAAGTTCGTGCGGAGCTGGGATCGCGAGTGAGGTAGGGCGTACTGGTACGCGCGACGTGCGCATTGAGAAATCATGTGTAGATATTCCGGGTATCGTAGTAGCCTTGGAAGGCCCGAAGATGCAGAAGGTTGGTTTCGCTGATGCTGTCCGAGTGTTCGCTTTTGTTTCAACTGATGGGAATGACCTGTGAGACAAGTACGGTGAATACTATGAGACCTGAGGTCTCAAGTCTCAGGTGCGAGCGTGGTTACTAGTACACTTACTGATATCGTTATCGGGGGCCAATCCATTGGCGATGCAGTAAGATGAGACTTTCGATGTTGACTTCGACGAGGGTCTTGTACTTCAGAACGTGGATGTCCATGCCGCGTACTGTTACAAGGCAGTAGGACCCCCCGTTGCTAGTCAGGAAGCCCAAACAGACCATTCAGCATATACCACCAACGCCGCCTCGCCAGGCACCACTTGTACTTCACCTTCCTCACTGCACCACGCTTACTCCAGACCCCTCACGTTCTTCTGATCGAGCGCGCAGCAAATCGGGTGCATCGCGCCCTTCTCCCACATGTCCGAGTCGATGATGTGCGATCGCCAGCATGCCCGAGCATCCTTCGCCGCAGCCTGGCATGTTCTCGGACGACCGCCCCTCGGTGTGTCGATTTTCTTGCAAAGGCTGCGCAACTCCTCCCGTCCTTCGCCAGGTATCTTGAGAACAAGGACGCGCCACTTGCTCTGCAGGGTGTGCCGCGCCTCGTGCAGCCGCAGCAGATCATCGTCTGGGAGCGCGATCGCGCGCCGGTCGGCAGAGAGCGCGGTCCAGAAGGCGGGGTCGCGGAGGAACGCGTGGAATGCGGGTCGGCGCACCTCGGGCATGCCGCACGCGCGCGCGAGGGTGAGGGCGTCGATGGCGTCCTGGAACGGGCGCAGAGGCGCATCAGGTCGGGGAACGGTATCGGGCCAGGCCGCGAGAATGGCGCGTGTAGCTGTTGTGCGCACGATCTCGCAGTCGAGACGCATGGCGGCGCGGAGCAGCGAGGCCGCTATATGCGACTCTGGCAGCGGCCTAAATTCGAATCTATATAACGACGTAACATCAAGGAATGAGTGGGAAAGCGGGAAGTTTCGACGGTCGGCATTATGCTTACTGCGATGTTTCCAGTGCATCCAGGAAGTGGGTGAAGTCTGTCAGAGGACAGGTCGTCGATGTGAACTTGTGTCAGTCCGGGTGCACTGACACGCCCCGTCGTATGCTCCTCTGTGTGGGAGGAGTCCTCGTCATCGCTGTCTCCATGTTCGCATTCTCCCATGACGTGTTCCTCTCTAGTGCTTGCGCGTTCGGCGAAATAGCTGCAGTAAGCGTTCAACCGTCCGCGGTTGAGCTTGAAGCCCGTGCTGCCCACGATGACGATAACGCTTCCGTCTGCGTACCAGTACTGCGGGCTTTGCCGGTACGACGGTGCATTTTCTTGGACGTCTGCCGGACCGCCTTTACTTCGTTTGTTTCCGGACGCAGGTTCTGCATTCCCCACTTCATGTACATCTGAATGCGGCTTCAAGAGCGTGGGCGTTACCGATGTCAGGACAGCAGGGTTAGCGTTCGGTATTCATAGCAACACGCACCCGTTTTCTCGCCGTTGAGGGACCCACGATCGGGTTCGGGGCGTCTGTCGGAGCATTTGCGACGCCTTTGGTCGACGCCATTGCGCAGTGTGAGCTAGGTGCTGTGTTACGGCACGAGAGATGGATGTCTACTTTCAAATCTATTGACGCGTTACGAGCTGCAACAAGAAGGTGTGGCGAGCTTACCAGGAATAGGAGATGCCTCTTTCTTGACCATAATACTCGGATCAACGCTTGAAGATGATAACACCTAGTAAGTTTGCGTGCCACTACAAAGGTAGACGTTGGTGAGCTTCTTTGTATACGCATTCAGCAACCGTAGTCGCACAACTCGTACGCTCGGACCTGGATGGGCTCAGAGATTGAGCGTGTTACATGCCAGTCAATGAGAGTGCGAGAGTCGAAGAACGAAGTCGGTGCGACTTCGCCTGCGTATCGTTGGGAAACCGTGGCAATAAAGGTTAGGGTCAGATCTCGATTAGCACACAGATCGTTCGCGACGCGCGCGGCGCCAAATTTCGTACGCGGCCTCTCTTCTATGCCATATGCTTGCCGCGCCCTCCCTGCATACGTTCGCTGGCTATGGAAAACGATAACCGTGGCTCTACCATAACTCCCATGAAGCAATAGCTTCTACTTGTCACTTCGGTCCCTCCCACATCCTCAAAACCTTGAACATCCGCACATGGAACACCGTCGCGTTCGAGATCACCTTCTTCGACCATTCAGTCCCCGCCGCCGCCTTGAACTCATCCGATGTCTCCAGCACCGACAGATCCTCCATCTCATGCAGCGCTAGGAACTTCGCTGGCTTCCCGCCCTTCGCCTCCGAGCCCATCGCCGCAGAACTCACGAGGACACACCGGCGCGTGCGCACCCACCCAGGGACCTTTGCAATCAACGCCATATGTTCCTCTTCGTACCACCTGTTCAAGTCCTCCTCGTTTTCGGGGCTCGTCTCGATCTCCGCGACGCACACGAACGGCCCCGGCTTGGCTGGATCGTACGCGGGCCCGTCCTTCGGGCCGTACACGGGCTCGAGCAGCTCGTACGTGCGCCGGTCGAACAGCGCGGCGCGCGCGATCAGTGCCTTCTCGCGCTCGGAGCGGGTCTTCGCGAGGTCTGTGTACGGCGGGGTGGAGGCGACGGTCGGGGAGTCGATGTCGTAGATCGCAGCGTAGTCCGGGGTCTTCCCGTCGGCGGCGACCCAGCGGGACCAGGTCTGGAAGCCGGGGATGGGGAGGCGGGTGGGTACGTGCTCGTTGTCGTACCAATCGTTGAACTCCTCGGTCGTAACCGCTGACCCCGGCTCTGAGTAGATGAAAAGGAGGCCTCCGGGCATGATCGATCGCTGTCGCAGGAACTGTCAGGACTATGCTGGTTTGCAAGTCGGAAGACCTCCGAACGTACCTAGCGAGACGTTTCACGTTCTGGTGAGCAGGATCGTCAGTAATCTGTATCTCCACGATGTGATGATAGAGAATTACCTTGGAGATTCCTTAGGGACACTGTGATCGCCTCTGTTTGGCGGTCTCGCTGATAGCGATGGTGCTGGGAAGAGAGCAACACCGTCGCGGGGCGCACACCGATCGCTATCAGAGCTACGTATGTCACCTTGGCTTATGTCTCGCCCGGGCCCCGCTCACACGGCGTACCGGACCGACGGTGGCGGTACCCTCCAGGAGTAGGAGTAGGTTGAAGCGTCGTGGCGCGCCTCACTGCGCCGACTGTGCGTTGTATTCCGTTCGCTCTTCGTTGCTTGGGATCGACCTACAAACTGTGATTTTCAACACTCTCATATAAAACGTGAGTGCTCTTGCGAATCGCTACATATTGTTATTACTCTGACGTCGAAATATAGATATAACGACGGCCTCGACTCGAGTTCTCGCACTTAGGTACTTGTAAGTACATTTGAATCACTGTCCCGGTTTTTCTTCTTTAACCACCCGTGTAGAGTTTGGGTTGACATGCTTACCGTACGTATGTGCGCGCAGGCCTAGAACACCCTGGGGCTTGTCCAGCGAGGTCGTCTCTCAGGATAGACGTCAGTTTGCTCGCCGTGTAGCTTTAGCTTCAGCTTCGCGTTCTGGGAACCACCGAGAGCTCCGTCCTTCTTCGCTGCAGCCCTCGAAAGTACTTGCACCTCGTGATCGGGGTGAGTGACCCTCGTTCACAGGACGTCCATGTACTTACCCTACGCACTCAACCGCAGCAACGGTCAGCGCGATATCTCGAGTCTCTTGGACGCGCACCCGTCGATTAGCCCTTTGTCTTCAGCAACTTGGGATCTAGAGCTCTGTGCGCCCTCTCTCGGCCTCGAATGCGTTCCTCGCTGTCCCTCTTCTCTAACTGGGTTCGGCTTCTCACAGCACGATCCATAGTGTGTTCGTTTTTATCTGAGGTGAGCATAAGCACTTTTACAGAATGACTTCACTGACATTAAGCTGTAGGCAATAACGGATGTCTTACTGTTCGTAAATTTCAGACACTGAAGTACGTTTCATTCACTCGCTCGGCCCGCGATGCAGACCAAGGGCTGACATGTTTACTCTACGTACGTCCAGAACGGCCTGGAACCTGTCCAGCCATACCTTCCCCGGATACGGATGTTAATGTTTCCGCGGAGTGGGTCCTTCGGTTTTCAGAAGCGCACTAGTTCCAGCTTCGCACACCCCGAAGCACCGTAAATGCCACCCTTCTCCGCTGCAGTCCTGTCGGGAGCCGTACCTCATGACCGGCGTAAGTCCTCTTTACACTCGCAAGGTTCAATGTCTTACCCTATGCACGCAGTTGCAGAAGTGGTCGCTGCAGCACTTTGTCACCTGTCCAATCAGTCCGCCGAAGCTCTGTGCGCTACGTCTCGGCTTCTTATGCGCCAATCGTCCTCCCCTCCCCTCGCTTGGTTGGTCCCGTCTTTTTGCTGTATGATCTGCAGTAAATTCGTACTCGAAGTGAGTGTGTATGCGAAGTGTCGTAGTAACATGACCGCACTGACGTTAAGCCACGTACGATGCCGAACCTCCGGCTCTTTGCAAAATCCTATCGCTTTCAGTACGTCCTTCAATCTATCCACTTGCCCAATCGTGTTGACCAGGGGCGGACTTGCTGATTGCGTGTACTTATGTGTATGCAAACCTAGAGCGACCTGGAGCCTACCCAGCGAGATCATCTTCTGATAGTGGTGCTCATGCCGTGAATATTTTGATGTCGATGTCTACAGATGCGCTGGCTCCTCCTTCGTGTTCTGGGAAGCTGAACCTCCCGCGAACTTTGACTTGTTCCGTTGCACTAGTCCTGCGACGACCCGCGCCGCGTGATCAGCGTGAGTGTCCCCGTTCCCGAAACGTCCACGTCCTCACCATTTGCACTCGACCGCAGCAATGGTGAGCGCTCTGTATCGAGCTGCCTGAGCGTGCGCTATTCGAATACCGCTTTCCCTGCAGCGTTGGACGTCTAGAGCGCTACCCTTCGACGTCCTCAACGTTAAGTGCATTCACTTGGGCTACCCTTCTCGACGTTCACAGCCCACATGTTCACTACTGCGGCACGAAGCCCCCACCTGTTTGTGAAATGTCTCTGCTGCAGCAAGTACGTCCTCGCAAGTATATATGTGGGGACGCCGTCTCAGTCATGTCGTACACCACCGACATGTCCAGCAACAACGCATCCTTTCCAATCCTTTCTTCACCTGCTCCCTCCTCGCTGATCCTCCAGACGCGACTTTGTCCAATGGATAATACGGAGGATTCGGTGTCATCCATATTCGCTGAGGCGCCGTCGACGCACCCCGACGCAAACGCTCCACCCCTGATCGATACGCTGGTGAGTATCGGTACCATGCTTGAGGATATGATTCCAAATTTCAGATAGGCAACGTCTCCAGACACCATCATGAGCGACTCGACGATGATGTCTGTCAATAACACCGACAGGTCGCCGCCTGCGATCAACTGCGAACATTCTTGCTACAATCTTCTCTCTCGTGCCCGCCCGGCTCCAAGCACCGGGCCGCAAGCGGTTTCCCTTTTACAGCATCTCCACATAAATGCGCGACCAGCGACAGCTCGTGCCCATAATGTCGACCTGTCGCGACTGGCGGGAGTTGGCGTCGTGAACGCTGTCGCTGTGGTTGACCATATTGTGGACGTCAGACTCTCCGGGTTCCGGCGATCGTCCGTTACTCTGCACGAGTGGTCCGCTTTACGTTTACATCACAGGCGTAACAGACGGCATTGCGCTGGACAAGTTTCTTCGCACCCACCACCACCGGATTCAGGAGTTGTTTTGGGATTGCTCCTTCGGCGATCTCGAGCACACCCAGGCACGGGCGCTCGCGACACTATCCAAGATTGTTTTCGAGGTGCCGTTTCCCATACCCGAGTGTTGCGGTCTCTTGGACCATACTCCCCGCGGACTCGACGTTCGGGCGCTGCCCATCCTTCCTGCCAGCTCTCGACTGCAGACGCTCCAGCTGGATGCGACCTCCTACATCCCTTCCACCTTCTTTCCGAACCTTACCCAACTCTCCATCAATTCCGCGTCCGCTTGTAGCACGCTCAGCGACCTCCTCGCCTTCTTAAGAAGACTCCTCGGCTGGAGCGCTTGCGCATCGGCGACTACACCCTGGCAAGCTCTGCGCACGTGTCGCTGAAGGGGTGGCGTGCTGGACACTCAGTTCGTCTTCCGCGCCTGCGCACGCTCCCTGTTGAGGAGACCCACGCGATTCGGCTGCACTTGCGCGCCGAGGGCCAGACACGCATTTCCGCGTTCCAGCGCATGCTCGTCGCTCATCTCGCCGTCCCGCCCTCGTGCAGGATCGAAATGGGCGTGCTAGAGATCGGCGACTTGGAGCCGGTTACAAAGGGCCTCTTCGATTCGGCCGTGCGCGCCACCCATATGTACTTCGAGGGCTCTCGCCCGTCTAGGCTCGGAGACGCGGCGGGGTGGACCATCAGGCTGATGAACACGAAGGACAAGCTCGACGTCTCCTTCTCCCTCGCATACCTCATCCCTGACCACTTGGAGGATTCCGGCAAGATTGCGCGTGGTGCGGAGGAAGCTCAAATCAACCTACGCGCCGCGTTCACCTATTTGCCGGTGTTCCCTGAAGTGCGGTACCTGCGTATCCGCGCGTATACTATATGGGGTCTGCGATCGCCGCACTCGTTCCTGCCCGCGTTCGGGCGGCTCGAGTCCCTCGAACTCTCGGTGCACTCTCCTAAGGAAAAGGCACATCCGACTGTCAAGCACATCCTCATCCCGCTCCTCTAAGTTGCTCCAGGAACTCGTGCCGCATGCTCGTCTCTCAGGACACTCGTCATAAACTACTTGCAGCATCGCCGTGAAGGCGCAGCGACGGAGTCGTACGACAACGCCCGCCGGCAGTCGGGAGACATCAAGCACTCGTCTTTTCAGAAGTTGTTGGGTCACGTCCAAGGTGTTGTCCGCACGCGGGCGGGGGCAGGGCATCCCCTTTCCCGGGTGGTAGTCTCGCAGAACGAAGCCGCGCTTGATGGGGGTGTGTCGATGCGGATCAGGTGCTTGGAGTGCGTTGCGCCTGGTCCGTGGGTCGTGGTTCCGTGTTGAAGTAACAGCGTGGAGTGCTTCGAGCGCAAGTGTGCGAAAGGTACCATTTGGTCTCACAGTGCGTTAACGGTTGAGTTCGCGAGGTCGAGAGATTGTTTGAATGTTCAAGAGGCATGCCGAGCTGAGCACGAGTGAGCGATGGAGTTCGTTCCAATGATACACGATAGGTAGCAGTGACTAAAATGTACTATGTACTATAGCAGAAGTATCCGAGCTGTACTGAGACTCGGACGTTCAACCAATCAAGTAGCACCCGGGACGGGCATTGATCTTGTCCTACCACTGCGTCGATATCGCGTCACAAGCCCCGGCGGCTCTACGAGGCACCGCTAATACCACGTCGTATTCCGGTCCGCGTCATACTTATATTTAACGGGCGATCGGAAGGTGACTATCCCGAGCAGACATCAAGTTAGCAAGAAAGGATTAGTGGGCAACGCCACTGGCCGGTGAAGTGCATTGAAACATGGCGGTGGCGGATTGGCGTCGGCGCATAGGCTGAATAAGATATTTGAGTATGTTGTAATGGTTCAGATAAACGATAGACAGGGTAGAAACCAGATAAGACGTAGCACACGGGGCGGGCTTTCTATCCAAAAGACCAGCCTACTAACGGAGTTCAGTCGCGATGCGCGCAGAGACGGAGCCGACTGAAAGCGTACCTCTACACCACACTGCCATCAACATCGGCGTCCACAACCTCGATCTCGAAGAGACCATCCAGCATATCCCACCACCGATTCCTTGCAGCCTGCCACACTTCTGTCCTCTCGTCGAGACATGCTTTGCACCATGTTTCGTCTGGCGCTTTAGATAACGGCCCTTCTAGGACGATGTCGGCGTAGGCGATCGGATCCGCACCTCCCTTCTCCAGCTCCCCGGTGTCGACGAAGTGCGACCGCCAGTAAACCTTGCGCCGCTTAGTAGTGATGAACGTGCACGGCTTCTTTGCCAGTAGGGTAGGGCATTTTTCGCCTGGCATGGGCGGGGTGAGGACCAATGTGTTCCATTCCTGCTGTAAGACGTGGCGGGCGTGGTACAACCTGATGAGGTCGGCGTCAGCGAGGTTTACGCCCTTTCTGTTGGCGGAGATCGCCTCCCAGAAGGAGGGGTTGCAAAGAAATTCGTAGAACACTCTTTTCAGGAGCTCTGGCATGTTGAACTCGCGCGCCGCGGCGACGATGTTGGTGGTCGCCTCCAAAAACCCTATTTTCCACGTGTGTCCAAGAAGTTCGCTAGGCCACATAGGACGAAGGCGGCCCTTGGCATAATTCGTGATCGGCTCGCATCCCAGTCTGTTCGCGACGCGCAGCAGGGACAAGTAGACACTTTGCGTGGGAGCTTCGGGCATAGTGAGTGTGCTGGAATAGGGGACCAGTTTAAGAAGTATCAGATGCATGAACGAGAACAGGAGGATGAGAATGGGGAGCGTACAGAAGTGGAGTCTCGAAAAAGCGAAGGAATTCGGTAAAGTCCTTGACACTGATGTCCTCCAGTTCATATTTTGCGTCTGTAGAGTTTGCGGCATTTGATTGACCATCCGCTACGGCTATACTGGTGTTGTAAGATGCGGATTGCGAGCCTTCTTCTTTGATGAAACCAGCCGTATTCGCCGCGCGGGGCATGAGATCTGCGATGGTGAGATCGCTTTGGCAAACTGGCACTCCGGCCGCACTGGTCGCCGACTTTGATTTCCGGTCCTTCTCCAGTCCACCATACGACTGATCATGAGGCGGGAAGAGGTCGCAATACTTTCTCAATCGTGATATATGGAGATTGAATACCACGTCCTCGACTATCACGAGGATATTGCCGTCTGGATAGTAGAACTCGGAGCTTTGTCGAAGGGCGCCGGATCGTTCAGGCCGGACATCACAGAAAGAAGTCTTCGCACGCTTGCTCCGAGTAGTGTCCTCCTGGGCCTGGCCTTCCGTACCGTCATCATTGGGCTGAGATTGAGGTTAAACGCAGAACTTCAAAGGAATTTGCTTCCGTGAACAACTCACTCGTTTGAGACTGCCAGCAACGTTCGTGTCGACCATGAGTCTTTTCCTGGGATACGATGATGCCTCCCTACCTCGTTCTTGTGACTATAGTCATGAGAGCAGGGAAAAAACCGAAAATAGTGGAAAGCAGCATACCAGTGGTCTAGAAGGTGAAAGCCAGGGCGACGCGGCGGTGACGCGACTCTGCGCGGTAATCACTGGACTTCCAGCTCGGGCACGTGGACGAGTTACGGCAGGCAGCATCTTGCACGAAGTACGAGGGTAGGTGTAACTCTCGCTGGTCTGAGGCTCAAACTCTCTATATTTCAGCGCAGAATCACATCTCATACTATATAAGCTTGCACGAAGTCCTTCAAATGTGAGTGTACGCGGGGGCACACAGGTGGTACAATCTTGTACATGTGAGGTCAGGAGAGATATGAAAGATCAGGGCGCGGGAGGCGGAGAGTAACCAGCAGATGTACCAGAAGTCGTAGGAAGCCAGCTGTTACGGCGCACGCTTGATCCCTAGCCAATCGTCGAGCTCCCGCGCATCCTCCTCCAAACACAACCGACACCACGTCTCGAGCGCAGATCCACGCACGCGCTCTTTGGTACCGCGTCGACGTGCTGCCGTGGATCATGCATGCCCCGCTGCATGTACGCGTACTCGACCCAGAATACGTGCCACTCGCCCGCGCGCATCTTGCTCGCCATCCTGGCGGAAGCGTAGGGACGAGAAGCGCTGCGCGCGCTCTAACGCGCGGCGTGTATCGTAGAGCTTGCGCGAGACTCGGAGACTTATAGCGGTGAAGTCCTTCATTCCGAGAGGGAATACCGGAAAACGGTCGAGCAAATCTTGGCGTCTTTCGGTCTCGACAGTCGTCGGGTCGGCTCTTGCGGGAAGCAACCGCAGTTTCGTGCGAGCCGCGCCTGGCTGAGCTTGAAGGGCGCATAGAAGATGCGAAGAAAGATGTTGCCGGTGGACCAGAAGTGCGAAAAGGGAGCGTCCGCGAGGCCCAGTGCGAGATGTGTCAAGTGTCCACGAGCGTCTCGAATAGGTCTGCGCGTGTTCAAATTACGGCCCTAAGAGATTGTGCGGTAGCTGGACTTAGGGAGAGGACACGTACATGCCTATTCAGGAATCCTGCAAAACAACTCAGAGCTCACCGGACGTCCTGATAGTATCTCACATCTCAGCCTTCGTGATCGCCAAAGAGCGAGTGTGCACATGGGGAGTGGTTCCGGACGATGTAATCTGAGGGATATACGCTTTCAGACATCCTCGGCGTAGATTAGACTCGGAATAAGCACGTCACATCCCCTGGGATGTCGCACCGCAAAAGATGCGCAGATAAGCCACTAGACGCGTCCACCACGATCATGAATATCATGCGGCATGGATAGGACGATGCATACCGGCATCTGAGGAACCGCAGGAGATCTGAAGGATCGTCGCCGGGGCGGATTTTCGTATCAGAGGAGCTCGGCAGGAGGAGGGTGAGGCCCCGAGGCTATCTGCTTTCAACTGCGATACGGACAGAGCTTCACGTAGGCTTTGATATGTTTGTGTAACGTCCCGTAACGAACAGGGTCTGCGCAGAAGTTCATAAACACCGCATCGACGCAAAGATGGCCGGGGACGTACCATTTATTCGCAGTGCTTGCAACGCCTGCCGCCGCCGGGATCTTGAACAGCTCGTCGAGCATGCCCCACCATTGCGACTTTGCAGCCGCCCACACACAGTTTCTTTCCGTGATGCATAGCGTACACCACGTCCCAGCCAGATCCCTGAACTCCACCGCTGCGAGTATGACATCGATGTGGTATATCGGGTCCACGGCCCCGGTCTCCAAATGCCCCGTTTCGACGACGAGCCGCCGCCAGGCCGAGATGCGAGAAGCGACATTGGTGTATGCGCATCTGTCTTTGCCGCGCTGCGAGTTGAGACAGGAGGCTTCGGGCAACGGTTGGGTGAGGAGTAGCGTTCGCCACTCCTGCTGCAGCGTGTGGCGGGCGTGGTACAAGGCAATCAAGTCTGCGTCTGCGAGCTTCACGCTGTCCCGGTTGGTCGTGATCGTCTCCCAGAAGGCGGGGTTGCGGACGAGTTCGTAGAATGCGCGTCTGAGGACCTCGGGGAGGTTGAACTCGCGTGCGAGGGCGATGATCGCGGTGGTTTCGCCCAGCGTCTTCTTCTTCCAGTCGATGGTGCGTTGGGGAACGAGCAGGGGCCACAGCTTGCGGAGGCGACTCCTTGCTACGTCCGAGACCGTCTTGCATCCCAGTTTATCTGCCACGCGCACCAGCGAGATGCATATGCTCTGCTTCGGGGGTACGGTCACATGCATTCTGAACGTCGTGCAGCGGGTTTGTCGGCATATGAGCTGCTAGGTGGGAATATGCACGCACAGTGGGTTCTCGTATGCTCGTAGAAACTCTGTGAAATCCGCGATGCTGATCCCTCCGAGGACATGGTTCATTTCTCCAGGAAGGATTATAACTTCTCGTCCGTCATCTTCCCTTGCGCCTGGGTTGGAATCGACGAGGGTGACATCGTTCTGGTTCTCCTGCCCGACCGCGGCGAGCTCGAAGAGACGCGAGAAGTAGGTGCAATGTCTTCTCAGCCTGGACAGATGCAGGCGGAACTCTGTGTCCTCGACGATGACGATGATATTCCCGTCGTCGTAGTAGAACTCTGGGCTTCTGCGTCGGAGGGGAGGCTTCTGAGGGACGTCCGGGGCGAGCCTCGCCCGCTTGCGGGAAACAGACCCGCTTTCTAGTGGGCCCTCTGCCTCCTTGATCTGAGCAAATGAAGCCGCACACATCAACGAAGGCATAGCACCATTGCCGCGCTGTACGCACTCGCTTGCCACTAGGGGTACTGGAGCTTATATTGTCCGCCGCTGCCATTTTGCTCTGGAGCACGACGAGGTTATGGCGGCACCCCTAAGATATATCGGCAAGACTTGAAAGTGGGTACAGCGTCGTAGAAAGGTTGAGGTAGGAAGATAGGGGGCAAAGTGGTTCCAGACAAGCCTGCTCGCCGGTGCTCGAGTCGGGGCGACGCGACAGGACGCGCCGACGCGTCAATACCGCTCGATTGGGTACGTGCCACGTGCGTGCGGTACCACCCCGGGGTATCGGCAGCGGCTGCCGACCAACACAGCACTGACTGACCTTGACCTACCCTTTTAAAAACCCTGGTAGCTCGCTAGAGCGCAGTGAGGCCCAGCGAGAATGGCACATTTCTCTAGAACGTCCTCTGAAGACCAGATTGGTATAAGACGGCCCCGGAAGAACACGTACCACTGCAGATTAGCTGGTGCAAGCAAGGCGGAGGCAAGGATGGGGGACGGAAACGGGTACCTCCTGTACGGTGGACAGTAGTAACATGAGCATATGCACAACAGTAGGATTGAATTGTTTTTAAGCTCATTCCACATTCAAGGATCTCGGTCAGTCGCTACAGTATGCGCTTAATCCCTAGCCAATCGTCGAGCTTGTCCCACCATTCCAGCAGCGCCGCATCCCACGCCTGCATACGCTCCTCCAGGCACCACCAGCACCACGTCGCGCGCAGATCCGCGCACACGACCTTCATCGCAGTGACATTCCGCCACGGATCGTGCGCGCCCTGCTCGACGTACCCACGCTCGATCCAGAACGCGCACCACTCGCCCGCGCGCGCGGTCCCCTCCACCTTGCACGCCATCCCGGTGAGCGCTGCGCGCTCGGGCGCGCAGCACTCGGCGGGCGGGGGTGCGAGGACGAGCAGGCGCCACGCACGCTCCATCGCGCGGCGCGCATGGTAGAGTCTGAGCAGGTCCGCTTCGGGGAGCGGGATGCGCGCGCGGTCGTGCTTGAGTGTGTCCCAGAAGGTGTAGCTCCGGAGGAGGGTGGAGAAGGCGGGCTTGATAAGTTGGGGGAGGCGGTGCTCGTGCGCGAGCGTGATTGCGTCGAGGGCGTCTGTCCAGGGGCGTCTGATCGTGGGCGTGTCTGGGGAGTATTGAGAGGGCCATAGTGATTCGAGCGCGCGGATTACGACCGAGGTGAAGAGCGGGCTCTTGAGGACGTGAGATGCGCGCAGGATGGAGCTGGCGATGGCTTGGGAGGGAGGGTTCGTGGCGAGTTGGCTGTATCGACGGTAGGGCGAGTTAGCACGACAGGAACGCTGAGATGCTCACAGGTATTGTCGTACACCGGAGATTCTAAGTATGTGAGGAAGACCTCGAGGTCCTTCACGTCGAGCGTGGAGATTGTGAAGACTGGACAGCCGTCGACCATCTCCTGGTGGCCATGGGCTGAGCTCTCCGAGGGTCGAATCAGCTCTTGCGGGAAGTATTGGCAGTATCGCGCGAGCCGTGAGTGGTGGAGCCTGAAGAGGGTGTCGTTGACGCGAAGGATGATGTTGCCGTCGGGGTACCAGCGCGGTGAACTTGTTGATGCAAAAAGCAGCGCAAGCCCTGTCACGGGCAAAGGGGGGTTCTTGGGGCCGTATGGAGGTGTCTTCGGCGCGTGGATGCGTGACTCTGCGCGTGCTTCTGCCTCGACTCTCTGCCTCTTCGAGACCGACGTGCTTATTGCCCCCGGTGTAGCCCGTGTTTCCTTTGTACAAGAGCGTCGCAACGTCAGTGGCGTGCAGACATATGCTAGGGGCATATAGGCTGGGGTGATCTTATTCGGACACGTACCTGTTCGAAGTGGTTGTCCAGCGATTTACCTAGCTTCCCGGACGCAAACATCTCCTGGTAGTAATTTTCGCCTTCGTCCTTGGGGTCTTCAAAACACGCTCTTTTCTTCATACCAGTCGAGTGAGTAGGTGGACGGCGGGAGAGCAGGATGAGAGCGAGGGGATCACGGCGGTCGCTGGCAACCGGCGCGAACGCGAACGCGGTCAAGCGCCCTCGGCGTAGACGCTTCTAGAGTGCCAGCTGCATCACGTGGTCGCGTCGCGGAGCGCGCGATTGCGTTGGTGGGCCGGAGGTGTTCGCCAAGTATCGTCGCGAATGCTATGCGGCGCAAGGAAACAAGATGTAAGAAGGGCTTCATGCACTTGGAAATAGCACGAGATTCAACCTAGAGAGTAGTCGGTGCCGGGACGGAGATCTTTAGCGGCGCGGCGCGGCGGATAGAAGGTGAAACTTGCTTACAGCTATGCTACCCACAGAGCGTTGCTAGTATCCTGCCAGCGCATTCTTCAATAAATCGGTATAAATCTCCGCCACAAACAGCCAGCTGCTGGTACACCATAAACGGTACATCGAGTCGAAAATGATTGAAGACGTACCTTCAACTGGCGTTGCGCCCCGCGGCAGAGATCTTGAACTGTTCGTCGAGCATTGCCCACCACCGCGCCTTCGCGGCCGTCCACGCCCGTCTTCCCTTTGCAAGGCAATGTGCGCACCAAGTTCTATTGATGTTTATCGAGGGGAAGCTTGCGAGCGGGACGTCGATGTAGCGAATGGGATCTATCGCTCTCGTCTCTAGTAGATCATCAATGAATTACGACCGCCGAGCTTGGTCGCGGCGCGCAGGAGGGAGACTGCGATGTTCTGACTGCATGGCGCGTTGATTTAAATGTTAGACGTCGGAAAGAACCCATTAGTGTTGTGCGTATATAATTTCGAGCAGCGCACATACAGTGAGTTCTCGAATGCGCAAAGGAACGCTGTGAAGTCCGTGACGGTGACGTCCTTGAGCTCATGCCTTAGTCTCTCAATAGAGTCTACAGCCTGAAGATGATTGTGTTCTGATAGTGTATCAGCATATAGAGCATATTTCCCACTAGTGCAGTATCTATGTAGTTCCACGTGAGTGTTGCTTACCTGTGCCTGTGCTCCGGGACAGTCGACAACGGAGTGGGTGGAGCAGATACCGCCGGCGTCACTGGCTTTCACTGCATGATCCTGCTCGGATTCTTGCGCCTGATCGACCAGGTACAGGTCTGAGAGAAGCTCGCAGTGTTTCATTGACATGGATAGGTGTAGATTTTACTCTACACCCCGACGACGACGATAGTGCCGCCGGAGTACAGTATCATTGTGAACTTATTCTAGGGCCTTCTGGCTCCTGTTGGGAAGGGGCCTCGACTACAGTCTTTCGCCGCTTGCGAGGGCTGTATTTGCTTTCAATGTGTCCAATGCAATGAGGGTTTATGAGTATACGCGGCGATGTCGTCGTAGTCGTTGATACGCACTCGCTTGCTCCCGCCCGCGGTCTTGAGGTTCGGGTCATCTGTCATCTCCAATACTTTCAAGACAGAACGTTTGGCAAGCTCCATGCGCAACATGCTTACTTGTGCTTTTAAGATAAAAATCGACGTGATATTGAGGTACAGACGACAAGAAGTCGACGCGACTCGGGACGCTGCCCTACCGCAGTATATAAACGGCTCGGGCCACGTGTATCTGCACGTGGGCGCGTTTCGGCAACTTTCGTCGGCGCTAGCTGCGCGAAGGTCGCCTTCAGGCTTGTCTCCAACTGCGTATGAACCACTCATGCTCAAAAATTTCCTGCTTGATATATTTCTTGATGTATCTATCTGTGGATACACTGGATTCTACCACTCAGGGACGTTGAATTGGAGGTATACTTTTCTGGGAGTTGCCGTCATGGCGTTGTTTGAACGTCCAAACGGCCACTGCTCACAGAACACCATGGGGGGCACTGCGGTACGTAAAGTACAAATTTGAATACTTCTAAACGCCTGTGACTTCCACGCGACTTGGGATCCCCCCCGCCCTCACCCTCAGCTCCATCGCGAGTACGCCTCACTCGCGAGCCCAACTCCGTACGAACTTCAGGACCCTCATCCGAGCCTCCACAATCGCCGTCTCCCGCAGCTTCTGCCTCCACGGCGTCGACGTGGCCGCCTTGAGCTCCACCGTATCAAACGCCGCCGGGGTCTCCCACTCGTGTATCGACAGGTGCTTCGGCGGCCGCCCCTCCTTCGCGTCCGGCCCCGTCGCGCCTGCGAACTCGAGCTCGAGGCGCCGGCTGCGTACCCACCCGGGCACCTTTGTGAGCATCGGTATGTGCTCCTCGTCGTACCACTTGTTGAAGTCGTCCTCCGCCCCCGGCTTCACTTCAAGCTCGAGCACGCTCATAAACGGCCCAGGCTTGAGCGGATCGTACGCGGCGCCAGCTGCGGGCGGGAAGACGGGCTCGCGGAGCGTGTACGTGCGGCGGTCGAGGAGCGCGAGACGCGTGATGAGAGCTTTCTCGCGTTCGGAGCGCGTGGTCGCCAGACTGGCGTAAGGGGGATCGGAGATGACCGAGGTAGAAGAGAGGTCGTAGAGCGCGCCGTATGTCGGACGCTCACCGTCGGCAGCGACCCAGCGCGACCAGGACTCGAATCCCGGGATGGGAATGCGCAGAGGTACGTGTTCGTTATCGCACCAGTCGTTGTACTCGTCCTCGGACACGGCGGGGCCGGGCTCTGAGTATACGAAGAGGATACCGGGCATGGTGGAGTAGCGAGAGGTGCGTCGTTTATGGGGCGGGGGGAGCCCGTCTTATAGGCTCGCGCAATCCTGTGGGTGATCATTGGTGCGCGCTCTGAAACCCAAAAGCTTGAGGTCGGTATTCTTGGGCATCGTCTTCATACAGTAATTCCGTGAACTTGTATTCTCCCGAGTCCTCACGATCACCGGTTCGAAGTGTCCATCGTGTGGCAGGCCGGTCGGGAGAAGGAGAAGGCCCTATTGTTGTACACAGCTGCGGAACAATCCCAAGGACGGCATACCGGGATATTAAACAAGGAGCGATGGTCTTGGAGCCTTTTGATTCATAGGTATGCCACTGTCAAGAACGTGCAGTGGAGGGACCCAGCTACTGACGGCAAGCTCAGTACAGACAAACCTCAAATCTTCTCCGGAAGCTGGCAGACATGGTGACGCACAACCCCGCCCTCCTTCCACGCGCCTTCCATGACTGCCTTCATCGCCTCGCACGTCTCTCTGAATGCGCGATCGAGCACGGCGGCTATAATACCACTGGCGACCTTTCCTGTGCGATATATCGGGCCTAACCCACTGCCGTGTCGTACCTCCACGAGCTCTTATGTGACGTCGAGGTTGGCGGAGAGATGTACGGCGTTCATGGATTTGCCAATGATGACCAGCAACACGATCCTGTGGATATACAGTCAGCTCGAGCGGTTTCCGGAACAGGCGGGGGTTTGCGCGCGGACCTGGGCGGAGTCCTCGGCGCGTGCTTCTCCTTCAACCCTCCGTCTCTTCGGGACCGAAGTACTTGTTGTTTCTGGCGTGGTCTGTGGCTTTTTGATACGAGAGCATCGCGACGTCAGTAGTGTGCATAAATATGCCAGGAGTATGTAGCCTGGGGTGATCTTATTCGAACACGTACCTTTTCGAAGTGCTTGTCGAACGGTTTACCGAGCTTCCTGGACGCGAAAATTTCCTGGTAATACT